GGTGTGTCGTGCTTGTGTCGTGGTTAATTAATGAATTAGGTAATATTCATAATAATAATTATGAATTTTGAAAAGCATTTAAGTGAATGGGGATTGTCTTCATATATTGAAATATTTCAAGGTAAGCATCAAAATAATTTGCCTTAGGTTAAAGTTTAATATTAAACTTTAAAGTAAAGGAAATAATTTATCTCCTCTAAGGTTTGAGTCTAAACACAGAGAATCAAAATTAAATGCTAATGTTGTAAGTTCAAGGGTTAATATAACAAAAACTCTGGCCATTAAACATCAGCTAAAATTTGCTTATAGAATATTTTATAAAAAAGGATTTCAACACAGTGGCGGCAGGTGGATTTTGGGTATACCAACATTAAATAGACAAGTTCGGCGCAAACAGAATTTAAATTGAAGTTTGCGAAAAAAAGTTAGTTTTTCCTGTCGCCTCACCCGCCTCCAGGCCCCCCTATTTAAGATAATTCAAATTAAAGTGGTGCAATTTATTATCTACTATAATTTATCGACAAATTTAAAATTTTATTTAAAAAATACAAATATTACAGGTTTTATACCATTTTAAATATTTTTTTATTTTAATAAAATAAATAATAAAAATTTAAAATAGAAAAAAATCTGTAATATTTAGATTTTTTAAATAAAATTTTAAATTTGTCGATAAATTATAGTAGATAATAAATTGCACCACTTTAATTTGAATTATCTCAAATAGGGGGGCCTGGAGGCGGGTAAGGCGACAGGAAAAACAAACTTTTTTTCGCAAACTTCAATTTAAATTCTGTTTGCGCCGAACTTGTTTATTTAATGTCATTATAAACTATTATAAATTTGGTGTGGGTCCCATGTCTAATAACTGAGATATTGGTATACATAAAATCCACCAGCCGCCACTGTTTCAACATAATGTATCGTTTTTAAAAAACAGTTTAATTTCGGTTTATTCTATTTTACCGGAATTTGCAAATATTTGCAAGGTTTCAAATATTTCAGTTAATGATTTTCATTGTAATGTATATTGTAATGTATATTGTAGGTATATAATAATATCGTTTTTAAAGAAGAATAATAGGTTTATTTTATTTTGTTATCACAAATATTATAATTATGTTTTTTTAAAAGTGCTCTTTTATGTTTTAAACAATTATTTATTTATGTTTAAATTTATGTTTATTATCTATGTGTAACATGGTATGTTTTGTTTTTTTATTACTTAAATCCATCTTAAGTTTTTAACATAAATTAAATATTTTTTACACCTTTTAAAACATTAAGAATAGGTATAAAATAACGTTATTTTTATAGATTATGTATATCAACGAGTAGGTACCTATATTATAAAACACTATTTTACCTAGTAAAAATATTTAGTTTACTTTAAAAACGTATAGGTTTTCTAAAGCTATAATTTATGTTTAAAATGTATTTATTATTTTTTTATTATTATTTAATAAAAATTATTCATAAATATGTATTTTTTTTACATACCTTCTAAAAGGAATATTAAAAAGTAAGAAAAATAATGTAATTTCAAGGGTATTGTCCGCTTTTTAAATTTTTTAGAGAGTATATATACACACTACTAAATTTAAATACAAGTGAAACTAATACCCTTTGTCTAAGGTCCAGATATACTGTATATTTGGACCTTAGACAATATAATATACATTACAGTAAAGGTAAGTAAAACTTTTATTAAACGGTATTATAGGGTTTATTAAGCATTATTAAAATTTTATTAAACATTATTATAGGGTTTATTAAACATTATAAAAGTTTTATTAAATATCATTATATGGTTTATTAGGCATTATTAAAGTTTTATTAAACAGTATTATATGTTTTATTAAGCACCATTATGGGGTTTATTAAGCATTAATATATGTTTTATTAAGCACTATTATATAATTTATTAAGCATTAATACTCGTTTTATCAAACGTTATTACACTTTTTAGTATACACCATTATAAGTGTAGTAAGCATTATTACATTTTTTAATTGCCATAAATATGGAAGTTATTGGCTCGTAAAAATGATTATAATAAACGTTAATAATCATGAATATTATTGTTAAGCAAAATTTTTATTTGTAGTTACATAATAAAAAATATTAAAGGTTATTAAATATTTAGTAACCACCAGCAAAGAAAGTCATTATATGATTTTATTGGTGGTGAATATTTTTTATTCTTGTCCCCTATTTCATTATTTTTTTTATTGTACGTTAATATTTTTTTGATAGTGGTTACTATATTTTTTTCTCAGTGTAGGATTTGAATTTTTTTTTTATTTGTCACTTGGCTCCAAAACGAAAATAAAGGTAGTTTACTCTTGATAGTATTTTCTTGTTTTTCGACCCCGCTGTATGATATTTTCAAATTTAAAGTATGGCAATGGACTTTTCAAAACAAGCAGAAATTTTGTGAGGAATGACTTTAGGTCTAAAAATGAAAATTTTAGTCCATTTGTCCTGTTGGGCCCTCTATCCGTGGACATACTGTATATTTTAAAGTTTTAAAAACGGTTCGACTCAAAACGTAAATGCCCAGTTAGGATGGCAGTATAAATGACACCCTGTGAATTTCCTCGTACGTCGCTGACAGTAGCGACGTAATCTCTACATCGAAGATGCTGCAGTAAATCAATCTTGCGCCAAAGTCTGTGGGGCGGTGGAATTCTTGAGCTGCTGCTGCCTTCGCCGGATCACACTTTAATATTAATGTTTTAATATCGACCTCGACTTATCATCCAATATTAACATGTGCGGATATTGAAGAAGGAAGGCACCCGCTAAAACGTGGCGTATGGAAATTGGAACAAAATTTAATATACATACCTTATATTTTTTTCTTCCTACACTCTGGTGAAGTTAAATTTTACCATCTCCATAGGAGCGAGAACGTAGGTTTTAAAATGCAAAAATACAAAATTATTAAAGAGTTTCTGCCCTAGTATTACTTAAATTTGGAAAAAGTTAGGTTAAAAACGTTTGACTGATTGATAAAAAGTGAGGTTAAACCGCTTGACAGTTGTTAGATGTCAGAAAAAAATGTCAAATATAATTTAGGTACGTTTATTTACATTAAAAAATGCTTTAAACATGTAATTAGTTTAAATTTTTAATTATAGCTTATTTTGTATACAGGTGAATATATTTAGATGTCCCCCAAGTGGAAATGATTATTTTTTATTTTTGGTTGTTTCACTGTTAGTCTAGAATGGAGTTTTTGGGAAGCCACCAGGTCTAGTAATAACATAGCATAAGTGGTTCTGCACTAATGCAAGAATTTTAAAGGCCGTATTACAGCCGGCAATTCTTCTTGCACCAATTATTCTTGCCATCAAGTTTTCAAGGCCTTATTGCATGTTGTTTTACAGTCAGCAATGGCAAGACAACTTGCTGTTTATTACCGTGCTACCAACCGAAGAAAAATATACCATTTTGTAAACACTAAGTTTATTTGTTTATTTAGTAGAAAAATTAATGAGTAAAATGGATACTAGAACTTTGAACAAAATGTCAATCATAAAACAAATAACCTTAAAGTGTTTAAGTGAAACAGCGTCTCTTTAGAGAATTTGTAGTAGGGTTGGTATCATAAAAGTTACCAGATTTCACCCCAGAATTGCCGTGAAACGGCAATAAAAATCCATCCGGGCCGATTTTCGGCAATTGCAAGAGATTCGTCGAAATGTCTCAACCTCGCATGCCTAGGGCAATTTTCATTGCAATTGCAGAAAGAATTGCCGGCTGTAATACGGCCTTAAGAAATCAAACATTTTGAATATTATAGCTTCACGGAAGATAGCTTCACGGAGGTTAGATTTTTTTTAAATCCCTTTGTATATTTGAAATAAGTTATTGTATCTTTTGACACCCTAATATTTTTTAAAAATACAATTGTACATGCATAAAATATTTATAAAAAAATCTACTTATTGAGATATTACACTTCACGGAGGATAGGTTTTTAAATAGCAAATTAATAAAATTAAACTATTGAATTACAAAACAGCCACACTCTCATCTGCATATAAATTCTAACTGACCTTCAGGAATCACATGCATATATAATGTCGTAAACAGAGGTGTTTGCTTATTTAAAATGATTAAAGCGCCATCCGTTGCATAAAATTTAAAGCAAAAACAGATTCACAGAGGATAGAATCAATTTTTGTAACACCTAAATAAATGGTATAATATTTTATATTTGATTCGATTGCTTTGGATGTGTTTAATTTACTTAGTGAACTGATATTTTTAGTATGCTTTTACTACCTCAGATATTTGAAAACATATAGGTTAACCTTGAAAGAGTAACATTCACGGAGGATAGGTTATAAAACATTGTAAAAAATAATTAATTGCGGTTAAAAATCTGGAACCTGATATCTGGAATATCTACTTAATTATGAAAGATCAAAACACAATAAAAGTGTAGGTCAAACTCATTTAGTTTTATTAAATATCACGGTGAAAATTTTACATTAAAATGTGTGGAATTAAAAAACAAAATCGACGTGTTCAAGTAGTAATTTTTGGGGCAAAAGCTACATTTTTTAATAAATTTGTTCCATACTACATAAATCAAGCATCGAAGTTTTCAAATCACCGTAATAAAATTTATATTTAATAAAAAAACAATTTCAATAAGTTTTTATGGTTTATTTTATGGCCAAATTTTATTGTTACAGATTTTATGTAAGTCTTATCTTTATCTTCCTACAAAACAGTTGTTTATTGCTTTATTTACCGAATTTCTCAATTTATAAATGAAACTAAAGTTATTAAAAATTAAATTGTCTTCAAGCACTTAAACCTAATTTAATCTTTGTCGTCTGGTAGCTTTACGAAATGAACATAATTAATTTTAAACTTTATAAAGTGTCATTAACTTTATGATCGATATCATTAATAAGCCTTTAAGAATGTTCTTGTGATCACGAAAATTCTTTTACTTACTCTTTCCGCTTTTTTTCTTTTAGATCTCATCGGATACTCGGCCACGATGCATCTATCCAATCTGCCAACTTTAGGAGACTCCAAACTTAAAAACTACATCAAAAATCAGGTAATTTATCTTTAATCAAAAGTCTTCAGCAAAAACCAAAACTTGTAACTTAGTACTTTTCGTTTTATTTTTTTTATAACTGCGTACACTTGAAGCACCTTACCTTGAAATTCTTTGGATTTACTGCGAGGGGGAAATGGCCGTGAAATAAAGACGAAGAAAAAAAATAACTAAATAAATAAAAGTGAGCACAGATGAATGAATTAAGGGGAAATGGGATGCGGGCCCAGAGATAAATCAAATAAACTATACGGCGAAGTTAAGATTAGAGGCCTGTGCCGGCCGTTAGTGGTTCAGGGGTCAAACGCCAGGGGGCGATACCGTCCCACGGATAGACCGAAAAGGACACATAAACATTTAGAGATGGGACAAACGGTCAGATTATGGTGTGTCTTCGGGGGACATAACCTTAACCGCTTCCACGCAAAAAAAATAAAACGTTTTTCCTTCAAGTTTCTTGAATGGGCGAGTTTAATAGATTGTGATATGGACTATAAAATTGTCATTTTTATTGCGTACACTTTAATGCGCAAAAAGCATGTCATGATGGGCTGTGTATTTTTGTTTTTAGTTATGTATTTGCCATTTAAATTATTTTTTAAATCATCTAGCGTAAAACCATTACTGAATGATTTCAATGAAAATAACGTTAACAAAATTAATATTTAAATGATAGGATTTAGACAATTTATGTATATAGGGTGAACCACATAGTTATTGGACACTTAAGGAATAATATTTATTTAAAATTTGTATATGCCTTTGTTTTAAAGATTTTAGTTTTTTTTCTTATAAATACGAGGTGTGTTCAGAAAATAACGGGAATTGATAAATTTCGCGGGTTCGGAGGGTCCGGTTGTCATAAAATTTTCTTTATTATGTTGGTATACATACCCCCGAAGTATGATAAAAACTTTAGCTGTTTTCATTGTTTACTTTGTCTGTGGCAGCCGCTAAGGTTAGGCGTGTTTTATGAGCTCGGCGATTTTTCGTTCGTTAAAAGAAATGGATCAAAGAATTTGTATCCAATTTTGCTTAAAAAATTAAATAAATTCTGTGAAATGTTAACAAAGGCCTATAGTGAGTTTGCTATAAGTAAAACAAGAGTTTACAAGTGGTATAAGAGTTTCCAAGATGGCCGTGAAGACGTTGAAGATGACGAACGCCCCAAACGCACAAGAACATTTACAACCGATAGAAACATCGAAAAAGTGGAAGAAATGGTTATAAACCATCAGAGAAGTCGCTAATGATGTTGGTATATCGATTGGCTCATCCCTTGAAATTTTTTCGAATGTTTTGGGTATGAGACGCGTGGCAGCAAAATTTGTTCTAAAATTGTTAAATTTTGAACAAAATTTTTGGCCAAAAACAATACTGTAATGATGCCCCAGCCTCCATATTCGCCAGACATGCTTCTGTCTGAATTTTTCCTATTCCCAAAAATAAAGAGAACCTTAAAGGGCCGTCGTTTTGCAAGCATAGATGACATTAAAAGCGCATCGCTGAAAGAACTAAAGGCTATCCCAAAGATCGAGTTTTAGAAGTGTTTCGAGTATTGGAAGAAGAGCTGGCACATGTGTATAATATCCAATGGGGACTATTTTGAAGGCGACAACATTAATGTAGACGAATAAATAAATATTTGTTTCATTAAACGAAAATTCCCGATATTTTCTGAACACACCTCGTATATAAAAATAATAGTTTGTTTGTTTAAACTATTAACGTTTACCTAAAAATAAGAATATTTGAATTTTTATTAATAGTTTTATAAAAACATGCAAAAAAGTATAGTAATTGGACATTTTATATAGTAATTGGACACATGGACCATAGTTATTGGACATACAATTTTTATATAAACATTACAACTTTACATCAAATAACATAAATTGTTAAATATTTTTTAAAGATAAATTGCTGTTTTAGGTAATTTTTTTTATTTCGTTTTTGTATATATCATATAATTCATATATTTCTTTCTCGGATTCTTCATTCCTTTTCTGGATTCTGAAGGTAACTACTAATTCCTTGGTCTGACTTCTGAAATAGTTTGTTGCAAATATCAAATTTGGTATCTCTAGTTTGTGAAACATTTATAATGTTTATGCCGAAACAGGATGATTTACATATATATCTATTTTTTTTCGGGTGGTACCTATGTTAAAAGTATTTTCTGAATTTATTAATTTTGTTGCCATTAGTTTTGTATATTCCCTATCATGCACTGCATTTAAATCACTGCTATTCTGCAAGATGTCCTGTGACGAAGAAATCACTATATTACTTACTCTCTAAAAATGAATTAGTCACAAATGGCATAGCGAAAAAGCAGCCACTAATAATTTTCGTTAACGGCAATTTGTATCCAGTACATTTAGCAGTCAATTCCTATGAAATATTATTCGCTGAATCCGAAAATGTCGTCAAAAGTTATAAAAGTAGAACAGTTTTTGAAATATATTCAGTTTTACATATAATATGGAATTGACTATATCTCAAAAACTGCTTAACTTTTATAGATTTTGACGGTATTTTCGGATTCAGGGGACAATTTTACATAAGAATTGGCTGGTAAATGTCCGGGATACAAATAGAGTATGATATTGGCCATATGTCCACTAATAAAAATTTACATTTTTTACCAACCAGTAATTGGACACTGGCCATTTTACTGTTTGTTTTCAGAATTAAAATAAAACGCATTAAAGTGTTTAAACCATGAGGAACACATTTATACCACACACTGATGTGTACACTTTTTAGAAATATTTTTTATTGTAATTTAAACACAGCCCTGCTCTTAACAAAAAAACAAAAATCATCTAATGATTTGACTTATAGACTTTTGTCTAAGACTTTATAGAACTCTTGTTTTTACAGTATTAATGTTAATTGTCCAATAACTATAAAGTCTTCGATAACTGTCTACTTTAACCTATAGGGTTTTCTCATAACATTTCTGGTATACCAGAAATGTTGTGAGAAAACAGTTAATTCCGTATATTCGTAAACAATAACACAAAACTAAACTAATCATAATTTCCAGCTTTTGAAAGGCCTGAAGCAGAACTTTACAAGAGTGGACAACGTAACTCTGGATAGTGTCAAGTAAGTTTTACTGAAAGAGAAAAATGCTGAAAACATTACTTTCCTTAATTGCTTGTTATAGTCATTTCATGTCTGGCGTTGATGTGGCCTTTCATTTTTATTGGCTGAAACGAGAAGAGAAGAAAGTCAAAGTTGTCCTTAGCAAATGGGTGGAAAAGGGGTACATTGGGAATATCACCATATTGGACAAGGAGCTCCAGATTAAGACGGTTTTGTCTATTCAGGTATAGTTTAAAAAATATGTTTCCTTTTTTTCCTACAATTTATAGAAATTTGGCACAGATTTTTTTTTAATGGAATGATACTACTTGTGGCACCTTGTTGGAAAGCTGTTTTAAAAAGAAAATTGACTGTGCAATTTTTTTCAACTTTTAATTGGTAGTTAATTTTTAATTAAAAAAAAAACATTATAAAAATTTAAAATTACAAAAATAAATTGACCATACAATTTGTCTAAAAACTTAAATAAATTTAAAACTTATGCAACGTTAAACCTACCTAAAGAGGTAAAACTACCCACAGTATTGTATGCAACCCATTATACATTTTAAGATGTGTCTACTGGACCCTTTCATAAAATGTTGTTTAATAAAAATAATAAGTTAATTTTATTAATTAGATTAAAAAATCACCGCGGGGGGCAAATATATAATAACCGCGTATTATAAAATGTGATTTATGATAAAATTTAATATGCACCTCGGCATCAATTCATTTTATATCACTTAATGGTTATTTGCGGTAATTTCCACATTCGTGATAAAAAAATATCTGAAATATCTGTGTTTACTAAATTTGAATACAAGGGAAGTGACGAGTATACCTAGGGTACTAATTAAATACATAATTTATTGGAAAATATAAGAATTATTGCAACTTTGAGCATAGTATACATTAAATATCTTAAAATCAAATAATACCACACATCAGTGGCGGCTGCTGGATTTTGGGTATACCGATATCTCAATTATTAGATATGGGACCCATACCAAATTTATATGAGTTTATAATGACATTAAATAAACAATTTAAATTGAAGTTTGCGAAAAAATGATAACCGAAACATCGAACATGGAACTGACGACACGGTACTGATGAATGGGATACAAATTTAAGATTATAATTCGGAATTAAATATTTTACTGATATTTTTTATTAGTGGATGCTACTTATTAACAAATCACATATAGCCTTATATAAATTACAATGAAATATACAGGGTGTCCGGAAAAAGGAGGTCAATCCTTTAACCATATATTCCTTGAGTTAAAACAATAAGACTTTCATAATACCATTTTTCAATTTAGAGCTTCATGTTCGATATACAGGGCGACAAAGTTTAAAATTTAAAACAGATTTTTTTTAATAATTCGAGTAATTAATAAGGTATTAAATTCAAATTCGGTACACTACTTCAACATAAATAGTTACATCTTTTGAGATCAACAAAACAAAAAACAATTGTCAAATAATCAAAATAGGGGGGTCCAGTACTCACTGACCCCCCCTATTTTTTAGTACGGGCGCCAGTGACTTCCAAACGGTATTTTTTCAGGTAATCATTTAGTGTTGAACATTTTTTGTCTCCTATAAAATTTTGATAAAATGATTTGTTTTAGAGATAATTTGTAAAGTATTGGTCCTTGATTGATCCCACGCGGCTTATGGCAATCTCATAATTTTCAAATGTAGTACTAGACCACCCTATTTTGATTATTTAACAATTGTTACATCTTTTGAGGACAACAAAACAAAAAACAATTGTCAAATAATTAAAATAGGGTGGTCCAGTACTACATTTGAAATTTATGAGATTGCCAAAAGCCGCGTGGGCATCAATCAAGGACCCATACTTTACAAATTATCTCTAAAACAAATCATTTCATCAAGATTTTATAAGAGACAAAAAATGTTCAAAACTAAATGATTACCTGAAAAAAGTACCGTTTGGAAGTCACTGGCGTCCATACTAAAAATAGGGGGGGTCAGTGTGTACTGGACCCCCCCTATTTTGATTATTGGACAATTGTTTTTTGTTTTGTTGATCTCAAAAGATGTAACTATTTATGTTGAAGTAGTGTACCGAATTTGAACTTAATACCTTATTAATTACTCGAATTATTAAAAAAAATCTGTTTTAAATTTCAAACTTTGTCACCCTGTATATCGAACATGAAGCTCTAAATTGAAAAATGGTATTATGAAAGTCTTATTGTTTTAACTCAAGGAATATATGGTTAAAGGATTGACCTCCTTTTTCCGGACACCCTGTATATACGTAAGAAAATAACTACTCATAACAGTACTGAAATTTTGACTGGAACTATACGTGCATTCACCACAACTTCGCCGCTTGCATAGTTTTCATTGTCGTGCAAAGGGCGGGCTGTGTAGGTAATTTTTTACCAAACGAGGACTTGACGTTTAAACTTCAATATTTCGCAGGAATTTTGAATTTTAACATTCGACACAGAACTGACGTGTAAAAGTGAGTACAAAGATTATCAATTTTTTAAAAATTGCTATTATTCTAATCTATGATAAAATATGAAAAATACACTATTTAATGTTTTATAGTTTGTAGTGAAATTAAAAAATTTAAGATATATTTTAAAATAAAATCTCTCAAATTTTTGATTCAGGAGTTGTGACACGCCAAGGTACTGATGTTTTGAATATTTATTATGTTTTTCTACAAACGTGCTTTTGAAAAAATACATTAAAATTGGGTGGACAAGTTAAAAAAAACTGGATCTTTTGTAATATACTTAAATATTTACAAAAAATATTAAAATACCTACTCTATTGACTGATGACAACAAGTTACCCAACTTTTGTAGAATATATATATTTAAATTTCTACAGCACTTAAAAATAACGAAAATATAGGAAAATTTTCCTATATTTAAAGTACCAAAAACTAAATTTGCGATAAGATTTTTTTAAATAAATGTAAATAATACAAAATGCATTTTGTATTATTTGCATTTATTTAAAAAAATCTTATCGCTTTAGTTTTTAGTACGTTTTCCTGTATAATCTAAAATAATAAAATATTTTTTTTAAATAATAGACTTTATTATTTGCGGAAACGTTGAACATTGCGACATATTAACACCGTTCCACCACATTTGAATATCACTATAAACCTTTTCAGATTTTTCGTTTAATTTTTTACATAAATTACACAAAGTGTTTTTAATACTCCTGTGAGTTACATAGTGTTTTTTCCAGTTAAAAAAGTTCATATAGGCACTAATATTACTATCTATTTTATTAATGTAGTTTACTAAATCGGGAACTGTTTGAAATTTGCTAACGTCTATCACTGAATGTGGGGGAGCTATAGCACTATAATTCGCACCACCGTAAACTATGGGTATCACGTTTTTGTCAAGTACATTGAAGAGTTTTTCTGTTACATAATCGTTGCACACGGTGTTTTCGAATGAAAGGTAAAATTTGTAGTTTTTTTCGAGATAATCATAACATTTATTAGAATCCCTAGAGCAAGTTTTATTACCACACCTCCCATAAATATCTATGTCTACATATTTTTGCATTTCCTTAACCAATTTTTCCCTAAAACCCTTCGTTTTGCAATGTGATACAAACCAGGCTATTTTGTGTTTCCTTTTTTTAATCGATTCCACTGATGGTAGCGTATAGCTCGTATCCTTTTTAACAACACTGCCATAAGGACGAATAAAATCGGAATCCTTCCTAAAGGTCATCGTCCAATTGTAAAACTTCCCGAACTTGTCCAAGTTTTTAGTGTTGGCCGCAGATTCCAAATTGAAAAAAATGTACCTTTGGTGCGGCGATCTTTTCTTCGGTTTTTCCTTTAGAGAATCATATTCGTAACCGTGGAACATTAAAGCGTCGAATTTTTCGATCGGCATGAGTAATTTATTGCTTGTCGCATAACAATTTCGCACTGGGCATTCTTTAAAAATATCACCTGAGCCAAAGTAAAAGTTTTCGTCATTAAAACATTTTGTGTAGTAGAGAATAACTTTTTTTTCACTGCCTTCCACGTGTGCATCGAAATATTTAACTTTCGAAACATAAATTTCTTTTTGCGTATAAAGCACAAAAATAACGATTAAAATCGCTATTAAACATATTAATTTCGTTTTAATGTTCATTTTACACTTTTTTAATAAACAAAAAACACTAAATAGTTTTGGTGTACGACGTATATATAGGTACAAGTAAATAATATTTACTAAATTTTTAAACTGTTTTAATATACCCATGCCAACTCATCCTACCGATTGGATTTGCATCTCCGATTTCGCTGAAATTTGGGTATCTTTTTGTACCCTTCGAAAAAGGTTTCTATGAATTTTTTCAAATTTTTTCATTCAGCCAATCGAGAGATATGAATTTTCGAAAATTTCGGGTATTTTTTTTTTAAATAGCCATAACTTGGTGAAAAATTGTCCGATTTGGGACTTTTTTTTTTCAAATTTCGTGTTTTTTGATGAACTTTTTGAAAAATTTATGCAAAAAATTATTCATCATAAATTTGATTGTTTTTTTTTCATTCCAAAGTTAAAACAAGAATTTTAAGATTGTTTGTATCCTTCAAATTTTTTTAAAAAATTCTCAAAAATTCTACTCTTCAAAACACAAATTTTAAGCCTAGTCTCGTAATGGGATAATAATGGGTTATAATTTTTTTTTAATTTTTAAATTTTTTTTTTCTGTTTTTTTTTCACTATTTGTGTATTACTGGCGGCTTTATTAGATGAGATTCGAAAAAAATCATACATCAATATAATAAATAATTGAAGTCAAAATTTCAATTTCTAAGGTAAATTTTATTTATAACTTTTTAAAGGTTTTTTTTTATTTTTTCTGGCGTTTGAATATTTTACAAGAATAAGTTTTATTTGAGCAAGAAATCAGTTTCATTGTGAGTGATCCATCTGTATTTGGTATAACGCAATGATACTTTTGAGTACCTGTGATACTTTTAGCTTTTGAATAACGTATATTTAAATTCTCTGTAGCTTTTTCATAATCTGCAATAGTTGAATATCTTACTTCGATTTTTGGCAAGTTATTAGATTGCGCAGCCCATTGATACAACTCTCGGGGGTTTGAAATTTGTTTATCGAATGGTAACTGAAGACTAGCTCTTGCTGCACCTCTTTTTAGTGTTCCTCCTACACCGTCACAAGGTCCTTTGCCATGGTAGCTGGCAAAGAAATGCCATTCAGCATTTATTCCAAAATCTTCCTTGTGATAATATAAATTAACAAAGTTTTTGTAATTCTTAAATTGTTGCGGAGCTCCATCGGAAAAGTAGAATATCTTTTTAGCTGTATTGGACAAGGACTTTATAAAATCAGTAACGATTTTCAAAAAGACGTAAACTAATTTATGCAGTGAATAAAATACTCTTCAAAGTAAAAAAAAAAACTGTAAATGGAACATAAAAAAAAATAATTTAAAAATTAAAAAAAAATTATAACCCATTATTATCCCATTACGAGACTAGGCTTAAAATTTGTGTTTTGAAGAGTAGAATTTTTGAGAATTTTTAAAAAAAATTTGAAGGATACAAACAATCTTAAAATTCTTGTTTTAACTTTGGAATGAAAAAAAAACAATCAAATTTATGATGAATAATTTTTTGCAAAAATTTTTCAAAAAGTTCATCAAAAAACACGAAATTTGAAGAAAAAAAAAAGTCCCAAATCGGACAATTTTTCACCAAGTTATGGCTATTTAAAAAAAAATACCCGAAATTTTCGAAAATTCATATCTCTCGATTGGCTGAATGAAAAAATTTGAAAAAATTCATAGAAACCTTTTTCAAAGGGTACAAAAAGATACCCAAATTTCAGCGAAATCGGAGATGCAAATCCAATCGGTAGGATGAGTTGGCATGGAATGCCCCATATATATAATATTATCATATGTTATAGGATATGTTCTTATCAGTATTTAATATATACAAATTTTTTTGAAAACTATTTTTTTCTCAGAGAATTCACAATATCCTTAACTTTTTTCGATCAGTTTATATTAATATTAAATTATTTAAATTGTGGTATTTCTATCCAGCAGGTCAAAATATTTATTAATTAAAATATCAATTAATTAATGTTTATTTTCTTAAAAGAATATTTTATACTTCTACACGCTATGGTTTTAAAAAATGAGATACTTTTTTTGTAATATATCATTGGGTAAAAAATAAAAAGTAAATAAACATAGATGTTTAAAGCAGATCTGCTAATTAAAAAAAACATTTTTTTTCAATGGAACAACACCGCAGTATATTTTTTTAGAAAATTTTTTGTTCTGATTTTAAAAATATTTAATTTGTATAATTTATGTACTATTGCTCCACACCCAAAAGTCCCACCATTTGAATACAAATAATATTTCAGTTTAACGCTAATTTCGTGTTTTCAGAACATAAGACGAAATTAGCTTTAAACTGACAGATACATAACCTCAATTAGTCAAATTCCTTATTCAAATGTCAAAGTGAGACTTTTTGATGTAAAGCATAGACCATGCTGCATAGTACATATTATTATATTATAATATATTAGGTCGGTTAAATTAAAAAAAAGTTTTTAAAGTCCATTAACATGACATTTAAAAACCGAAAAAAAAATCTGCGGTTCTTAAATGATTTAAAAAAAACTAAATACCTGTAAAAAAATCACTGCTACTTTGTTATTCCTGTGAATTTTGAAATAAAAATAAGTTTTACGTGTAAACATTCACAATTTTTTACATTTATATTAATTTGTGCTTTTTTAGCATTTAGATTTTGAGATACCGCCATATATTGTTTTTCTATGCTTAAATAGACTCAAAACATAGTAACGAAGGTTTTTAGTTTTTTTTCAAATATTTCGGGAACTGCTGGCTTTTTTTCCAATTTAAATTTTTGTGATTCTCCGCTTTTACTGAATTATTATACAGGGTGTCCCACAATAGATAGAAAAAAATACAGGGAGTCCCTGTCTGACGTAAAATAAATAACCTATAACTTAAATTTTGACATTTAAATTTGGCATTTTCTAACATTGTTGTTTGTTGTCATGATGATTAAGAATTAAACTATTACTTTGTTATGAGGCAATGTTGCCATATAAAGAAAATATGACTCCCCTGTATCTTATTAAATAATATAGAAAGAATGTTTTAAACAATTTTCTGGAATTCCTGGGGGTCTTTAGATAATACACCTTCATTTTGTCGCACTAATTGTGGGAAACCCTGTATTATATTTTTATTATTATTATTTTTTAATTTACAGAGTTTTACCGTGAACCAAGTTGGAATTTTACGGGAAGGCGACGAGTTTATATTGTCCTGTGTGGCCAAAGGCTCCCCTAGCATGATTTTTAGATGGTTTAAAGATGGTCTCCTCATAAACGTCACAACAGAAAGGTAAGTTAAAAAATCATATCATATCATATCAAAATCATATATGTATTGTATGCTCTAAGATGACACCGTGTCATCTTAGAGCATACAATACATACAGTTAATTTTTTTATTTGGACTCGTTTTTTTTATCAAGTTGGTAGCTTATGCCAGTTTGATTTAGTATTTAAAAAATGGTACTTTTGCTGGAGACCTTAATTAAATACTCTGACATTGTCAAATTGCCAGTAATATTTATTATTGTTAATTTACTTGTTAATTATTATTATATAATATTAATTGATATAAAAAGATAACTATGCCAAAAATAATATCAGAACTTTTAAGGGCAAAACTTCATTTTTGGAGTAAAAAAGTAACGTTTTTGGTTTTACAAATATTAAATCACACATTATTTTTAGCTAAGCAGATCAAAATTTTTTGAAATTTTAAAATATAAGGGAAATAAAAAATCAAAAAATCAAAATTATTTGCTGTTAGGTTCAACCTTTTTGTGAAAAATCTAGTAGTTAATTTTCCTGTCTTTGAAAATAGCATCCATTTGGTTTGAAAAAGATAAGCAATAATCACGAAACTTTTTCTTCTTTTAAATTGCAAGTTACTGATCATTAATAGTCCTGGACAATATATACATTATAATTATTATTAAGCAACTCCAAGTATTAACGTCCAGTGGCTTTAACAAAATACCCATTCACCATTGGGGTCCAATGATTTGACAACATTCACGTGTGTTCACATAAAATTTTAATTTCTTTTATATAAATTCTTTTCAAAGCGAAGATTATTATCCGCTAGGAATACTTTGTCTCTCCCGGGCCGTAGTCACCTATATTTAACTACTTTTTTATATGATTTTAATCATCTACGCCCCACCAAAGCCAACTTGACAACCGTTCAATGTAACCTACAATAATTTAAACATAACCACAATTACATTATAGTTACATTTATAACTATTTTAGTTTGTTTTAATCAATGCAACCCATTTTGGTTCCGTATTTACCAACCAAACCCCTAAATTTGCAACGTTGCCGCAGTCCAGATAAAAAAAATGAACTTAAGATAAAATTTGACCGTTTCAATGTCAAAGGTAAAACATTTTTAGTCATAAATGGACCAGATTAATAAAAGATCCCCACGTGATTGACCAATACACGGCCCTATTGGCTATACAAAGTGCCAAATACCTAGATGATGGCGTATTCACCTGTCAAGTGGAAGATTATGGGATTCAGCAGTGCTTGTCGAAAAAAATACAAATAGGAAAACCTCCGAAAGTCAACATAGAGCCAATGAGTATTACTGTGGAAAAGGTGAGAAATGTTTTCCTGAATAATGTTAAATCTGGCAACACTGTCCGAAAACCACAACTTTTAAGGATTTTTAATTTGTCATTAATAACATATCGTTTTGAAATTTATTTACAAATCTTAAATGCTGCTTCATTATATCGATGACTTTGCGCCAAAGTATCGCAAGCAACATAACTCAAATTTCGGGAATTGAAAACATGTTTTGTTTTAAATTCTGTTTTAAATCATATATAACCTGTAGGGTTTATAACAAGTAAATATATATAATTATAAGCTATTTACTTGTTATAAAACCTTTAGACTATATTTAAGTTAAAACAGACTTTAAATCAAAAATTGTTTTCAATTCCCGAAATTTCAGTTATGTTGCTTGCGATACTTTGGCAGAAAGTCATCGATATATTTTTTATTTAGGAATTATTCTTATGTGTTACCACTAAAGTGATATTTCCAATTGGATAAAAAATATCATATAAGAATTTTTATTCTGTGAATCAAAAATATCATGGTAGATATTTGAAAATTAGATTTAATTTTTATGCCAAACTGATATTTTTAATGTAGTAAATCTAAAATATCTGTTTCTTATATTTGGGTGAATCTCACGAAATGTCCCCCGATGATATTTAATAAAACTAAATGAGTTTGACCTACACTTTTATTGTGTTTTGATCTTTCATAACTAAGTAGATATTACAGCTCAGGTTCCAGATTTTTAACCGCAATTAATTATTTTTTACAATGATTTAAAAGTCTAAAACCTATCCTCCGTGACTGTTACTCTTTCTAGGTTAACCTATATGTTTTCAAATATCTTAGGTAGTAAAAGCATACTAAAAATATCAGTTCACTAAGTAAATTAAACACATCCAAAGCAATCGAATCAAATATAAAATATTTTCAAAAATTAAAAGAAATAATTTTTATAATCATTTATGTAGGTGTTACAAAAATTGGTTCTAGACTCCTTGAATCTGTTTTTGCTTTAAATTTTATACAATGGATGGCGCTTTAATCATTTTAAATAAGCAAAAACCTTTATTTACGACATTATAGATGCATGTGATTCCTGAAGGTCAGTTAGAATATATATGCAGATGAGAGTGTTGCTGTTTTATAATTCAAAAGTTTAAGTTCATTAATTTGCAATTTAAAAACCTATCCACCGTGAAGTGTAATATCTCAGTAAGTGTATTTTTTTATATATATTTTATGTATGTACAATTGTATTTAAAAAAAAAATTAAGGTGTCAAAAGATACAATAACTTATTTCAAATATACAAAGGGATGTTAAAAAAACATACGAAATCCTAACCTCCGTGAAGCTCTAATATTTAAAATGTATGATTTCTTAAAATTCTTACATTAGTGCAGAACCACTTATGTTATGTTATTACTAGACCTGGTGGCTTCCCAAAAACCCCATTCTAGACTAACAGTGAAACAACCAAAAATAAAAAATAATCATTTTCACTGGAAGGACATCTCAACATATTTACCTATTTGTATTTTTTTGCTAAACGCATATTTTTTGTTCGCTTGAATAAAGATTAGATTGTTTTTTATGCCAAACTCATATTTTTAATTTAATAAATTTAAAATATTTACTTCCTATATTAATTTTATTATTATTTATTTATTTATTATTTATATTTTTAACAACAAAAAATTTCTCCAAAAATATGTGTTTAGCAAGTTATCATTTGGCATAAAAATTATATATAATTTTTAATTAAGCGATTTAAAAATGTGTGTTTAACAAAAAATTACAAATATAAGAAGCAGATATTTTAAATTCATTAAATTAAGAAATCAGTTTTGCAAAAAAATTAAATCTAATTTAAAAAATCTGCCATGATATTATTAATTCACAGAATAAAATTTTTTAACAGATAAATATATTTCATCAATAAAAAATAAAACGGCACCCTCATGAAATTTAGCTACATTAGTTGCTTAAGACTCAAAGTTACTATTTTTATTTGGTTTTATCATTTCAGACGCGTAAAACCATATAAGGTGTAAAATTCTCTTTTATTGCTGGAAAATGGTTTTAGTCTTTAAGCCTGTGCGATATCGGGCACTTTACGGTCTCCAGTTTAAAATTAAAGTTTAATGCGGCAAACAAAAAGTCTGTTTACCACTGATTAACCTGCCTTTTCAACACTTTCTGTCTGACGTGTTCTTTATGCGGTCGTAATATTTCACCCTCTGCCCGTTATAGCCCCGTTAAATTGTAACAAATTCGTTTTTTATTAGGGCGAGAATTTCACCATCAAATGCATCACCAAAGAGGACACTAACGGCCGAACGTACAACTATTTTTGGACGAAGAATAAGAATTTATTGCCGGTAAAAACTGACACGGAACGTTATGAAGTTTTGTACCCATCAGGGACCATTCTACAAATATTTAATGCTGAGGTAAGTTTTACTCAATTATTCAAGTCTAATTTTTGCGTCTATAGAGAAATCAGCGATTTTTGATAACTTAACAAAAAATTACTGTTTTTACTTGAAATACTAAGAAAAGTAAGTAAAAATTGTATGAAATGTTTTTTTAACCCTGATATCGAGTATTGATTAAATTAAATTCTTAAACCGACCGACATGAGAGCATCTCAGATTTTAATAAAAAAAATTAGTGGACTATAGAATTTCGAAATAAAGGGTGTTACAGTTAATAAAAAAATATGGTGCCATCACTACTTTTTTATGAGTTTAATATTATACTTAACTTAAGCAATTAAAAATAAAAATTTTTGGAAAGCAAATAAACGAATTTTATTTTTTTCTTGAAAATTAACAAAAAGAAAATTTGTAAAAATATTAAACTTACAAAATATAGTAGGGTTCCCAAATTTTATTTTTAAAAATCTACTTGGAATGGCTTAACGCCTTTGCCCATTGCTAAAACCCTAAAAAGTTGTATTAAACTCGGCCAAAAAGTTTTTAAAATTTTTGAAAAAATAAATATTTTATATCGAAAACGAAGCTTTAAAACATACAATTTCATATAAACTTTTCATCTTATATATTACTATATTAATATATTATGGAACAAAGTACAAATTACAGTTGGAAAACCTACCTTTCTACGTAACAATTTGGCATAGTGGGATAAATTTAAAAATGGTAGGACAAATTCGCACAGAAGTTCAAAATTAAAAAATTGTGGCACAGTAGGATAAAAATACAAAATAGTGGAATTAATTTTAAAATTTTTATAAATTTAACAATTTCAAGAATTTGCTAAATCTTCAAAACATCAGAAAATTTCAATGAGTTTAGTCTCTGTCGTGCGTTTACTCTTCGACACAACTGCTTTTTTATTTTTTTATGTCATGATTTTTTTGCAGCCTGATATAGATTAAATTTAATTCCTAAAAGTAAATATTTGTATGCATAAATTAACAAATTAAATTCGGTTTGGGTCAAATAAATCCTTTTTAACGAAATTTAATTTCAAAATCCATTTATACCTACTTCGAATAATTTAATTTGAATTATTTAGGTAATTAGCCTGATGGATACATTGAACTTTATATTTCAAAGCATTTTGTGTTGGAGAGAAATCTCCTTAATATATAAACGTACCACTGCTACAATGGATTACATAATAAAACAAAAAAATAAATAAAAATAAACGCATAAATTATTACGGTTATTGAGTGATTTTACCGAATATAATCTGTAAAAGGTAAATATTTTACAGAATAACACGTTAGCTATTCTGTGGCCAACGTAATATTCTGTATTTTTTTTGCTGTGTATATCAAATGTTAGTATATTTTCAAGGGATACATTTTAATTTACACAGAAAAATTTAAGATTTTAACGCCGGTAGATTAGAAATTCTAACGTGAATTTCAATAAATAGTTACAACTGTCAGTTTTTGTACCTTTAACATTTCCTGTGTAAGAATTTTTAATACTTTGTAATAATATTTTGCATTTATAGTAGTAAAACAAATCAAAGGATAACATAATCATATTTATAAGTTATTTTAATATTTTGAAGTACCTATGAATTGATATATAAAAGCGTTGATTAAGAATTCTTTAAAGTCTCCATTCAACGGTAAAATACCATTATATTATGTAATATATAATATTATGTTGCCATGAATTCGTAGGTATATTTTGTTGTTAAAATGCAGTTGTCGGCGTTTTTTAGAGAAATCAAATATAAAAATGGTTGATTTTAAGGTTATGTTTGTGCAAAAATAATTTTTTACTAATTTTTTAAAAATGTCCAAACTTAAATATTAATTATATTAGGTAAAGTTATCATTAGTTAATTCTGCACCAATAATCTACATGAAAATGCAACGATTTAGTTTTTGAATTTTATTTACAATTAAAAACACAATAATTCACCATGATCCCTTAGATAAAATACACACACTAACGTAATTATATAAGCATTTAAGCGTTGAGTTTCTTAATCAATGATATAAAGAATAATCTATCGAAATCGAGTTCTAAACCAGTTTTTTTATTATTATTTTAACGTAAAGTATTTTTAATAGAAAAAGTATAGTATGCAACTCGTTCATAAACTCCATACATAATATACTATTAAAAGATGTTGGATGTGTATTTTAAAAGTTTTTACTAAAGTAAAAGTAAACTTTTGATAATATTAATAAATAAATGGTTTTAAAACTCGTTAAATCTCTAAAAAACATAAATAATGTTTTTCACATAATTAGAAAATCGACAATTAGTGCTTAAAGTCATCACCAAAACATCACAATAATATATTGTATTATATTATTTTTATAACATTTACACACGTCCCGAAAGGTACTCATTTCCATAACTCTCTGTATATTAAACATTTGTTTAAGAAATACGTTCAATACTCATGCAAAGTGCAAGACGGTTCGACCTCTTCATCCGAAATGGTAGTCGACGTTAACGTAGTGGACAAATTAAGTGTGCGCACGTGTGCCAAACACATTTATTTGGAGCTGAAATGGCCCGAAACAGCTCCCGACACGACCTCGATACAACTGTGCCCGGAAGGGTACACGGGCGTAGCCTACAGAAGCTGTTTGCTGAGAGATGGAAAAAAACCGGCGTGGGCCCTGCCAGATTTTTCGCAGTGTACCCATAATCAGTTGGCAGTTTTTTATAAGAAGGTAGGTGCCCAAGCAACAATTTAAATATTCGTTACGTATATGGGACTATTGAAAAAACTTTAAAGTGTTTTGCGACAGTCGCCGGTCTCTTTCTTTACTAAGTTACGACTAAAGTGGGGAACAATTATTGAGTTCCAAAAAGGTAACAAATATGTCCCTAGCTATAAACCCTGCTACTATTTGGAACGTAGCTGCTACGTTACTGGAACGTTTCAATATTGTTGCTAGAGCTTTATAATTACTTTTATCTCCACGCGGTCTATAATTTAAACTTTATTGTTGTCAACATTCGATAAAGAAATACCTTGATATGGCCTAGGCCGATAAAAAATTTTATGAGGCAAGTAATTAGTTCGATTTTTTCTCGCTAGGGGTATTGTTTTGACAAATTAATCCTTTTCTAAGAAATTAACGAACTAAACTGGTTTAATTTATTTATAATAAGCACTAATTTGTTTGTTTTACTGTTAATGTTTAATATTTTTTATTAAATTATTGTAAAATTAAATATGAATAATAAAACAGTGAGTTTAGGCAACCAAGAAAACGCACGATTCTTTTTCTACGATTTAAATTATCTATAAGTTTTAATTTGCTTTAAGTTTTCAGTGAAATTAAATGTTAAACACAGCTTAAACATTCCAAACAACCTATTTTTTAAATAAAAATCCAAACAAATTGAAATTAGATACCTACCTATTTATTAAACAATTAATTGAATTCAATGTAATAGCAAAAATCATGTAGCTAGGTATTGTCAAACTATTACTGCTTCTAAAAGCAATAATAATTATTGTACATTTAATGTAATCTTTAGCTAATAAATAAATGAGTTTCTAAAAAAGTGAGGTTAGGCCGTTTTGATGTTGAATTAAATTGACCTATATAAAGTGCTTTGAAGATAAAATGTTGTATGCCATTCGGATAAGAAGTACCTTTTTGTGCTTCAAACCTTGAGCTTAGCACAAAAATCCTTACTTCTTAACCTAATGACATAAATAACTATTATTTATTTGTTTTTACTTCTATATTAACTGTCTTTGTCAAACTTATATTGGATTATACTATCCCTCCTTTTTTAAATGGAACCACTACGGACTTGGCTTTTCAATGTCGTCGTTTATTAAATATGCACTGGTAGTTTATAACTTCCAGAATAACAAAATAATGTTTAATTAGGCAGGTAAATTTATAAACCCTTTAAATTTTTACTCTTGAATTTAGTTTTTGTAAAATAAATGCGCTTTATCAATATTTAAGTATAAACAAATTATTTATTTAATAATGTTTATAAATAAAGAAATCTTAATATTTAGTATTAATTTTTTATTTAATTATAATACCGTCTATTACCAACAAAATTACTATTTATTAAAAAGTAAACAACCATTTACAAACAATTAAAAAATTTATTATTTACATTACCACGTGGTACTGTACAGTATTTAATGGCCGATAAGAAGCATTTTCCTTTGAAGTAGTTTTCGCTACTTTAAAGTTTTTAATTTACTTTACGGTAGTTTTGGTTAATACCATAAACGTTCCAAATACTAAAATAGTCACTTTTAAGTTATTAACTTTGTAGTTTTTAACTCATGTTCCAGTTTCGAGATTTTAACTTGCAAAGGGACTACAAAGTAAAAATAATTATAATTTAATCTTTAGGTAGCAGCCGAAAGTAACTGCTACAACTTAAATTTACTTGAAAGTTTTTTACTTATAACACCTTTTTTAAAGTTGCAAAGTCTTCTTAGGTACAATCATATTATTATATGTTTATTACTTTATAGTAACCATTTAAGGAAAGAATGAAGTTTCTGTTTCAAAATATTGTTATTTAAAAGTTAGAATTACTTTTAAGTAAAAACAGGGCTCCTACACCTCCTAAAACTCATATAATTCCTAAAATTTTCCTAAAATTGCCATCAATCTCCTAAAACTAAAAATTAAATATAAATGGGCCAACCTGACTGCGTTGAATTAAGGTAGTTGTACTAAAAAATTTCTTTTTAAAATGATATAATATCACAACCAACATTTTTCTTAAAAAACAACAAAATATACCTAAAAAGCAAAATCTATGTAAGTAATAGCTCTTAGACTTCTACAAAATTGTAATTTTTTTTTTAGACAAAAATATACCGTATTATATAACAAACAAAAAGATATTTAATTTTCCTTTAAATGGCAACTAAAATAGTACACAATCTAAATAATGTTTTCCTGTATATTGCAAATTCCATATATTATCTATTATGAGATTTTTGAGTATTCAATAATTGTTAGGTATAATTATGTTAACTAAACGGTTAAGATTTTTTTCTTAAAATATAAAATTTATTTAATATAACATCATTTGATTTTGGCCTAGGTTTTTAGCCCAATCTATCGACGCGTTTTTTTTAAATAAAATTAAGATATACAAAAGTAGTAATTTTACCTCACTTTTAATTTTATTACAAAAATACCCGATTTTGCTAAAAAACTCATTATACTACTTATTTGTACAAAGGAATTGATAATTAAATTTTTCTTAGAAAGAATTATATATTTTTTTCTTATTTTTTAAATATAGTGTAGAGTTGTTTTTATTTAAGAGAAATCCATTTACTTAATTTATCCTAAAATTTTACGAAAAACCTCCTAAATTCCTAAATAAAATTTCTAATTTAGCTGTGGGAGCCCTGTAAAAATTAAAGTAGCTGTTTGGTATACTTAACTAATTTAAAGTTATCACCACTTTGGTATTGGTTTTTGGAACCAAAAATGCTGCTTGCGAAAAATTAAAACTTTATTTATAAATATTAGATGGAGCTGTTAAAACTGGGGTACATATCCATGCCAACCGAAGAACTCTTCGAGAAAATCCTGCAATTCCTGCTGTGGAGCAACAGGACGCTGCTCCCCGGCGAGGGAGCGAGAAACTTGTACATTGTCGACAATATTTTGAATTTTCTCGACACCTCGCACATTCCGATGAATGGCGTTAACGAATCTATAATTTCCGTAATTGACAATGTTTTAACTAACAGGAATTCACTGATCAATCAGACGGTAAGCTCGTGTAAAGTTTGATTCGCGCTGATTTAATCGAAGTTATATTTTGCAGTACGTACAAATTGTACCGCAAGTGATTACCAAGTATTTGAGTATTTTTACTGCTGGACTTATGGGGAACGAGTCTGCGGTGCAGTATAAGTATCATACCATGGATTTGACTATGCTGAATTTGACCATGATTAATGAGAATAATTTTTATATTCCTCCGTTGGGGATAAGGTAAGTTAACTACCAAAATTAACTTTTTAGTATTTAAAAAAAATGTACTTTTTAAATAAAGATTTTTTTATTAAATTACAATAAAATAACTAAAAATGCATATCTTAAAACATTTTTTAAAATTGGTAAACGAATTTTCTTAAAAAAGTTATATTAATATTTTTTTTCTTTAAGCTTTGGAAAATTTATGATTTTTACTACATAACATTTACATGTTTTCATAATGTCATTTTTATATGCAGTTCCTACCTAACTTTTTAAGATTTTTCAGGGATTAAATTTGAGAACTTTGTCTATTAATTTCTTTAAAATTAAATTATTATTTAAATGTTTTACTTCAAAAATTTATATATTTTATATGAAGGGGTAGAAAGTAGTGTAGTGCATGAAAATAGTGCAGAATTGGGTAGTTTAGGATCCAACTTTTTTTTATAACGTAAAAATTGTTCTGCTTGTTGCAAACAACAAAATTACAACAATTATCCAGATTTTTGCTCTTTAAAAGTTAATAACTCAACTTCTCTTTTTTGCACTTGTACCCTTTTGATTCTTACCCCTTCATACCTACATATATACTTATAAGTATATTTTGTACATTCTTTTACAATATATATATTTTATAGACTTTTATTTAAACTATAGTATACAGACTAATATTTAAATATTGAGCACTGTAATAAACTGTTTCTATATTTAAACGGTTTTCAAGGAAAAAAAATTCGATTTTAATCATAAACTCACAATATTTGATGTTGCCAAAGTAAATTTGAATTTGTAATTAAAATTGTGCAGTTAGGAATTAGTTTAAACTTAATAATAAAGACCTGAACAAACATTCAAATCGTTATCGTCATGTTTGATTATTTCGTAAAATTATTCGTTTATTAATTAAAAAAATTAAATTTGTGCTTTTAATACGTTATTATATATCTGTACCCCAGAGCCATATTGTAATATAATACCTATTATAGGTAATATAATAGTCCACTTTTTTAAAATACACTGCGCGTCAAAATTAACGCATAATAAGTAAAAAAATTATAACTCTAAAACGCCTTTACTAATCTTTATGAAATTTGGTATAAAAATACTTCAACTTATATTTTAGTTTACGTGTTCGAGGGTTTTTCGAGAAAATATTTTTAAAGCCCTTTTATTTAATAATAAAAGCAACGTTTGAAAAATAACTTTTAGGGAAATTTTTTTATAGTAAATAAAAAATATGGTGTTAATTTTGACGCGCAGTGTAACTACATATTTTTTTGTCTAGAATTAAGTGCTGGCTTGCTTAGTTTTTTGATATATCATTGGTAAAAGCAAAAAATGTATGCAAAAAATTTGTTACGTTATAAATACAGTCTGGCTCAGGGGTATACAGGGATCACCAAGTATCCTTCTATTTATGGTTATCTTTTTTATTTGAAAAGATACAAGGTTGGTTAAATTAGAGAAAATTTGCGTACAAGTTTATTAAAAATTTAGCGGTTTTCAAATAATTTAAAAAAACTGAAAACCTGTCAAAACCAAAAATCGTTATAAGTATGTTTTACTTGTAAACATACACATTTATCTACAGTTTTATCCAATTTGTGATTCCACCATCTTTTGTTTTTGGTTGGATAGAAAAAAATCAAGAAATCCAACAATGTATCAAACTACATACATGTTATGGCGGCCATTATAAAAACAAAAGATAGTGATGGACCATCACTGATGGTAACTCAAAATATAGTAACAAAGAAATTGGAAGAAAATGCACATTAATGTTTATGTTTAAATGTAAAACTTACTTTTTATTAAAATTTCCAGAAATAACGAAGCTATGGGCGTTTCTCTGTAAACTGGGCAACTCATTGTCTCAAGCTAATATTGTTTAGAAAAATAACAGATCATAAATATTTCGTAGATAACTTCAAAAGATAATAACCTAATCTACCTATGCTCGACGTTCAAAATCCAATAAAATAAACTTTAATGTATCAAAATCGTTTTTATAGTCCTTAAAAACCAGTCCCCTGACGTGTCACCAAAGCAAAATGGTCACTTCTGACTAAATTAATTAAAGACAGTAACTATTGGAATCAACCTAATTGTTTAATTATTCAACCAATATTGTTTGCTTGTTACTGTGACTTATTTATTTTTTATAATTATTATTTTGTAATTCTAAAAAAGTCATCTAAACTTTGTCTCCGGATTTTATAAACAGTCCCCTGTATAGATTTTTCAGAAAATGCTCAATGTTTTCCAAAGTAATAGGAATATTTTTGGTTCATCTGCCGTATACTAATAAATAGACCGATATTTATTCCTCGAATAACATTTATTAAATACAACAAAAATATAACAAAAAAACAATTGCCTAGACAATTTCTTACTTCAAGTTGCCCAGTTTACAGAGAAACGCCCCTATAACGATTTTTGATTTGAAAGTTTTTTAGTTTTTTTTTTATTATTTTAAGAACCGCTGGCTTTTTTTAATTTATAAATTTCATTTTAATACAAGCGTAAGTTACGTATCTCTTTAAATAACAAAAAATCACATGTACATAAGTATACACATAGGATACTTGGTGCACTCTGTATATATATATTCCTATATTCCACAATATTTTTATGATTTTTTTAAAATGTTTTAGCTATTCTGATTTACATGGAATAACAGTTGATGGCAGATTTCGTTTGCAGAAAAACACGAAAAATAACATTTTATCAATGACTCTTTACAAAAATATTTCTACATTTTTACCGCCAAGATCTTACCTAAGAATCAAGTAAGTGTAGTATAAAATTTGACTCATTTTAAACTTTTAAATCTCTACCACGCGTCGACTTATTTTCCAGAGACGGCTCCGAAATAAAATACGAAATCCTGTCGGAAATCCTCAGTTTCACGTTCAACAACGAGGGCAACTCGATAATACAATCGCTGCGCATCAACTTTCCGCGCAGAATTTATAACCACAGCCAAGTTGACGCTTGGAGCGTCAAGTGCGCATCGGCTGACCTCACCTCGTTCACCGACCAATGGGACATCTACAATTGTTCCACTGTGACCTTGGAGGATGGCACTGTGCAGTGCGTGTGCCCGTTTGCCAGAACTGTTGCGCTGCTATTGACAACAACGCCTGTCAAAGTAAGTTTTAAATTTTCTTTAAGATCCCCCAAAATATAGATGTCCAAAGATTATCCAAACTTGGTATGAATTTTTATCTAAAGTTTTCAAGAAAAAAAGACCTAAAATAATTCTTTATTTTTATCTTTTCTTACAAATAAAATGCATGGTTTAGTTCAATAATTGCTTTTTTCTATTTAAGGAGAAAATCATTTATTTCTGTTGTCATATCTACAGGGTGTTATGTAATTAATGTAATATATTAAAATACTGAATACCTAACGGAAAAATAATTAAAAAAATATTTTCCCAAAGATAAAGAAAAAATATGCATTAGAAGATTTTTATATTTTTTGGGATACACAATTGTGTTCTGTTTGTGCGCGTTGCAAGTTGAAAAAAATTGTTACTAAAAATTTTTCTTGCAAAAAATAAATAAAAACTCAATAAATACAAAAGTGAATTTAAGAATTGTCAACAATACATTTAAAGGATACGAACTGTAGATCATTTTTAAATAAATAGGTAGTTTTTTTACAAAAAAGGGGAAGGCAGAAAGAAGTCTTACTCGACAAATTTTGTTCAATTGCACAGCTAAATCGCTCTCGTTATTTGTGTTTTACGTTGCAAGGAAAAAACTAAAAAACTGGTTTAGTACTGGATTTCGATTGATTATTCTTTATATCATTAATTAAGAAACTCGACGGTTACGTTGGTGTGTGTATTTTATCCAAGGGATCATGGTAAATTATTGTGTTTTGAATTGTAAATAAAATTCAAGAACTAAATCGTTGCATTTTCATGTTTTGCCAAAAGATCCAATTCGGTAAGTACATTTGTTGGTGCAGAATTAACTAATGATAACTTTACCTAATATTATTTATATTTAAGTTTGGACATTTTTAAGAAATTAGTAAAAAATTATTTTTGCACAAACATAACCCTAAAATAAACCATTTTTATATTTGAGTTCTCTAAAAAACGCCGACAACTGCATTTTAAACAACAAAATATACCTACGAATTCATGGAAATATAATATTATATATAATACATAATTTAATGGTCGGTATTTTACCGTTGAGTGGAGACTTTAAAGAATTCTTAATCGGCGCTTTTAATAATGCTAAATGCTGTTTAAATTTAGACGACTTATTTGTTTGACTATTATTACTGAATTGAAATGTTTACACTTTTCACGTTAATCATTACTAAAATGTGTACAGGGACTGTATGAAATTTATTTCTTCATTTCCGATTAACACTGTTTATTGGAAAACCGATAAAAACTCAACCCAGGATTTCCTCTCGAAATACACCCAACAACACAACAAATCGTGCCACGGTTTTTTTTCGATATTTTTTAACATTTTCCTATATACTAGCTATACTTCTTTAGCGTATTAGCATAAGCAATGATTAGAAAGTTTAGTACCTATTTTAAATCCAAAAGCACTTTCCTTAGTTAAGATATTTACAATTTAAGCACATAACCTAAAATTTGAAAGAAATTCACTAATGTCATACAAGTTTGCAGAGTTTGTTTGAATTTACCTTTATTACAAAAATGACATAATCAACAATTTGCATTGTTGATTTTGTCATTTTTGTAATAAAGTTAAATTTATCAAAATCTGGCAACTTTTTTTGACAGAATCTGGAAACGCTGGTTGTTACCAACCATAACAAAATAAATTAAATTAGGCAACCAGATTAGCCTAAAGTTCCTAGTCGATCAGTGGCTTGTTTTTTGGTAGGATAAAGGTTATTATAGATTATTTTTCGTCTTTAGAATTTAGAAAAAAAGTTTCAGGTGCTTCTTTATGGACCCTTAAGGTTCCTAATTAGGAACTACCCATTTTAATATATTACATGAATTACATAACACTCTGTATTTCAGGTTTAAAATATAAAAAATGCATTGTGTAATTGGTTTATAGATACTTTAAAACATTTTTTTAATTTTGATAATAGGTTTCTGCCGATGTAGACGACGATCCGAGGAGATACATCTTGATTGGCTCGTGTTCTTTGTGTATGGCTTTGGCTCTTTTTACGACAGCATGTCTGGCCACGTCTTGCTGGATGCAAAAATCAACTTGTTTGATATTTTTGAAATTACAATGTTCTCTGTCGGTTTTCTGCACCGCCCTTTTGTTCACACTCGCCACAGTGACCGGACCTGCCGAAGTAAGTTTTAACGCGTTTTTAAATGCGTTTTCAACGTTTTTTTTTTAATTAAATATTCTGCAAACATTTCTCTTATCACCGCTTTTGTTTAATTTCGTTCGGATCTCATGCCAGCATCGACAGACGCGTTTCGTTCTTGTGGAACTCATCAGTGCCGAGTTGCTATAGGCTCGAGACCCAAACGAAAACTTTAGTTCCTTTCCTTATATTGGAAAGGAATAGTTCAAAAGCGGCGAGAAGAGAATTTGCCTGCACAATGGTGCCATCTATCGGTTTTTTTTTAGTTTTACTTCGTTTATTTTCTCACATCATTGGAGACGTTCATTCTTCTCGCTCTATCCAGCCATTTGAGCAAACTTTTGATTGTTTTCACCGAGTTGGTACACTTGCCAAGACCTGTTACATCCAAAGAAACAGTTATTGGAATAATATCGGGCGTTCCTATTATAACAGTTTTTGGTAGCCATTTGGCGTACAGAACAATGGATATAAAAATGAAGTCGTGGTGGATGATAGAAAACTCCTTCTCCTTTAATTTGTACGTAACAGTAACGGCCATAATCACGATATTGTTTATTTTCGTGTACGTTACTGTTATGACGAAATTGCAGCATTTGGTGCACCAGCACGTGAAACATGCCAGACCTATTAAGAAAAGGTGATTTTTTTATTTTAGAAGAGGTTGTATGTGTTTTAAATTATTTTTTTTAGAGTGGCATTATTGAGAAGATCAGCTTGCCTATTTGCAGCGATTTCTATGTTGTCTATAAGCAGTATTATTTACATTAATTTGCCAAATGATATTTGGTCTTTTTACCAATTTGGAGCCGCAAATGTTATTTTGGTAAGTCTAAAGTTATTACTGTTTTTAATGTTTCTCTTACTATTTACATTTACAATAATAAATATTAATAATAATAATATCATGTTTTAATAATATAAAAAATAATGTCCGATTTTAATAAAATGTAATAAATGTATTAAAATTTCAATAAAATCGAATACAAATTTGCAAAATGGCACTAATAAACCACGTGTGTTAAGATTGGTAGTTTCTACTCCAGGCTAGATGAGTAAAAAACGGTTTTTTTAAATAGAAAAATACATGAAGAAAACTTTTTAGATTTTTTCAAAACCGCTACAAAAAATCTTGATTTTTTTATTTGCTTGAATAAAACTCAGCCCCACATGCAAGTATCTTATTGGTTCAAAGTTTGATTTCCTTTGAAATTGTTCTTTGTTGACTTAAGAGAAAAAGGTAAATACAATTTTAAAGAAGTCTTCTGCAAAAAAGTTAAAAATTAATATTTTAAGAGATATATGCATTTCAAATTAAAATTTTGTTAAAAATTATTTTGATTTAGGTAATCTTCAAATGTTTTACAAATTTTAGTTGTTTTTGGAACCTAAAAAATAAAATAATTGAAAAAGCAATATGTATTATTATAAATATTATTTAATTTTATAATTAAATAATATTTATATTAATAGATAATAATGTATAATAAAAGCAAGCAATATTGCTTTTTTAATTATTTTATTTTTTCTTATATAAGAACCATTCATCTTTTTAATTTTAATTTTAAATTTTGATGGCTTTAATTTTGCATATCTCTTAAAATCTTAATCTTAGAGATTTATGAATTTTTTTGTGGAAAACTTTATTTTTTGTTATAAAATGTTTTTTAATTTTAAAGGAGTCTTCTGCAAAAAAGTTAAAAATTAATATTTTAAGAGATATATGCATTTGAAATTAAAATATTGTTAAAAATTATTTTGATTTAGGTAATCTTTAAATGTTTTACAAATTTTAGTTGTTAAAAAATAAAATAATTGAAAAAGCAATGTGTATTAATATAAATATTATTTAATTATAAGAACCATTCATCTTTTTAATTTTAATTTTAAATTTTGATGGCTTTAATTTTGCATATCTCCTAAAATCTTAATCTTAGAGATTTATGAAGTGTTTTGTGGAAAACTTTATTTTTTGTTATAAAATGTTTTTTTCTTCACTCAACAGTTTTTACTAAAATTTTAAATTATATTTTACCTACTTAATTTAATTATTAATTTTTTTTTAATACAAAAATACTAAAAAAACAACCAAAAATTATTTTAGTATTTTTTCACGTTACATCTCAACTTCTGGCGCAAAACAACGCGTTACAAAATTTATAGTGAAACCATTCAAATTATACTAAAAATTAGAATTTAAACACATAATATCTATTTTTTTAAAGGGCATAGTTTTGATTGTATGCTACGTAATCAAGGGGGAGAACGAGTTCCATACTTTATTCCAAAATAAAAATAAATTGACCAAAGACGATAAGTTTTTTAGCGTTGACTCTACCAGCAGCCCGTTAAACTGTAAGTTAAAAAATCGTAGTTTAGTGATTTTGGCTGTTTTTTTGGTTGCTTATTTATTTTTTTGTTTATTTTGCAGATGTTAGGCATTAATTTTATGAGCTATGTGAGTATTTTTTAGTCATTGTTTCGCTTGTATTTTAGCGCTCCTTTACTTTTTACTATTTGAACGTGTTTAAAACAAACATTATTTTCTAGTTTTGGCGAAACAGGAAGCGGAAATGGAGAATGAATCCGGTCCGTACTCGAAACCGGACATTCATCCGGGCGCGCCCATCAGAGTGCCGGAGTGCCACAGCATGATGGACTCTGTGTGCCAACCGAAAGGCATAACCGCCACTTTCGAGAGCTGCCTCCAGAACAGCACGAGCTTCTGCGACGGAGGCGGCGATTCGACGGAGCGACACTGCAACGACAAGCTCGAAAGTTACAGCAACAGCCCTCAACAGTTCAGAAAATTCGTTCAAAGCACTCGCTCGCCCGACATCCTGTCCAGCAAAGTGTGCGTGCAGCTAGACCTGGTGGCTTCCGTCCCCAGCAAGCTGCAAGCGGAAGACTCGCCCAAGATGCGTTGCCGCAGACCCGAGGACGCGATCGCGAAGATGCTCGAAACCGAGCGAACGCGTCCCGACGGCCACGAAAGCAAAATCGCCAGCGTGCGTCTTGCGGACGAGGTCCCGCCGCCGCCGCCGCCTCCGAGTGCGGATAAACTGGACGGCATGCTGGACAGGATTTGCCAGGATTTGGATTTTCTGCTGGACAGAGGCGGCGGCGACTTGGAGTTGGAGGAAAGCGTGAAAACTTCCAGTTTGAGGAGGATTTCCAAACCGCCAAGTCTAAGTGTCATTCATCAGATCAAAGAGGAGGAAGAAAGTGACGCGACTGTTAACTCACCTGCCACTGTGATAGACTTGAAAGAAGCCACCATTACGGACATTTTGAGGACCGAGTGCTAATCAAACTTTTACTACAATTTTACAGGGTATTTTTTCCAATCATTGATTGTTGAAGAGAATGTTTTTTATGTTGTTTTATTAAAAGTTTATGAGAGAAATTGTATGTTATCAATGTATTAAGAATGATTATTTCGTTTTTTGTTGGTAAGTTTGTATATATTTTATTAAAAAATCAAATACAATGAATTTACAATGCTGTGTGTTGAAACAATTTTGTAATTTGTGCCTTACTGTAAATAATAAATGTTTTCATTATATTAATAACTATGATGTTTTATTTAAAGAAAACTACCTGTTTTGAACTAAATATTTTATTTCTTTAATAAACATACATCTTTGGTAAAAAATTACTATACTTATCTGATATGACAAAATATTAAAAATTTTACATCTCAACGAAAAACAATCCTTATATATTATACAGGAAAATACCTACCAAAAACATGTTATTTACAATATTTACACATAAATAATATAACGCTAACAACAACCAAATGCAAATTGAAAGGCACTTAATAAATCCGTACAAAAATAAACTAACATATAATAACAGCAGCAGTTTAAATAGGTAACAAACGGTTTTAATGTCAGCTGAATCAGAATTTAAATCATATTTATCGTCCTCAAGAAATGTGTGATGTATTTGAACGTTTCTGACTCCACAGAACAAATCAAAACCAAAAAATTTACGTCGACTTAAGTAAAAAAAAAGGTAACATACTTTGATGATTCAGTCTTCAATATTGTCGTTAGTCAGCGTGTACTTGTACTCGATGTACAACCTTTGGCGTAGTTGATTTGGAAGGCGACAGAGTGCGCATTTTTGCATCGCAGAGGACGGCATGCTGGACAGAATTTGCCAGGATTTGGATTTTCTGCTGGACAGAGGCGGCGGCAACTTGGAGTTGGAGGAAAGCGTGAAAACTTCCAGTTTGAGGAGGATTTCCAAGCCTCCAAGTTTAAGTGTCATTCATCAAATCAAAGAGGAGGAGGAAAGTGACGCGACTGTTAACTCACCTGCCACTGTGATAGACTTGAAAGAAGCCACCATTACGGACATTTTGAGGACCGAGTGCTAATCAAACTTTTACTACAATTTTACAGGGTATTTTTTCCAATCATTGATTGTTGAAGAGAATGTTTTTTATGTTGTTTTATTAAAAGTTTATGAGAGAAATTGTATGTTATTAATGTATTAAGAATGATTATTTCGTTTTTTGTTGGTAAGTTTGTGTATATTTTATTAACAAATCAAATACAATGAATTTACAATGCTGTGTGTTGAAACAATTTTGTAATTTGTGCCTTACTGTAAATAATAAATGTTTTCATTATATTAATAACTAGGGTGTTTTATTTAAAAAAAAAACTACCTGTTTTGAACTAAATATTTTATTTCTTTAATAAACATACATCTTTGGTAAAAAATTACTATACTTATCTGATATGACAAAATATTAAAAATTTTACATCTCAACGAAAAACAATCCTTATATATTATACAGGAAAATACCTACCAAAAACATGTTATTTACAATATTTACACATAAATAATATAACGCTAACAACAACCAAATGCAAATTGAAAGGCACTTAATAAATCCGTACAAAAATAAACCAACATATAATAACAGCAGCAGTTTAAATAGGTAACAAACGGTTTTAATGTCAGCTGAATCAGAATTTAAATCATATTTATCGTCCTCAAGAAATGTGTGATGTATTTGAACGTTTCTGACTCCACAGAACAAATCAAAACCAAAAAATTTACGTCGACTTAAGTAAAAAAAAAGGTAACATACTTTGATGATTCAGTCTTCAATATTGTCGTTAGTCAGCGTGTACTTGTACTCGATGTACAACCTTTGGCGTAGTTGATTTGGAAGGCGACAGAGTGCGCATTTTTGCATCGCAGAGGACGGCATGCTGGACAGAATTTGCCAGGATTTGGATTTTCTGCTGGACAGAGGCGGCGGCGACTTGGAGTTGGAGGAAAGCGTGAAAACTTCCAGTTTGAGGAGGATTTCCAAACCGCCTAGTTTAAGTGTCATTCATCAAATCAAAGAGGAGGAGGAAAGTGACGCGACTGTTAACTCACCTGCCACTGTGATAGACTTGAAAGAAGCCACCATTACGGACATTTTGAGGACCGAGTGCTAATCAAACTTTTACTACGATTTTACAGGGTATTTTTTCCAATCATTGATTGTTGAAGAGAATGTTTTTTATGTTGTTTTATTAAAAGTTTATGAGAGAAATTGTATGTTATTAATGTATTAAGAATGATTATTTCGTTTTTTGTTGGTAAGTTTGTGTATATTTTATTAACAAATCAAATACAATGAATTTACAATGCTGTGTGTTGAAACAATTTTGTAATTTGTGCCTTACTGTAAATAATAAATGTTTTCATTATATTAATAACTAGGGTGTTTTATTTAAAAAAAAAACTACCTGTTTTGAACTAAATATTTTATTTCTTTAATAAACATACATCTTTGGTAAAAAATTACTATACTTATCTGATATGACAAAATATTAAAAATTTTACAACTCAACGAAAAACAATCCTTATATATTATACAAGAAAAGACATACCAAAAACATGTTATTTACAATATTTACACATAAATAATATAACGCTAACAACAACCAAATGCAAATTGAAAGGCACTTAATAAATCCGTACAAAAATAAACTAACATATAATAACAGCAGCAGTTTAAATAGGTAACAAAGGGTTTTAATGTCTGCTGAATCAGAATTTAAATCATATTTATCGTCCTCAAGAAATGTGTGATGTATTTGAACGTTTCTGACTCCACAGAACAAATCAAAACCAAAAAATATACGTCGAGTTAAGTAACAAAAAAGGTAACATACTTTGATGATTCAGTCTTCAATATTGTCGTTAGTCAGCGTGTACTGGTACTCGATGTACAACCGTTTGGCGTAGTTGATTTGGAAGGCGACAGAGTGCGCATTTTTGCATCGCAAATGCGTTGTCGCAGACCAGAGGACGGCATGCTGGACAGAATTTGCCAGGATTTGGATTTTCTGCTGGACAGAGGCGGCGGCAACTTGGAGTTGGAGGAAAGCGTGAAAACTTCCAGTTTGAGGAGGATTTCCAAGCCTCCAAGTTTAAGTGTCATTCATCAAATCAAAGAGGAGGAGGAAAGTGACGCGACTGTTAACTCACCTGCCACTGTGATAGACTTGAAAGAAGCCACCATTACGGACATTTTGAGGACCGAGTGCTAATCAAACTTTTACTACAATTTTACAGGGTATTTTTTCCAATCATTGATTTTTGAAGAGAATGTTTTTATGTTGTTTTATTAAAAGTTTATGAGAGAAATTGTATGTTATCAATGTATTAAGAATGATTATTTCGTTTTTGTTGGTAAGTTTGTGTATATTTTATTAAAAAATCAAATACAATGAATTTACAATGCTGTGTGTTGAAACAATTTTGTAATTTGTGCCTTAATGTAAATAATAAATGTTTTCATTATATTAATAACTAGGATGTTTTATTTAAAAAAAACACCTTTTTTGAACTAAATATTTTATTTCTTTATTAAACATACATCTTTGGTAAAAAATTACTATACTTATCTGATATGACAAAATATTAAAAATTTTACATCTCAACGAAAAACAATCCTTATATATTATACAGGAAAAGACCTACCAAAAACATGTTATTTACAATATTTACACATAAATAATATAACGCTAACAACAACCAAATGCAAATTGAAAGGCACTTAATAAATCCGTACAAAAATAAACTAACATATAATAGCAGCAGTTTAAATAGGTAACAAACGGTTTTAATGTCTGCTGAATCAGAATTTAAATCATATTTATCCTCCTCAAGAAATGCGTGATGTATTTGAACCTTTATGACTCCACAGAACAAATCAAAACCAAAAAATATACGTCGACTTAAGTAACAAAAAAGGTAACATACTTTGATGATTCAGTCTTCAATATTGTCGTTAGTCAGCGTGTACTGGTACTCGATGTACAACCGTTTGGCGTAGTTGATTTGGGAGGCGACAGAGTGCGCCAAGTCCGCATTTTTGCACCGCACCCGCGGCTTTTTGATCGGATCTGGATTCACGAGCGCCGCACTAGTGCCGGCCACATGCATCACTATTTCGATGTAGTAGCGATTTTCGCTTCCCTCCTTGTCCGCGATCACGTTGCAAACCTCCAAATCGCTGCAAAAACTCGTCAAGTTTCGTTTTAAAAATGAAAGTTGTTTACTCACTTTAAGTGGCAGTCTATAACGAGAGTCAAGTCGATAGACTGGGTGTTGGCGACAATTCTGACTTTTTTGTTCGAAACAATGCACTGCAGGTCTTCTGAAGCAGTGCCTAAGATTTGGTAAGCAACCAGTTGTTCTTCATAGTTTCTATATAGAAAAAAGAATAGTAAAAAACAGATTTACAGGTGAGAATTCGTGATACGGATTTTGTCATATTATTAAACAATTCTTACTTTTTCTTGAAGAATAGAATATGGCGCAAATTTTAAGCTCCATCGTCATCTATGTTGAACTTAAACCTTGGAAATTTAAAAACGCACATTTTGATATATTTAGACTTCAGGTTTATTTTTGCATTTACAACAAAAATTGCAAAATTGTCAAAATTTATATTTTTTAATTGTATACTTTATACTTCTTTATTTAGCATCTCTTAGAAGTGTATCATAATATGATGTGGTTTACAAACATACAAATAATTTTGCAATTTTCAGTACCCGGAAAAAAACCGATAGATATTCTGATGGGAAATCAAATGCTCTACAAAAAAAGTCTCTTAACATTTTTGGCTAAATTCACTCCATCAAAAGTTATTCAAGATTAAAGTTAAAGTCAAAACGAAATTCTTGTTTTTACCTCTGTGGATTTTTTTTTTGGGTCAGTTAAAAGCTTGAATTCATTTATGGATGATAAAATACTAAAAATTAACAAAAACATTTTCACTGTTATTTAATCGTTTAAATAATATTATTTATTATGACGTTTTTTTATTGGAAATTGTTATAAAGAAAAATCAAATTATCATCCATAAAAAAATAAATCTACAGAGGAAAAAACAAGAATTTCGTTTTGACTTCAACTTTAACCTTGAATAACTTTTGATTGAGTGGATTTAGCCAAAAATGTTTTTGTAGAGCATTTGATCGGTTTTTTTCAGGGTACTAAATTTTACAAAATTCCATCAAATTGTAAATGTATAATTTAGCAATTTTTATTGTAAATGCGAAAATCGAGTCTAAATATATCAAAATGTTCGTTATTAAATTTCCTAAAACATTGGGGAAAAAATTGGGGTTATCTCGTGCCCAATATTCTATTCTTCAAGAAAACGTAAAAAGTTCATATCTTTTGTATTGGTGCTGATAATTTAGTTTGAATGATGAGAAAATTATTAAAATTTTATTTATTAATTATAAACATTTTTTTTTATTTAAAAAGGAATTTTTTTAATTGCAATATTTTGGTAATAAGTTTTTCAAGTTTTATTTTTTTTATTAAGGGTAAATTTTCATCAAAAGGCTTCAAAAACACTTTTGTTAAAAACTATTGTAATGTTTTATATATTTTTTTATATTTTAGAACAATTTTAGAACTACCAAAACCAAAAATTGTATTTTGCATTCCATAATTTTAGGAAAAATTCTCTCCAAACTGTAAAATTTTAAATTTTTTGACAAAAATTTGGCAAAAATTGTGAGATTTTTGGTGACTTACTTATCATTTACTGCATATAAATATTGTTGACCTAAACTTTGAGTTCCACTGTATTTTGGCAATAAACCTCCAGGCCCATGGACACATCTGGGCAATCTAAACCTTTCCGGCATCGATTTACTGAATAAAAATAAATAATCGCAAAAAATCATCAAAAAAACAATTCAATAAATACCTTCTGCTGGTTTCCCTGACTGCCCTGGCCGTCTCGGAGGCAAAATCCAAAACACCCACAACTGGCTTGGTAACAGCCCCGACTAAACCTTTACCTAACCCAGAAAAGACACCTGGCAGCCCATCGTTCGAAGCGCCTTCGTAAACTTGCTTAAAAATACCCGTGGCGCCCCCTAGAATTCCGAAACCCAAGCCCTTAATCCCAGCCAGAATATGATCTTTACTATTCCCGCTTTCAACCTAAAAAAACCCAATTAGAAACCGAAAATTACATCGAAAAATAAACCATTCACTTGTCTTATTTTCTGCCGTATTTCCTCGTGAGAGTCGTCCATGGCGACGCTGCCGAGGCCGTCCGAAAGCGATTCGGTAACTTTCGCAGCGGAGTTCGACAAACCATGCGTAACGTTCTTCACTAAAGCTCCGACGTTCCCTTCGAATATTAAACCCGATACGCCCTCTGATACGTCGTTCATTAGCCCTAGAGGGTTACCTATGAAGTCTATGGAGCCCAAGATCATCCCAGCCTGCCACATTAGCTCCTATATAACAATAATAAAATGTTTGATGGGATTTTGAACCGTCAGTAAACGGTAAGAATACATTTCGCTGTAGTGTAGCTTAACTATGGTTTCGCGTAAAAATTCAACAGCAAGTGATGCCAGAATTGAATATATTTTTTTAACCTTGTTTCGACATCTAAATGGTGCATTTAAAAAAAATTCTCAGTTTAGTTCATAATACAGACAGACAGATTGCGTTTCAATTTATAAGTTTAATAAAAACTCAAAACAGTATTTTTTTAAAACGAATAAAATAAATAATAATTATAGACAGTGTCAGCAAGCTAGAAATTATAACCTAATTAATTTTATTTTTTGCTCCACAACCAAGCTTTAATTTATTTTTAACTCGATAAGCAAGCTTCAATTTTAATTCAATTTGGTGAAACGCAAAGATATGGATTTAAAATTAAAAGCGTATACAATTTGATTGAGACTATACCTAAAGTCAATAGTTTTCAAGATATTATTTTTTTTTTGTTAAAATTTTGCGAAATGCACGTCAATCAAAAATAGCCTCTAATTTTTTTGTTATTAGGTTTGCTGACATGGGGTTGGAATTTTTGGAATATTAAAACATTGTTTAAATAATTTTTTTTAAGGTTTTTCAACAAATAGCTTGAGAAAAACTATTTGAAATTAGGCAAACTTCAAACAATAATAACGTTTTTATTATAAATGTAAAACCCTGTATGTTTTAACAAAATCAAATAGAAAATTAAAGAATCTTTCCATCTTTCCAGGTATTATACAGTTAACACATTAATTTACAAAAAAAAATTTGATACCTTTTGAAAGCTGAATATGACATGTCCAAGTATGGGATGGTTCAACAAAACTCAGCAACCTTAGTTCTTCATACAGGAAAATATTGTAAATTGGAATGTTTTTTTTAAAAATCCATATTTTTCACAAAAATAAATATATCGAGGTGAACCAAAAACAAAACTTTTAAGAATAGATGTGACTTGACAAATAAAACTTAATTTAGGACAATATACGGTTTTGTTCTAAGGTTTTGCCACTCTACAGAGTGTCTTAAACTTATGGTAAAAAACATCTTTTTGTTTAAACCTGTATATTATAAACGTACGTCTATTTTTTTAGTAATTTTTAAAATGTGAGCGATTCTCCTTTAATGTATCTACAATATTCTTTAATATTCGTTTAAATCCGACATCATATAAAAAAGTTATTTGCGATTGAAATTCATCGAAAATTTGTGTGGATCGATTATTTTGCCTGTGAGTGTAGTTGTCAATGGACTAGTATTTTTTTTAAAGTACTGCATTTAGGTAAAAAAGTTTCAATCGATTTCTTGAACCCTTGCAAATCTACCGTTCGATCCTTTCGCGTAACCGTAGTAACTACGGCGTAGTTAAGTATCGGACTCACCTCTTTAAAGTGCTTGACTATGGAGTTGATCAAGAACTGGCTGGTCTCGAAGGGATGCTTTCTGTCGAAGGCCTCCAAGTCGACGGCCGCGTCTTCGAACTTGATCAACCTCAGTCCCAACTTCCTCTTGATCCTTTGCAGATGCGGGGGAAGCTTGCTGGCCGTTTTCACGCTCAAGCGTATCTGCTCGGGCATCAGCAGGATCACGCCGAAGTAGTAGCGTTTCACGTGCGTCGCGCACACTTCCGATATCAGACGTTGAGTTTCGTAGTCGTTTTCGTCGCGGTTCAGCGATTCTTCCTCCTGCGAGTGGATTCCGATGAAATTCGCGAGCTTAAGGAGGAGCCGTTCCTCGATTATGATGGAGATTTTCTTCAGCTTCAAGATTAGGTACTAAAAAGTAAATAGTTGCGTGGTATTTTGTTTAAGTTTAAAAAGATAATGGCACTTGAAAATTATGTTTTTACGTTCAAAAGTATGCGTTTTAGCCAAAACAAACTTTGATTTTTGAAATTTCTGTTCTACAAAACACAATATGTTTTAAAAATGTTGTCAGGCCGTTTGGAGAACAATATTTATAAATGAAAGGTTGATGAAATGTTGTACAAACATTAAAAAAATATTTTTATAACTGTTACACGTAAATATTTCGGAAACATTTATAAATATCACGTAAATATTTTTCAATATTTATTTCGCTATTATATGTAAATATTATTTCCTAAATATTGTTAGTTAACAGTACTTTTTGAAAAGTTCATTAAAATTCTCTGTTGTCTGATATCAGTCGCTAGTCATCCACAAATCAGCATCAGTTCGGCCATTTTTACTTTGTTTTTATTAACAAAAAACAAACATAAATCTAATAACATCGCTTATAAAACCAAAAATATTATTGTTTTTTAATTTTGAAAAACAAAAAAAGTAACCGAAGACTTTAGATTTTAATTTTAAATCAAATTCTTTTTAGTCTTCACCCAGAAAAATCCGAAAACAGAAACTGAGACCGAAAATGACATTTTACCGAAGTTACGACAATGGCTGGCTCAAGCTAAATTTAGAATAGAATACCATACCACATCTACTTTTTGCACTCAAAAACAAGAAAATGCAGTACACAAACATTTTATCAACATAACATTTTTAAAATAAATATGCAATGAACTGTATATATTTTAAAAATATTTCCAGATATTTTTGTGATGTTGAGGAAACATTAATAAAATATAAGGTAATGTATCTAAAACATTTACAAAAATGTTTTAAAAAAAAATTGTATAAATATAAAAAGTGGGTCATCTAAATGTTGTAAAAACATTTAGATGCATTTAAATGATAATGAATAATATTTCTAAAATATTTATTTCCTTTAGCAAAAATATTCATTAAATTTTGTGTTATGTGGGTTCCGAAGGGCCAACAAAAATTTCATTAGTTTCAGCCAAAACTTACTTTGATTTTTGCAATTTCTATCCCACAATTGTAAGTTCATCCTACAATTGTAACTTAAAATTACAATATTTGTATCCTAAAATTTTAACTTGAACTTGCAATTGTAACTTGAACTTAGTAGTTTTGGCTGAAACTTCGTAGTTACTAACCAGTTACTAACTAGTTACTCGCGGAAACTAAGAGTTCAGTAATTAGTTATTGAAGATCATCTTCGCATTATTTCTTAATCAAGCAGAATTTTTTATGAAAAATGATTAAAAAACACAAGCTGCTTGTAACGCGCAAAATAACAACAGCGATACCATTGCCTGCAGCGGCGCCATCTTGTGCCACAGTTATAAACTACATGTAATGCTAAACTCCAGTGTATTTTATAACAAAGCTGTTTTTATTCAGGCGGTTTGTAACGAAGTAGACATTAAATATATTTCACTATTGCAATATGATGGGGACATGGGGTTATATAGTGTTACAGTAATGCTAACTTTTAACCTTAATTAAGACATTAAAAATATTGTTATATTTAATTAAACAATTTTCTATTAATTTTTGTTATTTTTCTGAATCTAGTTTTATTAGCTGTCTCAATTTATTATTTCTTTAATAAGAAATGTTAGAGACAACTGAGAAATGACCCACATGTTTGTAAAAAAAGATGTTTAACAATATTTTGAAAACAATTTTGTTCAACTAACCTTGAGGCTAATTGAGCAAAATTATTTTTGAAATCAGCGCAGACAAATTACCCTAGAAAAGTTGTTGGCCACTTTGTGGCTAAATGGCTTTTTACCAGTGTAATAAAACAAATGTTTAACAAAAAATCATCAAAAAAAACTTACTTTACATATAGTAGCATTCTTATTTTGCTGCTGCTCCACTTCGGCGCTAAAATCTAAAGCGGGCAACATTTGTTTGCTCTCATCTACCACCCTACCAGGTGGCGTTACATACAACACCACAGGTACAGAACCCTCAAACAGCTAAAAACATATTATCACCAAAAAAATTACGCACCAATTTTCGCATTTTACCTGATTATCGACCCTTATGTCCCCGACGCTGACGCAGAACTTGTTAAGCGACGGCGTTACAACGGCCTCGCCGACGATGTTCGAGAACAAAGCGTACAGCAGCTCTTCGGGGCCCCGCCTGCAGATCAGACTGATCCCCAGACCGCTCTGCAGATTGACGACGAACTGCAGCTCCCCCTCGCGTCCGCCGTCCCCCCCGTCGTCGCCCTGCAGATCGGGCCGCTGCTTCTTCGATATGCAGCCCCACTCGCGCTCGTCCGTCGCGGCGAACGCCTCCGTCTCCCGTCGGTCTTTGATCGTCAGCACTCGCGTCGGTCCGTCCATCACGATGCGCACCTCGAGCTCGCCCGAACCCGGCCGGAGGAACTGCTTGTCGATCGCCTGCTCGATCGGGATGCCTTTTTCAGTCAGTTTGTGGCAGATCGGCTGCGGGAGACCCAACACAGCCGAGTTCCCTACAAAGATGTATTTGTTTGTTTGTAAAATCGCAACGTGCTTGACAGAATGACTGAATATATCATAAACAAGTGTATTTATGGTATTTTGAACCTAAAAATTCAGGAAATGTAACTATCTGGAAAGTGAGTAGCCTTGCGATTAGTTAGTTTAGTTCCCAACTACATTTCACTCAAAATTGACAAAATATACCAGATAAATTTGGAAAAGTATCTAAACCTGTAATTTTAAAATTTGTGTACAATTTGGTGCTATTTATGTTGGAATATGTACAGTTGTGTGTAATAATTAGGTAGGATTTAAATAAAAAATCAGAAATTGATTTTTGTTTAAAAAATAGATTTTTTCAGTATTTTAATAAGTAAAGGATTATGTCAAAAGTAATACGTAAAAAAAAAAATTAGCGTACTAGCCCAATATTTAAGGGTCTTCCGGGGACTCAAAAAATTTTATGTTAACAGTAATTCTAGGAAAAAAAATGAGCGTACTAGCCCAATATTTAAGGGTACCCCGGAGGCCCAAAATATATATTTTTTTATTTTAATTGGGATAACCACAAAAAGTAACCTCATATGTTTCGAAAAAATGGCCGTTCTAGCCCTATATTTAAGGGTGCCCTGGGGGAAATATTTTAATTAAGATGGCAACAAAAAGTTACCCTAGGTATTAATTTGCATAGAAAAACCAAATATATGTACAAGTCCAATAGTTTTTTAATATTTTATTACCACCCCATTTGATAAAATAAAAATTAGCAACTCTTAGCTTGATTTTATTAAATTTAAAAATCATTTTGCGTTACTCTAAATTAATTAATTGGTTATATTGCTTATATAGAAGCCGTCTTCATGTGTTAGTCCCATACTTAAAGGAGGTTATGTAATAGTACATTTTCTCCTATTTAAATTTGGTATTCCGGTTCAAGGCCTTAATTTTAAATACTTTCACATTTATCATTTAATTTTTAGAATTACAATATAATCCCAAAGACAACATACATTTTAAAGACAAAACGGCATTTTGATGAAATAATTCCCAATACAACAGAGGAGAAAAAAATTAACTGACTAGAAGATATTTTGAAGTAAAAATGGAACGGATTTGGTTTCACCAAAATAAAATCAAATCTTCAAATTCTTATATATTTTTTTCTAGACATAATGTTAACATCATAGTTAACGTAAGGTAACTTTTTGTGGCTAAAAAAAAATATTGTGCCCCAGGGGCACCCTTAAATATTGGGCTATTACCGTAATTTTTTATCTATTTTGCGTTCATAATGACTTAATTATAACACCGCTTTCGGTGCTGTAATGAGATACTTTATCCCACCCAAAATTTTATAGGTTGGCTATACTTTAAACAGCATAATATTTTGCCCATTGGTTATATTTTTATGATTTTTCTAGTACTTACGAGACTTTTCTGTCAATAAATTTTGTTTAACAACAAAGAAAATCTTTTTTTTTTCTTAACATTAACAGCCCCTTATTAAGTAAATTAAGGACGGCATGGCGAATCGATTTTGACATTAACTGTCAAACCAATGACTGTGATACCAACTATCTAAAGTAAAATTCGATCAAATTAAATTTAAGATATAAAATTAATTTTTTTATAAAATTTTTGCAAAATAGATAAAATAGCATAAAAAATGCATGTCATAAGACGTCATTTTGTCGCACGCGGACAATTTATAATCGAGTTCTTTAATATACTATTCTACAATTATTGTTAATTATTGTTAACATAACTTTTTGTTGCCACCCCAAACAAAATATAAAGGTAAAATAATTTGGCATAAGGCAACTTTTTTTTGGTTCCCCTAAATTGAATTTAAAAAAAAATTGTTGGTCCACCCAACTTCAATGCATAATTTTATTTGTTAAACGATGCATAAAACGTACAATTATAATAATAATTATTAAAAGTAGGTTAAAACAGGTTTTTTACATACTAGGGGGTAAAAAACCTAATAATTTATAATAGTTATTTTTGATGCTAGATTGTCACAGTTTAAAAATTACTATAAATGAGGAGCGATCAGACAAAACCAGAAAAATCCATTTAAGTGATTTGCAGAAATAAGTCAAAAGCAAAATAATTATTTTATTTTTGATTTCTTTCTGCGAATCACCAAAATGAATTTGTCTGGTTTTGTCTGATCGCTCCTCAAATGTAAAGAGAAAATTTTAAAACGGATTTAAAAGTATTTTGCGGACATAACAACGGATGTAAAAGTATTTTTTCTACGACCACTATGTAAAAAGTCACTTTTCATGATGGCATCGTTGCTTAGAAAATGAATCTTTTCATTGGCAAGGCAAAACACGAATGTAAAGTGACATTTCTGTGTGAAAAGAAATTGACAGCATCGTTTGACATTCAGCTGTCAAAAAAGTTTTTAGGTTATTTTGTTTTGTATCAAAAATTAATAAAAAACAAAAGGGTCGCAGAAAGAACATTGTGTTATACTTGTGAAAAAAGCTTTCATCAAGCTCTTGTTAATGCACACTTGGCCTAACGGCCTCGTGGGCAACTTAAAAACTCGCATGAAAAACTCGCTTTTCAACACTTGTAAAACAAATAACTACTGCGTACATTGCAACGAATGTAAAAGACTTTTAAGTTTTGTAGACACAAAAAACTGTTGTTTTTTCACTAAATAAATATTATGTAAAAGTCCACTTTTAACGACAGCTTAACGTTTGACACGCTAGCGAAGCGAGCGTGACAATAATGCTAGTTTATTTAGTCTTTTTAAACAAATATTATATATATATATATTATTGTTTTATTCTTAAAAAAACAAAATAACGAATTTCTGATTTTTAATTCAAATCATACACATATTAAATTTTTTTAGTATAATGTTAGAAAGAAAATAAATAATTATATTTCTTAAATACATACACTGACTCCAGTGTCCAATTTTATTAGATACTTGTCCTAAAACAATACAAATCCCGTTGAAGACTCTAACAGCACTACTAGACTGGGCCAAAAAATTGACTATTTTTTTTTAAATATATCGAGAATGTCATTCAGAATGACAAAATAATATTAATTTTAAGAGGTCTATCATCGCTATTTTTGATTTTTAGTCATAATTTGATGTTTTACGTTAGAACTGTCAAAACATTAAAGTGAAAAAAATTCCTTTTCACTTATTTTTATATAAAATTAAATTCTCTACAAAAAAGGTCTGATTGAAAATGTTCGTCAGACGAGCCGTTGCCGAGTAATTGAGCTTAATAAATCGATGTGTTTTTTCGATTTGCCCTTTTTACTTTGAAATTTAGTAACTAATGAATCAATAAATATTTAAAAAATGTCACGTCGGATTCTTAAAGGAAATTTAACGTTCTACAAAAAAGGTCTCTGAACATTTTTGCCTAATTTTAATTCTACAAAAGTTATTCACGATTAAAATCGAAGAAAAACTTAAAATTTCAATTTTTTCTTCGTGAATAACTTTTGAAGAATTAAATTTAGGCAAAAATGTTAAGAGACCTTTTTTGTAGAACATTAAATTTCCTTTATGAATCCGAGCTTTTTTAAATATTCATTCATTCATTAGTTACAAAATTTCAAAGTAAAAAGGGCAAATCGAAAAAACACATCGATTTATTAAGCTCAATTACTCGGAAACGGCTCGTCTGACGAAAATTTTCAATCAGACCTTTTTGGTAGAGAATTTAATTTTATATAAAAATAAGTGAAAAGTAATTTTTTTCACTTTAATGTTTTGAAAGTTCTAACGTAAAACATAAAATTATGACTAAAAATCAAAAATAGCGATGAGAGACCTCTTAAAATTAATATTAGGGTGATTCTCCAGAACGGAGCAAATATGCTGAAACTCTTAAATAAAATATACTAATGAAAGTAGTTAGCATTTAAATAACACTACAATAGACAGTTTATGTCTAGCAGTAGAACATACTTAACCTAAAAAATAAAACATTATTTATTTTATTAATTTGAATTTGCTTAAACGCTTTCAAGTCAACTCCATGGACTGTCACCACCTAACGTAGGGACAACAAATCATCCATATACTATTAGACTAGATGCAATTGTGAAATGATTCTTTCATATTGCATTTCCTCTAACTTGGAATGAATAAAAAAACACAACCAAAAGCAAACTTATTGTTGTTTTAAACCAAAATGTCGAATAAAGCATGATACACCATTTTACAGCAGAGTTCTTTGCAGTCTTTTAATATATGATAAATCCCCTGTATAAAACGTATTTTAGTAATGTTTGAAGACTTCGTCGTTTGAGTGATTTTAATAATAATAATAATAAGTGGGTGTAATAATTAATAAAAATTTATAAATAACAATTATTTGCGAAAAAACGGGTAAGTATTTTTATTAAAGATCAACTCCATGTCTTTAACAACAAAGGGATTTAAATACAATTGAAATTTAAACTTTCTCCAGGTGAAATAACCAAATATGCTTTGCTTAAATTACAGTTAACTAAAGATACATTATGTACCATTTTCTAAAGTTTGTGACTTTAACTATAAAAACATCAACTCCATGGAGTTAAAAGGTATGTCCATGGAGTTGTTTACTTTCTTATTATTATTAACGATAATTAATAATATATAGTTAAATTATAATAAAATAAATTTAATTTTTCTTTAAAAAAAATCTCTAATAGTATTATTATTATAACTATATGTATATATTAAGTTTAATTTATAGCCGCCTTGAAATTACTTTATGTTATTAAGAAATACACATTGAGGTATTATTTTGCTAGTGTTTTATTAATCTTTGCTTTTTATTTTTTTACCACCCCAATTTATCCCCGTTTTGGATATTCACCCATTAAGGGCTCAAATTTTCACGAATTTTTTTTGTCATTTTTAATGACATTCTCGATATATTTTTTAAAAAAAAATAGTCATTTTTTTGGCCCAGTCTAAGCACTACATTTGAATTAAAATGATGAATAAATGAAAAAAAAACAATTAAACCACTCACCTTCTCTCAATCCAAAGAACCCATCATGCGCCTGCACGCAAACATTGTAATGCTTGCACTGCAACCTGCCTTCTTCGGTGAACCTCCAGGTTTGCGTGGACTCGCGCCTCGGATCGAGACGCCTCAGCATCAACCTGGAGTAGTTACTGGGTTGCGGCGCCGTGTTCTCGATGTCCAACACGTACAGGTTGCTGTTGGAGCGGGGCTGGTGGGGGTGCGAGGGCGGACTGCTCCCCTCGTGCATCAAATGCCCCTCCGGGCTCATTTTCCACAGCTGCGAACGCTCGCCCTGCTGCTTGCAAGACAAAACCACCCGGTTGTTTTTTATCACGTCCAAGACGAACTCTTGGCTTTCCACGTCCGGAAGGTCCAGCAGATCTTTGTTTCTAAAAAGATGGTTTATTGCAAAAATATATGAAATGTCAACCTTAACCTTAACTTTGGAAGATTACAAATAAACTTGTTAAGGAGGTTCGCGCACGGTATTAGTCGCTATGAGAAAATGTTGAAAAAACTTTAGGTTGTAGTTGAGTTTATCCCTTTGAGGATTGGATTTAAACAAAAATTGATGATTCAAAATAAGGCAATTTTTGCTTTTTCAAATTCATAATCAATTTAATTTTAAAAGGTCCATCATCGAATTTAAAGTTTTCCCATGGATGGACCTTTTAAAATTAATATTTAGAGCTCAAATTTTGACAGTATTTTTTTTAGCATAAGTGACAAGAATTTCACATGAATTTGAAAAAAGAAAAATATTGCCTTATTTTGAAACACCCTAATGTATATACTAAAAATTTTAGTATATTTTATTGTGGTGAAGCAAATTAATTTAAAATAGATAGCTAAAATCATAATTATTTCAAAAAAAGTAAAAAATATCTATGGTTATAATTTTTGTTTGAAATATGTGTTTTTTTAACTTGAAAATAATGGATTTACATTAAAAATAAATTTTATTAAACTTAATAAAAACTTAATTAAACTTTGGTAAGAATAAACAATAGTTTGTATTAGTTTTAGGTTAAAATTACTCATAGTTAATTTTAGTCTTCAATATATAGGTTTAAGTTAGGCTTAGATTAGTCTCCCTTCAGTTAAATTTAAGTTAAATGTTATGTTTTTAATAGGGCCAGATTAGCTAATAAGATAAGTTTTACTTAAGCTAAATATATTTAAGTAAAATTTATAAAGTTAATATTAGTTTATTAAAAACAAATTTTAAACCTAATTAATTATAAAAAATATTAACTTTTATATTTTTACTTAAAATAAATTTTGTGAAATACAGACCTGATAAATTATTTTTGCTATGAAAAATAATAGTTTATTGGGGAATATTATAATTTGGGTTAGTGTTCGCACTTTTGGGTTAAACGTATTTTCAACGTAACTAAACTGATTGTGAATTATAACAAAATTTTGTATGCCACTTCTACAGGTATAAGTATTTTAATATATACGTTAATTAAATGCATCTCCTATAAGTATTGCATATCTTATAACATAACATTAAAAAATTAACGATTTTCTTTCTCGTATGCACTTATGCAAATAGTCGTTTTCCTTTTTTTGTTTTATGCTTTTCTCTTTAGACTTTCGCTGCCTTTAACATACTGCATGTTTTCTGTTGCTTCATTTTTTTGTTCCCATACCCTTTAGGAACTTTAGGCTAATCTGGTTGCCTAATTTAATTTCTTATGTTATGGTTGGTAACAGCCAGGGTTTCCAGATTCTGTCAAAAAAAGTTGTCAGATTTTGTTTAAATTTAGCTTACAAAAATGACAAATCAACAATGCCAATTGTTAATTTGGCGTTTTAATTAATTGTTGATTATGTCATTTTTGTAATGAAGGTAAATTCAAACAAAATCTGGCAACTTTTATGACAGAATCTAGTGCAATTCTTTCAAATTTTAGGTTATAAGCTCAAATTGTAAATATCTTAACTAAGGCTAAGCTTTTAGAGTTATGTACACAAATTGAATGTTTAAAGTTTAACCTGTAAACTTGTCCTAATTTCATCTGAGTAAACAGAAAGAAAAAAACCGATGAAAAAATAAATTTTGTGTTTATGGAGTTTTTAATATAGGTACTACATGTTCTAATCATTTCTTAAGCTAATAGCTGGATGGGTAAATAAATACAGAAGGCTATTAGAGCTTTAAGGGCATAAAACTTTTTATTGAGTTTTTATTTATTTTTTGCAAGAAAAATTTTTAGTAACAATTTTTTACAACTGGCAATTTGCTGCTACTTTGTTGGTTGGTATCTATGTACTCACAGAACACAATTGTGTAACCAGCGTATCACAAAAAATATAAAAAACTTCTATCTTTATCTTTGGGAATTTTTTTAAATATTTTTCCGGTACTCTTGACATAGAGGTATTCGGTATTTTAATATATTACATTAATTACATAACCCTGTATATTTGGGAGCGTTAAGCTTATTAGGGAATATCAAAATCACAAATTAAAATCATATTTGAAATGTTGAAAAACACATTTTAGGATGTCTAACGTAATTAAAAATATCAAAACAAGAAAGTTAAAAAAATTTTAAAACCAAATATTTAATATAAGAAAAAAGTTATGGATTGCTGTACTTACTTTTTGAATGTCTCCGTAAAAGCGACATAAATAAAATTCTCGTAGGTCAAACCGGGCTGCTCTCCCAGCCTGTTCATGTCGTAGGAGTGCAAAACCCCGCCCGGAGCGATCAGAGTGATCAGGTTGGGCTGGGTGGGCTGATCCCAAGCGTACGGCACGCTCGAGTGCGCGCGAGCGGTGCCGAGAATGTCCTTGCAAGTCGACTGGCCGAACTGTATCGACACCTCGGAGAAATTGTCGATCCTGATTGGCGGAGGCATCGTGTCCGCGTCCGAGAATATTATGAAGAACGTGGCGCGCTGCAACACGACTTCCAAGCGAAGGAAGTAAACTCTGCCGTTGCTGTCTCTAACGTTTACGTGCAAGGACTTGTTATCGTCTATTTTTAAGCCACCCGACCAGCAACACTGCGGTATATCTTGTATGGAAACGCACAAAAGCTGTTCTTTCTCTAGTTTTGGCCAATGGAAGGGCATGTGAGAGTTGGGCATTGCTTTCAATAAAGACTTACGCGAAATTGGATCGGACTACAACAAAACATAATAGTTATTTACGTTAATAAAGCGTTATCACACGTATATTGTACAAATTTTTATCTACGCCTCCAAATGAAAAAATAAACGGTAATTATTTTTGTCTAAAGCTTAATTTTCATGTATCCGTTTGTCCGTCAGTCCGTTCATCCGGGAGCGCTCTTATTGGTCCAATTATAATTCGAAAATTATGACATTTTATCGATCCGTCAAGTTTCAACTTCGTACGTCTGACAGAGAAAGGTTAAATAATTTTAACTCATCCGTCACTACACATCTGTTTTTGACGCCTAACGTTATTTTAAGATAATTTATTTTCAAATACTTTTATATTTTTTTAATAAGATTGTAAAACGGAAATATTACGTTCGTTATGTGAATAATGTTTTACTGTTAAGTTTTTATTTAATAAGAATAACGGAAAAAAAGAAAGGACAAACAAAAAAAAATTAAAACTAGAACTAAAAGGACCTGCTTTTTTAAAACTATACATTTTAATGTATATTAGGGCTAGTATATTCTTTTTATAAGGTATATTTACCTACCTTTAAATTTATTAGACAGCTAACTGTTAAAGTTACAATTGTTGACATAATTGTAACTATGACAATTAAGCATTAGGTAAATTTAGTAAGTGAATATACTGACACTTAATTTCTATTTGTCGCAAAATCAATCCGTTAAACGTCATTAAAAACGTATGCATGAAAATTAGAACATTTCTTATCGGACGATTTTATTGAAAAACTGACATACGGATGACGGACAAACGGATACATAAAAATTAAGCTTTAGACTTAATTTAGGGTTATTTTGACATTTTGACTTTTTTATTTGATTGGTTAAAAGCAGAGAAAAACGCGTGCGTTAATGAACTTCTTATCTCACTCAAAATGAGTGGGATAAGAAGTTCTTATCTCACTGGCGTAGATAAAACTATTTACCAAACTCATTACAAGAAGCAACAAATAACTCACCAAGTTTTTGATGAAGCAGCTCTGTGCAAATATTAACTCATAGGAACTTGTGTTGTAGAGTTGGTAACGCGGTGATATGGTTATGATATTGGTAGACCTGTATTTTCCTTTACCCAGCCTTACTTCCAACCCAATAACGAAAACCTTATCTGGCCGACCGTCTTGCATGGTAACGTACAATTTTTTTACTTGCGTACCTTTTTGCACGTGGAAATTGGAACACCACTATAAAAGTTATGATAATTTTTCAAAACTGTACATTTACCGTTATTTACCAAGTTGGCTGTTTTCACTTGGGTATCATTTAAATTGTTAGTTTATACCCTAAAAACAATTTTGGAAAAAAAATCCGAAGATACTTTTGCACATATTATAAAATTGATTTTTTTTGTTTATTATATTCGATAACTTATTAAATATTGTTGATTCTACTTTTATTATGATTTCTTCATAAAGAAATTTTGATATTGGTGTCAAAAATTTATTTCGTAAATTTTGACCAAAATTCATTTTTACCGTTTTTACCGATAATTTTGTTTATTTACCGAGTACTTATATTTATTCTGTATGTAATGTTATTTTTTTTTATTATACCTACACTTATTTATTTTATTTTTTTCAATTACAGTTTTAATTATCAAAAATGTAAAAAAATAGTATATTATGTATCAAGTTTGATAAACGCCATTTTATACACGAATTTAATTTAGGCACGAGCGAGCTTGCGAGCGAGTGCTTAAGTTAATGAGTGTATAGAAAAGTTTATAAACGAGGTGCATACTATACTTTTTCTACAACAAATACTTATTATTATCTTAAAATGATTTAAATCAAAAATTTGTATAGAGCGCCATCTATGAAACAACAGGGGAAACTGTCAAATGTCACATTTTTACATTTTATTAACACATTTATAAAGCTTATAAAACGAAATGTTTTTCTTGAAAATTGACAGTTTTTCACAGTGAAAGTAAAGGAAATGTTTTATGAGGACTTTACAGTAGAGTCCGTGCCCGAATTTAAGTTATAGTTTACTGCCGGCGAAATTAAAAGGTCAGTACAATGTTCATATAAACTTTTCAAATATTGGCGTTGAGAAACTATTTAATATTTTTGTATTTTTGTATTGAGATAATAAAATAATTTTCACATTTAGTATTATTTTACAAGAAAGGCACTTTATTTTAACGATTGTATGACATTTGACAACTGTCAACTAACTTAAAACTAACTTCAGCCCGTGACTAAAGCGCCGTAAAGCCACAACTTGTCAATGTGTATTTAAAAGGTCACTTAGGGTCATGGAAACATGTACGATAAAGGGCGTTTTAAAGGTGGGAGTAGAATTTTTTTTTAATTATCTGCTTTTTGCCCACAATTATCATTTTATCCAAATAATCATATATTATATCACGAGAAGTATGAATTTAATCGGTTAAACTAGGCTCAGTAGTTTGTTTGGTTTTTGTTGGAAAATGTTAAATGCAAAATAATTTAATAAAATCACGAGACCGCGTAGCGGTCGAGGGGTTTTATTTTTAATTATTTTGCATGAAACTATTTTCCAAAAAGAAAAATCAAATAAAAAACTTACTGAGCATAGTTTGACAGATTAAATTTATAGGTTGAGTGATATATGTACGTCTAGATTATTTCTCGAATTAAAGGAAACTATTTGACAATTCATAAAATCTGACGTAAACTAGATAAATTATTTTTTATTGTTTTTTAAAAAATGTTTGTTAAAACTTGTAAATAACACCATAAAATCGTAAACAAAAATCCAATATGGAGGCTAAAATTTAATCGCTGTTAAATAGTTCTAGTGATTTAATCGCTTATTTAAACGAAATTTATTCGAAAATTCAAGGCTTTATATTATAATGAGGGAAATAATCTAAATTAAATAATTATGAATAATTATGTTTTATATCTAATTCAAAATGTCAATGTGTATAAATAAACTATTTAGGGATAATATAAACGTTTTAAAATCGATTTCCAAAAACTCCATGTTAAATGAATGGGAAAAGTATTGGAATTTTTTTTCAAAATTGTTTTTAGGCTATAAACCAAGAATTTAAACGACCCCCAAGTGAAAACAGCCAACTGTAAATAACGGACATCTATTTTTTCGTTCTTACTTGTGGTATTCCGTATTTGATGACTTGGTTTCCCACTCTGGCGTTTATGGTGGGACTGGCGTCGTTATCGGAAAAACTGAATAAAAGCGGCGACGCCATGCGCGCCCTCTCGTGGTCCTCGAATTGACCCGCGCTTTCGCTAGAGGAGCCCGATTGGCGGAAAACCAGCGGCAAACCTGTTTTGTTTATTATCCAATAGGGGGCCGAAATCGTGATCTAACGAAAACAAAATTTGGTACAGTTGTATTCAATAAAAAAGCGTACAACAATTAGAATGAGAGAAAACTGTCAAAATAATATTATTGCTTAAAACCGGCTTATCACTGATATAAGTCATTAAAATAATTACTATAGGTTATAAAGAGCATTGACGTCGTAGGTTAATTAAATAAAATTACAAAAATTATTACCTTTTAGAAATGAAAAAAACAAACATTAAAAAAAAATTAATATTTAGTCATGCATCCCTGTTTTTCTATTACTTGAGCCAATCTATTTGGGATGAACTGAATTATATTTAATACAATATTTGGATTAATATCTTCCCAGCAGTATAGTAGGTATAGTATAGTTTTATAGTTTTCCATAAATCCTCAGATATCCCAAAAAAGCAGCATTCTGTTCAGGGGTGGACATTTTGGGACGACCTGAACCAACTTTTTGGTTTAGTAAATCTTCCTGTTCCCAGCGTTGCTTAATTTTTAATATAGATTTTTTATTTCTATTATACCACAGTACGAATTTATCATTCTTCTTCGATTCTTGATACTATTTGAGCCTTTTTAACTGACGAGCCATTTTTATTTTCTACTGTCAGTTATAGTGACTTAAGTCAGTGGAAAGACGGTTTTACGTAATAATGTTGACAGTTTTCTCTCATTCTAATTCTTGTACGCTTTTTTAATGAATACAACTGTACATTCGCTTGATTTTATTTTCGATATGGTATACCTTTAATTTTGCTTCCACGTTGGGCGTGATTAAGACGGATAAATACAGTTTTCTGCCGCGTATGTCTTTCAGGTAAAATCGGCTGCTCACGTCTGTGTACGTTTGAGCTGGTACTACCAAAGTTCCGCTGGATGAGAAGTTTTCTATCATTATTTCCATTTTGATGTCATTATCTGTATTTGCCTAAATTAATAAAAAATCGCCCCTAAGTAAATTACTAAATTAATTGTTTTGGTGTTATTTTTGTTAAGTTTAGTCCTAAACTTTTTGTAATTTTGATTGTATCTTATGAGTCATTCCAAATAAAAACACCAAATGGGGTGCGCTGCTTGATTTTTTATTTTGATAAAAAAATTGAGGATGATCTTTTAGGTGTCAAATATGAAAATCCGTTGCCGTTTTAATTTTTGGACCCTTAAGAAATCTGAAATCGTGTCAATTTCTTACTCTCTTATAGTGGGCCAGAACTTTTTTTCTGTGACAAATATTGAAATGATTTTAATTTTGTTTTACTCTTCAGTAAGTGTGTTTTCGATATAAATTATTATTATCCAATTAGTTAATCTCATAAAAGAATGGTAAACCACTAGAGATTCATGATAATTTGCCAATTTTTGTGATTTTTGTCTGGCTCCTGTGCCTATTCTACTAAATCTAGAAAGTTATTTTTTTTCAGGTATCAAGTACTTATGTATACAATAGAAAACGTAACTATTATTTTAAGTTTCTAGACTATCGTTTAATTTATTAAAAAAATTATTGAAACATGATAATTCTTAAAATTAGTCAATTTTGCCCTCAGAAATCATTATGTTAAGGAAAAAATAAAAATCTGAAACTTTCAGGAAATGTAGTCCCCACATTCATCTTTTCAGTCCAGTCTTGTTTTGTTATTTTTATTCCTTTAAAAGATATATTAATTTTTGTAATGCCCGTTTAGTAGCGATATAATATTGTTTTATTTATAATTTAAAATTTAGATGGCTTTCATGTTTGGTGGAGAAGTGTCAGAACTGTCAAAAATATTTCATAAATATTATTTGTGCGTATTTCTTTGGTAAATTTTGTATAATAAGTGAAATTAATAAAGAGTTAATTTAAACGTATAAAAAATGCGTTAAGCGTTAAGTCTTGTTCTATTATTTTGATCCCTTTAGTAAGGCACACAATCTGTAAATACTTCTTTAAATTTTAGTTTTTAGGTAACTGGTTAAAATAAAACATGTTATAATAAAGGGGTTTATTTAGAATATTTTTTGGTTTCTGCTTTTTTTTTAACAATTTAAAACTTCTCAGAACTTGAATATTTTCTATGAGAAACAGGTACAAAATTATGATATGTTCTTTCATTTTTAATTGCAATTAAATTCATGAATCTCGAACACTCAGTCACTCAGTCACTCAGTCACTCAGTCATTTATTACACTTGCAAACTTTTTAAAATCACAATTTAAATAGGTACGCACAAATAATATTTATGAAATATTTTTGACAGTTCTGACATTTCTCTACCAAACATGAATTGACTAAGTCAAACCCATCTAAATTTTAAATTATAAATAAAACTAACAATATCGCTTCTTAACCGCATTAAAAAAATTATTATATCTTTTACATGGATAAAAATAACAAAACAATACTAACTAGACTGAAAATATGAATGTGGGGACTACATTTCCTGAAAGTTTCATATTTTTATTTTTTCCTCAACATAATGATTTCTGAGGGCAAAATTGGCTAATTTTGAAAATTATCAAGTTTCAATAATTTTTTTAATAAAGAAAATGATAGTCTAGAAACTTAAAATAATAGTTACGTTTTCTATTATATAAGTACTTGATCCCTGAAAAAAAGCAACTTTCTAGATTTAACAGAATAGGCACAGGAGCCAGACAAAAATCACAAAAATTGGCAAACCTTTTATGAGATGAACTAATTAGATAATAATAATTAATATTGAAAACATACTTACTAGGCAGTAAAATAAAATTACAATCATTTCAATAATTGCCACAGAAAAAAAGTTTTAGCATCTTATAAGAGAGTAAGAAAATGACACGATTTCAGGTTTCTAAAGGGTGCCGATTAAAAATAAAGCAACTAAAAACTAAAACGGCAACGGTTTTTCATATATGATACCTAAAAGATCATCCTCAAATTTTTTCATTAAAATAAAAAATCCTGCAGCGCACTTTTAAATTCATTTTTGGTGTTTTCATTTGGATTGACTCTTATGTAAGTAACACTTTTCCTAGTGATGATAAAATTATTATTAATAATAATAATACTTGCATTTGTTATGGCAGCGTTTGATCCTGGGGCAATCCTTCCCACGTCGCCTGACAAACTGTAACTAAAATCGATGGGCAGCAAGTTGATCAGCTTCACAGTGGGCAGCAAGACGATCTTATGCGCCGGCTGTTCGACAGCGTTGGCCCTTTCGAACAGCTGCCTGATCTTGCAGATCTTCGCGCAGAACCTGTAGTTGTGCCCCTTGTGCGTGTGACACGTGCGAATCTCGTGCATCGCGTCGACGTTCTGCGCCATTTCCAGCCAGGAGATCGTCGGCGAGCAGTATATGTACTGGTGCGTCACGTTGACGGGTTTGACGCTTATTTCCGAGTGCGCGTGGACTATGGGCACGGCTAGCGTGCCTTCGGGGTCGATGCGGAAGCACTTGCTCGGAGCCCACAAGGCTACGGTGTCGTGCGGCAGGCGACTTTCCAGTTTCACCTCGACGGATTGCTGGAGTTTGTTGACTAAAACCACGGCGGAGCGAATTGTTACCAGTTTGCGGGCCGAGCCCTCTAAAGCGACGTCAAAGACTATTCTGGCCGCAGGGCGCTCTTTTTGATTCTAAAATAATAATAATAATAATTTATTTATTGCCCAACAGTTTAAACCATTACAGGACATTTAAATAAGATATATGTGTTTTGTATATTATTCGAAATATAAAAAAATATAAAAATTCACAGAATTTATTAAAGTTACTGCACATTACAAATAAAAGCGACTTAAGTCTATTAAAGCTTGGAAGAAAAGTAGTTTTATTTTTGCTAATCAATCTTGGCACCGAAAAATTAATGAGAAAGCAAATCACTACAACTAATTTGAAAATTAAGCAACCTAAACAAAAGTGAAATTGATTCTATAGAATTTAAATTACTTTTTATAGACCATATATGAGGATAGATTGGATACCAGATTATAAAAGCATATTCCATCTTTGACCTTATTAAAGAAAAATACAACATTTTTAATGAGCTTTCATTTATAAATTGTTTGGTATTTCGAATGAGAAAATCCAACATTTTAAAAGATGAGTTTACTACTGCGTTGATATGGTTTATAAAGTTCAGCTTTGTATCAAACCTAACTCCCAGATCTTTAAATTCTGTAAACACCTATTGTTGATTTTATAATTATTATTATTATTATAATATACTATAGTATATAGTACTATGCTTTTTCTTTACATAAACCATACTATTTCATTTACTGATGTTTAAATGAAGATTGTTTTTTTTTATAATATGTACCTATATATAAATAAATGATAAAATTACATGTCTTATTTTGACACCTGTCATATTGGATATTTGTTATTTTTACTATTAGTTATTTTTTGTCAATTTTGGAAATTTTTTGACAATGTTAAAAATTCTAAAATTATTGAATTTTTTTTTTTTGACAACTTTGGAAATTTGTCCCACTATTTAGTATATTTATACCACTGCAAATTTTTCCACAATTTTTTAATTTTGTAATTTTTTAAAGCTTTGGAAGTTTTGAAAAATTTATCCCACCATTTTTTATTTATACTACGGCGACTTTTTCCACATTTTAATTTTGAACCTTTTTCATTTTTGACATAAGATGTTAAAATGATCTTAAAAATTAAATATATGTACATTACATCTCTAATTTTTAACATTTATTATTTTTTTGAGGATTTAGTAAATTTTTTGAAAATTATGTGAATTTTAAAAATTTGTCCCTCTATTTGTTATTTTTATGCCACTGGGAGTTTTTCCACAATTTTTTAATTTTGAAACAATGTCATTTTTGACATCTGTCATTTTTAACAAATTAATTTTTTTTTGACAAATTTGGAAATTTAAAAAAAAAATTGAATATTTGTCTTACTATATTTTATATTTACAGTATAAATAAATAAAAAATATACATAAAATATGTCATTTAATAAAATACATTTTTCCACATTTTTTTCAATTTAAACCAATGTTAAAGATCTCAAAAATTTTTTTGTATTTATACCACTGCGAATTTTTCCACAATTTTTTAATTTTGAACATTTGAAATTTTGGATATAAGATGTCAAAAAATGAAAGATGTCAAAATGACAGATCATTTTAGACATCTGTCATTTTTACCATTTCTTATTTTTGGCAATGTAAATTTTGAAAATTTAAATAAAAATTCCACTATTTCTTATATTCCACTGCGAATTTCCACAATTTTTTAATTTTCAAAATTTGAAAATTAAATGTCATAAAATGGAAGTTGTCAAAATAACAGATCATTTTTCACACCTGTCATTTTTAACATTTATTTTTTAACAATACTAAAAATTCAAAAAATTTTAACATTTTTGAAATTTTGTTAAGCATTTTTACTGTTTTTTAGTATAGGGTAATACAGACATAATTAAATATCTCGAAAGCTGTTCAAAATTAAAAAATAATCAAATTTTAGTATTTCTAGAATTTAACGTAGAATTTAAAAAATGCAATAATATTTTTATGGTTTACCGGAAGTGATAACGCATTGAAAATAATTTAAAAAAATAGTTTACATTGCCTTAAAATTGCTATACAAATTTCAAATTGATATCTTTTTCCTTTCTTCATAAACTTCTAATAAATAAGTTAGGTGAATCACCCTGTATACTTATGTATTATATTTGTAATTCACTTATTATCTTTAAACTCTGTATGACTTGTGCAAACATTGTATTTTTTAGAGCATAAATAAATATTATTAAATAATATCATTTGACATGTCATTTATTTATGAAAATTTTGTCCCACTATTTTTTATATTAAATTTTATACCAGATCTCAAAAATGTTTGACATCTATCATGTTAAACATTTGTTATTTTTTGACAGTTTTAAATTTTTTTAAATTTATCCCACCATTTTTCACTCGTAATTAGTTTTGGTTTACCACGTCCGCAAAAACTACATTAAAAAAAACTTACCCTCGACACGATCTCGGCTTCGGCATGCCTAAAATAGGTGCCAACTTTATCTATAGTGACGGGCGTTACGGACTGCCAACCGTCAACTTTAACGGTCAGCTGATGCATTTTCAACTTGTGCGAGTCCTGATGCCTGATCTTGTCTCTTTGCGTGAAAGTGAAGGGTACAATCCGACCGGGTTCGACCACAGTCCAATTGTTATCGGTGGTGTACGACGCGGTTTTGTTGTACTCCGTTATAAGAGTCGTGAAAGCCAGCTGCGAGCCGGTTTCGTTCATCAAGGCGTAGGGAACGAAGGGGAGACGTTTGCGATGGTTTTCCGACTTCTTCACGTCTTTCAAGAGGTAGTAATCTTTGGTCCAGTTGTCTTTGACTTGGCTGTACAGTTCTATCAAAGTTGAGGTGATGTTGATGTTCAGTACATCCGCTTCGTCCGATTCTATGGTGATGTATAAACGGTTTCTAGTTAGGTCCAAGGAAAGAGTCTTTTTCCACGCCACGCGACATCTAAAACGGTCGAAATAAACAACACAAATCATCGCAAAATAAAACACTCTTACTTCCACGGTTCTATAACTGGCTCCCACCCAGATAACACTCTGTTGTAATACGACCCAACAAGGGTACAATCCAAAGAACCCTGTGGGTATATGGGCATAAGTGGGTTCATATTGGGCATTACTTGAGTTAGACACAAGTCTGAGAAGGAAAATTCCAGTAGAGGTACATCAGAATCTCTGCAATCGTCGATGATGCACAAGGTTACACAAGTGGCGCGAAACTAAAAAAAAACGTTTAGTTCCAAAAATCACGATTAAAAAAAATCAAAATCAACGATTTTTAGTTAAAAAATAAAAAAAATCAACAAAACACGATTTTTTTTATTTTTTTTAAATTATAAGCTTTTTTAATAAAGTGTACTACAATATACTACAATACTAAAAATAACTTAACTATACGCTAAAGAATTATCGGGTTTTCGAATGCGCGCGTCATCAGATGGACTTAATTTAAGAATAATTATTGTCAACAATACATTTAAAGCATACGAATCGTACATCATTTTTAAATAAATATGTAGTTTTTCACAAACGACAAATTTTGTGCAATTGCACAGCTAAATCGTGCACGTTATTTGTGTTTTACGTTGCAAGGAAAAAACTAAAAAAACTGATTTAGTACCTACTCGATTTCAATTGATTATTCTTTATATCATTGATTAAAAAACTTAACGCTTAAATGCTTATATAGTTACGTTACGAATTATTGTGATTTTAATTGTAAATAAAATTCAAGAACTAAATCGTTTTATTTTGCCAAAGGATCCAATTCAGTAAGTTCATTTGTTGGTGCAGAATTAACTAATGATAACTTTATCTAATATAATTTATATTTAAGTTTGGACATTTTTAAGAAATTAGTAAAAAATAATTTTTGCACAAACATAACCTTAAAATCAACCATTTTTATATTTGAGTTGTCTAAAAAACGCCGACAACTGCATTTTAAACAACATCATATACCTACGAATTCATGGCACATAATATTATATATAATACGTAATATAATCAACGCTTTTAATAATGCGAAATGCTGTTTAAATTTAGACGACTTATTTGTTTGACGATTATTACTGAATTGAAATGTTTTCACGTTAATCATTACTAAAATGCGTATTTATTGTATCTAATAGATACAATTTATATTTACAGGGACTGTATGAAATTTATTTCTTCATTCGGATTAACACTGTTTATTGGAAAACCGATAATAACTCAACCCAGGATTTCCTCTCGAAATACACCCAACAACACAACAAATCGTGCCACGGTTTTTTTTGATATTTTTTAACATTTCTCAGCTTTATTATCAAAAACACTCGTTTGTAACACACGCGTTTAACAGCTGATTATCAAAAGTTGTACTTTTGTTACGATGATACAGCCGAGTGGAGGCGCTACTAGCGATACTTCTTTATCGTATTTCCGGAAAAATTGAACCGGCGGAAAAAAAACCGGTTTTTCCGAAAAAAACGGAAAAATTGAGAAATTTTCAAAAAAAGTGACTTTTGCATTTTTTCATTTTATTCAAAACACAATTCAAAAGTAAATTTTTCTGAAAATTTACAAATTTTTACAGATATCTGTAGATAAAAATGAATTTTCGACGCTGATTATAATCATAGTATTATAATAAATCATATATGATAATAATAATTATTTCTTTTATTTTATTTCAGTAAGAATTATCTACTGGTCCGAAAAAAAACATATTCGGTGCTGTATTAACATACAAACTTTAGATTAATTTGACATTTCAATTTAAAAATTATAATTTTGTAATTTAACTTTATAAATCAAACATTATTTTGTAATTTGATATTTTAAATGGACTAATTTTTGCAAAAAAGCCTCAACCGAAAGTATATTTAATGACGTTTATTTTCTAAGATCAATTGTAATTTAATTCAATATTTAGATTTTTTTCTTTTGTAATAAAGGAAATTTTTTTTAAATTAAAATAATGTTTTTAAAGTTTTTAATTGCTACTTTTTTCAAATGTGTATGTTTTCCAAAAAAAAAATATTATTTTTTCCCAAAAAAGACAATTTTTCCAAGACCTGGGAAAAACAGGTTTTTCCCCCAATCTTTCCGGTTTTTGTTTCGACACTTTAAAATTCTACTTTACTATAATAATATTATATTGGCACTACTTTATAAACAAATAAACCACCGTCATATATTTTATTTGGTATATTCCTTTATTATTTTTTTTAACAAAATAAGCAGTTTTTCTATGCATATGAATTCATTTAAATAGTGTCAAGATATTATTGTGCTTTAGTTTTAGATTTTCAAAGTGTTTTTTTAGATTTTAGAAACTTGTTTAAAAATGATTTAAATCATTGATTAAAATAAAAAAATCACTTGATTTAAATCGTGATTTCGTGAAAACTTACCTCAATATCTTTAATAAATGGTTTTTTAACGTTTTTATCGAACATTGAAACAGCATTGCGAGTTAGCCAAAGAGCTGCATCATCAATAGTATTATTGCATGTTTCCAATGCTTCAATACAGTCACTAGAGCGAAAACCTAAAGCTGTCAAGGTAGAAATTTTACCTAAAAAATAACCACAATTACAGATTTATTACATTGCTTTTTTTATCCCTAAAATACCTCTCAAATTTCTGGATATTTCTGGCTCTTTTTCTGTAGTTGTGATCTGGTTCGGCAACGATTTTATTATTTGCATGAACATACACATGTCGTTGTAAGAAAGTCGCACTTTAAGGAATTGCAATTGTATCTCAAGTTTATCCTCATGAATAATATCTATGTTCAAGGTAACGGGGTCTATAATAGATAGAGCTGTTGTTTCCTCCATCCCCAAAACGCATGAGAACATTTCGCAATTATTCAGAGCGCATGATAAGGGTTTTTCCGTATTCGCCGGTTTATATGTTAAAACAGTAGTTGTCTAAAGAGAAATATCACAAAAATACATGTTAACAAAAAACAATTCATCACTTACTTGAAATATGACAGCATTAGAGTCCCACTGACTGTTATCCTCCAAAATCACAATCTCTGAATCCGTTATGTTCATGTTCAACTCAAATATTTCCTCCTCCCTTTTGCCATCAACTTCATCAAGTGGTTTATGCTTCTGCGGTGTTATCGGTAGGGAATTTTCCTGGATATCCTGGAAAATGTACTCGCGAACTTGCTGCCACCAATCGAAAATCGCCATGAGTCTCATATTGTTCAGCAATATCGTCGATTTAGTTTTGTTGCGTCTCTTACGATTGTGGATCTCGACTTGCAGCTCGTTTTTCTTGGAGTTTTTGTTCGGTTGTAGTATGTTCGTGAAAACGTTCACAGGAGATGCGGTTTCAATACCTTGGAATCTGGTGTCGACAATAAGAATTTCCTGCGACATCAAATCCACGTCCTGACTGTTATCACTGTACGTTTCCAAAACCAGTTTTGACTTGATGAAGTTTATGCAACTTATAGGCGGACTTTCGTGCGATTTAAGCAGCCTCAAGGTCACGTTTTGTAGGTCCAACTTGAGTGAGAATGTTGTCCAAACATCTCTGATATTAGCCTACACAAATGCTTTCATAAGCAAACGAAAATGTGCATGAAATACAATACAATACCTCGGCATCAATGGATGGTTGTGTTACTATAACAGGGACCCTTTCCTCCCCAAGGTTATAAGCCAATAATCCTCTTATTAGTCTGTATTGAGATAGTTCTAGAGCACCATCTAGCGTGGACAGTTCTCCATAAACACTTTTGTCGGGAACTAAAAATTTACTAATTAAAGCACAACATGGTTTCCAAAAACATAAAAGTATAACAACAGCCATAATAAATCTCTTAAATTTTATACAGAGAAAAATAGATAAACGTAAAAGTGTTACAGGACTGATTTTAGATTTTAGAAAGGCTTTTGACACGGTAGATACATGATATCTTTAAATCTTACTTAACTGGAAGAAAACAATATACAAGAGTAGGAGATGAAGTTAGTGACCAAGAGAGTATATACTATGGAGTACCTCAGGGTTCCATTTTGGGCCCTTATCTATATTTATTATATATGAATGATCTTCAGTCCTACCATTTATTTGGAAAAATGATGGTCTATGCTGATGACACGGCTCTTTTCTATGGAAACACAAATGACAAAGAAACAGAACACCAACTATAACTTTAGAGACATAGATAAATTACTAAAATGGACTAATACAAACAAATTAACACTAAATAGTGCAAATTGTCACATAATAAACTTTGAAAATAAAACCAAAAATCACAACATTAGAATCACCATAAATTCAGAAAAAAAATATAGAAGAAAAATTAAATACCTGGGTTTAGTCAGCATAAAAAACATCTTTCGACATACAAAGGGCTTGAATTTAAGGAAATGGAAACAATAAAACTAATAAAAAAATATTGGAAAAATAATACTGTGATCAAGACTTAAATATAATTATAAGATCTGAAGTACATGGATACATGACGAGAAACAATCACAAAATCAACATACCAAGTTCAAAGGACAAAAACTAATATTGACTGAAGGTGCCAGACTCTATAATGATATTCCAAAAGAGATCAAAAATACAATCTAATTAAATGTACTTTTTTTTTCTTGTTTATTGCTGTTATTTATATTATTTATACTTCTTGTTACCATTTATTGCTGATATTTAAATATTTATTACTGTTAATATATGGGTGAATATTTCAAAAGTGTAATTCAATCGGTTCTGGCTTGTTATTTCAAAAGTTAATATCCCACTGAAAATAAAATACTTGATGTCTAGTTTAATTAACTATTTTTGCTTGATTCCTTACTTATGTTAGTCTAAACGAGCATAGTAAAAAATATATATTAATTTGTGTGTAGCAAACGTCATTACCATGCCTTGTTCACATTAGAAGAACAACAACATATTTTCTTACATTTATTTACAAATTAAATCTTGCAATATCCTGTCTAACACAGACGAAGAAAATACAAAATAATACAATCCAAGCAAGAAATGTTAACTTTTCTTTTAATGCAGTTTAAACTTTGTTCACACCCATGAGCGTCATTGCCGTGGCTACTTAAAATGTGTCCAATTTCATATTTAAATACGCGATACATTCGGAAAATGCCGGAAGTTTTCGAACGTCCGATATGAAAATATCCTGCCTGTCTAACGTCCACTAGCATATGTCAAACCATAAAGTTGTGACCTGCGCCGAATGAAAACGAAAACGGCTTGTTACGTCTAAGTCCGTCATTGTCGGGGTAAGTATTATTTCAAAGTTTATGGACATACAAAACATTTACATTAATACAAAGGAGTGTTGCATTAACAAAAAGCAAATGGTAACTTGAAAATTTCATTACATTTTCGAATAAACATTGTAAAACACTCTAACCTTAAAATCATCATTACCGTGCTCGTCATTGTCGTGTCCCTTACATGTAACCAATTTAAAATATTTCATTTTAGTGGGAAATTAATTCAAATGACAAAACCACGAAACAAGTTGACCAACGAAGCTAAAAGACAAAGACAAAAAACTGAATCATTGTATAATAAAAACTTACCATTGTGACACACGTTGTTGTTCATGTTGGTCTCAATCTGCAACTTGAACTGTATTTTTTTCGTCAAAAACGAAGCGCCATTCTTGACGATTCTATTGCTGCCGAACTTAAAATACTCTCCCTTTATTTCCTTCTTCAAATCGTTGTCTTTAACGGCCGCGTATAAATCCATGTTATCCAACTCGACCACCATAACCTCCAGAAGGCATTTCTTGTCGGATTTTTTGGTGTCCACGCTTATGGTGCCCTTATCTCCGGAATATTTAAAGGAGTTTTTCACCACCAGTTGGCCCAAATCCGCTATGAGCATGTCGGTCGATTTGGAACTCTCGGGAAGAAGAATGATAGGGGAGTTGGCTTGAAGATACAGAAGAACTTTTTGATGGTCGTCTTTTACCAATTGCCCGCTGGTTGCGACTCTAATGCTCTTCATCACGGATTGCAGTTGAGTGAAATGATTGAAGAAAGTTAAAATTTCGGCCACGAATCGTTTGGTGTGCACATACATAACCGAAGACATATCGATGGATAATTTGGCGTCATAATCCTTATCGGCTGTAGGCGCATGTCTGAAATATTTAATAAAACGTTCTAAAAATAACATTAAGAGAATTTTTGTTTAAAGTAAATTAAAAATATGGTTAAAGACCGTATTTTTGTTAGTATACCCTAAAAACGAACAGTAACAAAGATACAGCGCTTCAAAGTCGGTGAAAATTACCCCTTTTTTGATTATTTTGCTGAATAATGGTCATTTTGGACGACTTTGAAGCGCTGTATTTTCGTTACTGTTCGTTTGATTTGTACAAAATTTTCAGGGTTTACTAACAAAAATACGGTCTTTCACAGGATATTTTTTATTTATTATATTCGAGCGTTTTTTATTATTAAATAGGATTTTCTCGAAAAACCCTTGAACACGTAAACTGAGATATAAGTTAAAGTATTTTTATACAAAATTTTATAAAGATTGATAAAGGCGTTTTAGAGTTGGATTTTTTTTACTTGTTATGCGTTAATTTTGACGCGCAGTGTATTTGCTACGGCCAAACGTCAAAGTTTGTAAATACACTCACAAACAAAATAATTGCTCCACACAAATTTTCGATGAATTTCACTCGCAAATAACTTTTTTATTTGATTTCGAATTTAAACAAATATTAAAGAATATTGTAAATAAATTAATGGAGAATCGCTCACATTTTAAAAATAGACGTACGTTTAGAATATTCAGGTTTAAACAAAAATATGTTTTTACCATAAGTTTAAGACACTCTGTAGACTGGCAAAACCGTATATTGTTCTAAATTAAGTTTTAATTATCAAGTCCCATCTATTTTTTTAAGTTTTGTTTTTGGTTCACCTTGATATTATTTATTTTTGTAAAAATATGCATTTTTTAAAAAACATTGCAATTTACAATATTTTTTCTTTATGAAGAACTAAGGTTGCTATGGTCCATCCATAGCCTATGCAGGATGACAGTGACAGTTTTGTTGAATCATTCCATACTTGGACATGTCATATACGGCTTTTAAAAGCTATCAAATTGTTTTTATAAATTCATGTGTTACTTTTAAGGTGTCTTCTTACTTTTAAAAATGAATATGTCTCCAACTGATGCTGCCCTTTGTACTTTACTTCTTGTGAAGTTTAAAACACTTGCCACGTTATACTGTGACATATACATTTTTAAAAGTAAGAAGACACCTCAAAAGTAACAAATTAATTTACAAAAAACAATTTGTTAGCTTTTGAAAGCAGTATATGACATGTCCAAGTATGGGATGATTCAACAAAACTGTCACTGTCATCATCCATAGGCTATAGCAATCTTAGTTCTTTGTACAGAAAAAATATTGGAAATTGCTATGTTTTTTAAAAAATCCATATTTTCCACAAAAATTAATATATCAAGGTGAACCAAAAACAAGACTGTAGATGTGACTTGATAATTAAAACTTAATTTAGAACAATATACGGTTTTGCCACTCTACAGAGTGTCTTAAACTTATGGTAAAAAACTTATTTTTGTTTAAACCTTGCGTCTATTTTTTAGTAACTTTTTAAAATGTGAGCGATTCTCCATTAATTTATTATATTCTTTAATATTCGTTTAAATCCGACATCAAATAAAAAAGTTAATTGCAATTGAAATTCATCGAAAATTTGTGTGGATCGATTATTTTGCCTGTGAATGAAACACAAGTTAAACAAAAAGGAGGTGCAAATCAATGTTTTTGCTTAGCCATTTGTGATTGATGCGTTTTGTTGTGTTTGTTATTATAATAATAAATATAGGGTCATGTAAAGTGGTGTAGGATAGGTTAGGTTAGTGGTCTAGGTTAAGTTAGGTTAGGTTAGGTTAGGTTGGGTTAGGATGAATTAGGTTTAGTTTTAAATGGTTGAAGCTTTGATTAGCAATCCATAAAATGGGTATGTTGCTCTTCAATCATTATTTGCAAATGTTTGATTCTATCTCTTTAAGTTAGCTAATTTTATTTTTAATATTTTATTTCATTTTTTTTTTACTGTACTAGATAAAAATGTAATTGTGGCATCTAATCTTTGTTGTAAACAGTTGCAAATAAAATTATTATTATTATTATTATTATTAAAAGTTCAAACTTTCGCCACTCTACGCGCTGCTAGTCTAAAGGCAGTAAGCTCCGCCCGTTTGTTTTGCTTACCTGTCATAATGGAACTCCAAAGCATGTTTTCCGGAGGTCATGAATCTCTCCCGGTACAGTTGCCCGTGTAGGGTCAAATCCAGCAAAGACAAAGACCCCAATTTACCGCTGACCTGTTTACGTAACCCGCAAGTCTTAACGTCGATATCGACGTTGGAAATGTTTGCTTTCGCTATGTCGTACTCGGGTTTGACTATCGCTACAGAGAGCGATTTAACGAATATATTCGTTTCGGCGTTCTCTTTGGAGGAACCTTGAATAGAATATTGAAAAAACCGTGCGGTTTATTTTTTGGGGGGTTACCTTTACGTATGTCTTCTGCGGACGATAAGTTTACGTTGTAAGTTGAATAGGTGACGGTGTTTGAAGGTGAGGCGCTGAAAAAGTCTATTACGACCACCCAGGATTCCACGCTGACTATTAAGTCCAGGCAATTGAAGTCTATTTGGGTTGATCTTTGCATCTACAAGATAAATGAACCTTGTTATATTACTGCTTTTACAAACCATGTAAAATAGGGTGTGTCATTTTTGAGCAACTTCTTTTTTTCAACTAAAAAACAGGCTAAAAATTTCAGGAAGGTGAAAAAAGAAGCTTCTAAAAATTTGAGCTCTTAATAATAACGTTTAATTTTTAAAAAATAATGTATACTTCCTTGCTTGTGTGAAATTCTTTATTTGCGACTAGTTTCGGTTATACACCATCTTCAGGCAAACTACAAATAATGAGGTATTAAATAAATATTTAAAAAAAATTTAAAGTTAGGTTAAGTTATTTTGGTTAAAATATTTGTTAATTACGATTATTATAAATATAGTTAAAATGTAAAATTAGTATCTACTTCCCTGATAGCACAGTTTATTCTAAGAATGTTTTTTAAACCTTCCAGTGAGAATATTCTTAGGGTCATGCTATATTTCTTCTAGTCATGTTCTAAGAATGTTTTTTAAACCTTCCAGTGAGAATATTCTTAGGATCATGCTATATTTCTTCTAAAGAACATGCTTAAAAGAAATATAGCATAATCCTAAGGCCTATAGGCAGGTTCTTAGAAGGTGCAAAGTTTAGTGGTAAAAATTAATCCACTCTAAACATATGCTTAGAATGTTGAGAAAGTAATTGCTATAGAAAGTTCATTTAGGAATATTCCTGGAACATTCTGTTAAGCATAATCAGTTCAGTTAGGTACCTATAAAATAGTAAAATATACCATAATCTACATATAAACGTACCTATACTTAGTATTAAATAGTAAGTAAAAAACACAACCCAAAATATTTTTTTATAGTTATCTGTCAAATTAAAACAATATTCGATAACAAAAATATTTATATACTATAGGTATCTAAATTATCAGGCTTTTACATAAAATATTCTATCCAACTTAAATACAATGAAAAATGTTTTTTTTTATGAAGAACTATTTGGTTTTTTCTTTTATGAAGAATTATTTTATAAGGAAATATTTTGTTTTTTTATATTTTTTTTATGTTCAACTTCAATCTAATCTGACTTATCCCACAAAATTTTCCAATTTTACTTTTTATGAAATAATGTCATACAACTTATGGTTTAAAGGTCAAATTGTTTATTTAATATTATTAAATAAATATATGTTAATATGTCGCAAAATTTTTTAAGGGGACGACAAATACATTTCACTGTCATATTATAACAGTGTATTTGTCGCCTCCTGAAGAATTTTACGAATGTAGAATCCAACATATTAGAACGTGGGACCCACGTCGTGGGTATCTGACATATTTGGAAATATTCTCCTAGAAGCTCCATAAGAAACCTTCTAAGAACATTCCAAAAACGTATTCTTAAAATGTTCTTAGAATGCTTTTTAGGAATGTTTTAAGAAGCTTCTAAGAATCTAATTGCATCATTAAAAGGGTATCTATTGAATGATTTAAAAGTCCCTAAGAACATTCTTAGCAATAAGGGAAGGTTCTAAGAATATTCCATTATTCCGGGTCATATCTTCTTAGAAGATTCTTAGAATCAAATTTTGCTATCAGGGTTACAATGTCAAGTTTTAAAAATATGAGTTAAAATAATAATATAAATTACGAACATAGAAGTTTTAAAAACAATTTTTACACTTTATAAATAAATGTTTTTTGTGGTAGGTGTGAGATGTTGGTTGTGGTCTTACAGGTGTTTGAAAATAGGTTCAAAATATAATTCTACTTGTTCGTTTAGTAGGTTACATTTGTCTTTGTTTTTGTTTATTTCATAGGCTTCTAGAAGTGTTAGTTTTATTCCTTTTTCTTCTTGATGTAATATTTTTATATTTTTCCAGTCTTCAAATTTATGTCCGCTTGATTGTAAATGTCTTCCAAAGTTTGATGTTTTGGTATCTTTTATGTGTTCTTTAATTCTTGTTTTTATACTTCTTCCTGTTTCCCCAATATATTTTGCATCGCATTCTTCGCATGTTATGCAGTATACTCCGTTTTTATCGAGATAATGTGTATTGTCTTTTCCGTTTTTTAGGCAGTTGATTAAAGTGATATTATTATTTTTTATTCGTTTCTTGAGTTGTATTAAGGTGTTTTGTTCTTCGATATATGGTTGATTATGTTTGGTTTTTGTTTCTTTGTTTATTCTTTGTTTATACTCCTATTCGTCCAATAGTTAGCTTTATTAACTCCCCTACATACAATCTAAATAAATTCACAATAGAAACATTTCTAAACATCACCAATTACAAACCAAAATATACAATAGAAAATTCAAGAGACCTAATAAATCAACTTCTCAAAACAAACTTAACAAAAAACGATATCCTCGTTTCATTCGATATTACCAATCTATATACAAACATACCCATTGTAGAAACATTAAAAATCGTTGAAAAAATACTTCACCAACATATAAATGATAAACCTGAAGAGATACAGCATATAATTAAACTATTTAAACTAACAACAGAACAAAATTACTGCCAATTTGATAATAAAATATATAAAATGGAAGATGGACTACCTATGGGCGCCCCAAATGCCTGCTTACTAGCCAACATCTTTATAGATCAACTAGAACAATGGATCTTTAACAGCAAACATAACATTATCAAACACATAAAATTTTGGAAAAGGTATGTAGATGATATAATATTAATCTGGGATGGCAACATAGATCTATTAAAAACATTTCATGAATATATTAACAACCTACACAAAAACATAAATTTTACTATAGAAATAGAAAATAAAAATTCCATCAACTTTCTGGACCTTACAATTACAAGAACAGATAATACATTTCAGTTTAAAATTTATAGAAAACCGACTAACACATCCGCCCTTATACCATACGACTCACACCACCCATACAAACACAAACTTGCAGCATTCCACAGTTTCATACACCGAGCGTTAAACATCCCAATGAACCAAAACAACAAAGAAAACGAACTTAACATCATCAAACAAATTGCATCAGAAAATAACTTTCCCTTATCTACTATCGAGAAAATAATTAAAAAACAAGAAAAAATACTTTTAAACAAACACCTCTTAAACCTCACTGATAAAACCAAAGAACATACTTATAAAAAATTTTCATATCAGGGAAATATAAACAATAAAATAGCAAAAATACTTAAAAAATACAAAATCACCTGCGCAACATCACAAAAAGAAAACCTTATCAACTGCCTAAAAAACGGAAAAGACAATACACATTATCTCGATAAAAACGGAGTATACTGCATAACATGCGAAGAATGCGATGCAAAATATATTGGGGAAACAGGAAGAAGTATAAAAACAAGAATTAAAGAACACATAAAAGATACCAAAACATCAAACTTTGGAAGACATTTACAATCAAGCGGACATAAATTTGAAGACTGGAAAAATATAAAAATATTACATCAAGAAGAAAAAGGAATAAAACTAACACTTCTAGAAGCCTATGAAATAAACAAAAACAAAGACAAATGTAACCTACTAAACGAACAAGTAGAATTATATTTTGAACCTATTTTCAAACACCTGTAAGACCACAACCAACATCTCACACCTACCACAAAAAACATTTATTTATAAAGTGTAAAAATTGTTTTTAAAACTATTATTATTTTAACTCATATTTTTAAAACTTGACATTGTAAGTAGATACTAATTTTACATTTTAACTATATTTATAATAATCGTAATTAACAAATATTTTAACCAAAATAACTTAACCTAACTTTAAATTTTTTTTAAATATTTATTTAATACCTCATTATTTGTAGTTTGCCTGAAGATGGTGTATAACCGAAACTAGTCGCAAATAAAGAATTTCACACAAGCAAGGAAGTATACATTATTTTTTAAAAATTAAACATTCCATAAACCTTGCTAAAAATGGATTACCAAAACCTAATGAAACTTAATAATAACATTAAGTGGTGCCTGTTCCTAACTTTACATTTAAATAACATGGAAAAAAAAATCTTATTTTTGTATCTTGACATTTAAAAACGAACTGAAAAATTATTTTGGTAGGAAATTGAACGCTCTACAAAAAAGTACTAATTTATTTTTTCATAGAGTAAGCCGTTCTGAAGGTATTCAAACTTGCAAATGTATGAAATTATGACTTTTATTTTATTAAATTAATACTTTTTTATGTCTTAAAAATTATTTTAAGAAAAAATAATTATTTTCGTATAGAAAGAAAATAACACTTACATCTCAATTTTTTCCATTTTATTTTATTTACTATCAAAAAAAGTTATTTGTGTTCAATGAATTTGTTCAATAATTATAATAGATTAAATAAAACAATGAATTTTTTATTGTATTGAATTTTTAATCTTTCTTTTTTTATAATTTTAAAGTCGATAACTCTGATAAAAGATTATATCGGCTCAGTCGGTATATTACCGTTCGTATTACACAGTGACTAGAGGCACGCTAACGTGCCGCGATTCGAAATGTTAAAGGCAACTTTAAGTTTGAATACCTTCAGAACGGCTCACTGTATGAAAAAATAAATTGAAACTTTTTGTAGAGGGTTCAATTTCCTACCAAAATAATTTTTCAGTTCATTTTTACAATGCTCAATTGTCAAGCTAAAAAAATAAGAAAAAAGAAAAAAAAATCCATGTTATTTAAATGGAAAATGGAAAGTTAGGAACAGGCACCACTTAATGTTAATATTAAGAGCTCAAATTTTTAGAGGTTTCTTTTTTCACCTTCCTGAAAGTTTTTAGCCTGTTTTTTAGTTGAAAAAAAAAGTTGCTTAAAAATGACACACCCTAACGTAAAACCTTACCGAATTATAGTAAGAGGCGAAATTTGGTGCAGCAGGATCAACGAGCAAAGAACTAATCAAAACCAAGTTCTTCACGGGTTTTTGTCTGCTCAAAGAAGGAGAAGGGGGCGGGGTACACGGAAACCTCCCCCCACCACTCCCCTGCGGGTTTGGAGAGTAGACGGGCTGACTGGGCACGTTGATGCCGAACACCTTGGCAGTCTCCAGGTGATCGGGAAGCGAACCCGGTATGACGGCGGAAAATTCCGGTCTGAAACCGGAAACGTCCGGGCAGGAGCGCGAGACGCATCCCGCTCCGGAAGGGTACTCGTCTCCGCTGGAGGAGATCACCATCGAACGTTGCTTGGAGTTTTCCGGTTGCAAGAGATCCTCCATGAATATCGAGCGCAGGGAGACCTGAATGTTGGTTTCGTATTTGTGGAATTTTTCGTAGTTAAAAACGAACTCTCTCAGCGATAAGTCCACTAAACCTTGCTCGCCAGTTGGGGAGTCGCCTTTGAGTTCTATTATCAGGATAGGTACTTCAAAACCAACTAAAAAGAAACCAATGTAACACCACATTGTATTTAAACTAAACTGCGCACCACTCAATGAGTCGCGACCAAAAAGTTCGTTCTTTTTCAAAACGACATAACTTTTTTGTTTCTTGAACGATTTTATTTTGGTCTGTGATGTCTCCTAGCCCCATCCTCTGGCAATTCATGATATAGATATGAAGCTCAAGGTTCTTCAAGTAAATTTCCTACAGGGTGTTATGTTAAACGGTGAAAATTTTCAATGACTTCATCCAAGCCCCGTTTGTAAAAAAATAATTTTTTTCTCGTTTTTACTTTGAAATAATGAAATATTATGTCTTACCTTGAAACGTTTTTAAAATTTTTCGAATTGGAATCGTATCAACGAAAATATGATTTTTTTTTCTAAAAGAGTACATTTAAAGCTTTTTTGTAGGCAATTTAACAGCCGGGAATTGTTTTCGAATTTTGATTCTTAGTGATTTTGGTTTTATCTGAAACTTAAATTTGACAACTGAATCACAAGCAGGAGGTCAAAATTATAAAAAAAACATGTCACGAACGTAAATATCGGTTCAGGATTGGTTTTCGCAAATTTTCACCAAAATGTCATTTTAAAAAAGTTGTCTTTGCTTAGGCCCCTCTGAAAATAATGGAAGTTTGTTGCTTGTCGTTTGTTCAGAATTATTCAAGGAACAATCTTTCACCATCTTATCTCCTTGTTCTTAAAAAGACTGAGTGTATTGCCTACCAAAAAGCCTTAAATGTACTCTTTTTAAAAAAAAATCATATTTTCTTTGCTAAGATTCCAATACGAAAAAATTGAAAACCTTTTCAAGGTAAGACATAATACTTCATTATTCCAAAGTAAAAACGAGAAAAAAATATTTTTTTACAAACGGGGCTTGGATGAAGTTATTGAAATTTTTGACCGTTTTACATATCACCCTGTACGAAATTTACTTGAAGAACCGTGAGCTTCATATCTATAGCATGAATAGCCAGAGGATGGGGCTAGCAGAAATCGCAGACCAAAATAAAATCGTTCAAGAAACAAAAAAGTTATGTCGTTTTGAAAAAGGACGAACTTTTTGGTCGCGACACATTGAGTGGTGCGCAGTTTATAACAACAAACCTTTTAATGCTAAAGCGTTCTGTGTACTCTGTTTGGTCTTAGAAACATTCGTGGCAGTTGGAAACATTTTAGCTCTAACATGGGGATCCATATTGAGCGTTGTAACGCCTATATCCTCTTCGCTGATGTCGGTTAAAATCGGTTGAGGTCGCGAATTTACCCTGCTTACGCCTTGAGCTTCTAATAAGGCTGGCGATGACGTCAGCCATTGCACAGTGTCCAAAACTTGTTCGTATTGCGAACGGGTTAAAGATACTTTAAGAGCGGTTACTATATTACCGTATATCTGAAATTAATTAAGAAATCCTAACGACTGCGCCATGTCAGTAAATTGTTATATTACACTAGTTTACAAAATCGAAAAAAAATTCTGCCCACTGAACACAAAAATCACAACAAATTTTTTTTTTAAGGAAGCGTTTTTGAAATATGTATATTGTTTTATTTTTATTTTAGGAGGTGTTTTGAAGTTTTTGGGTATAGCTTGAAATCTAATTGAAGGTATTTGAGCCCTCTAAAACTTTATTTTACATACTTTTGATATCGGATAAGTATTTTGACGCTAGCGATTTTAATAACTTAAAAAATTCGTTTTTATGGCAAAAATTTAGGTCGAAAATTTACATATCGTCCTGGGAAAGGGTTAAATCAAACAGATAACTCCAGTTTGGATTTTTTTCGTAAAGCTAACATTTTTACAAAAATAAAACAAGCTAATGTTGATAAAAATTTATGAAAAAATGGCGAAGTTATGAATTTTTTAGTGGAAGACCAAAATTCAGCTTTTTGACGATTTTTATTTTATTTTTTTTATTTTATTTCGTAATATGTTTATTTTTTAATGAAAACCTAATTAAAGTGCATGATTGGAATTTTTTAAGTTTTTTACGTACTTTTTTCACCGAAAATATAAATTTAAATTTGACATGACTCCGCAATCGTGAATTCTTTTGTTCCTCGTGTTGGCATAGTGACATTTTACTGCTATTTTTTGATATTTTAGCAGAGTATTTTTATCATGGTTTTATTTAGTTAATAAAAAGTGTAAAAGAAGTAAAAGAAGTAGAGAGTTCGAGTGCGTAAATAACCCCGACAATCTGGGTGACGTTAGTGATGAGCACGGAGAACGTTTTTACCAGCGGTATCACGGTTTCTGGGATGCAGCCATGATGGGTGATTACATTTGGTAACCTCATACGAGAAACGGAATACGAAAGCAACAAAAAACAAAAAAGGAGACAGATTTTTTTAAACCTATGCTTATTACAACAAAATAAAACTTTTAATATCTTCAATGTTCAATATTTATTGTTCAATATTCAATATAATTAATGTTTAAAATAAAAATCAATGTTCAATATTAAACTTTATATAACTCAATAAAATTAAAAAAACGTAAAAATTCTCGAAAAAACTGAATTTTGGTCTTTCACTAAAAAATTTGCCATTAATCCATGGATTTTTATTAACAGCAGCTTATTTTTTCCTTTAAGTATAATCTATACGTAAAATAAATCAAACTGGACTTTTTTTTCGATTTCTCTCTTTCCAAGAAAGATATGTAAATTTTTGACCTCGATTTTTGTAAAAAGTATCGAACTACTGAGCCGATACCAAAACTATACAAGAGAAAATTGTAGATGGCTCAATTACCTTTGATTTAAGTGCTTGTTTGGTCAAATCGATCAATTAGTACTCAAAGTATACTCTAAAACGTCAAAACACCTCAGAAAATTAAATAAAAAACAATTGAAAATTAATATCTCGAAAACGCTTCCATAAAAAAATTTAAGTGTGATTTTCGCGTTTAGTGGGCCTAACTACACAAGAAAATAATAGTGGGACATGGTGGGCAAAATGGCTGTAAACTAGTGTTATTTACCTGTATTGATTGGGAATTATTGTCCAGAGATAGGCTTTCTTCATCGTCCAGCAATAAATTTGATTCACTACTATTCCGCGTAAAAAGTGGTTTACTTATTTCCCTATCGATTACAAGTTGTATTAAAGTGTCGTGTAATATAGGTTTGGCTAAAGTTGAGCAGTTGTACAGTACCTCGGGTTTTGGTATCCTAAATGTATAAATTGTATATTTTTAACTTTCTTAGTAAATTAATCTTACATTGGTCCTGGTACTCTTCGTTGCCCCGTATCCAAAGAAAACAAATTCATATCTTTAACCTCAATATCGTAATGTTCCAATCTCGACTCATTATAATCAAGATTATAACCGTTACCGTTCGTGTTGCTTGAATTCTTATTGCTCATGCGTATCTTACCCAGATGAGCAACAAAAACTTGCGTACTTTTGGACGCTCTGGGAAGAACCAACACTGGACTGTCGAACTCCACATCCAAACTTAAAAAATACCACTTTAAAAACGCGTAATTTTACACTTTGGATCTTACTTTATGTCTATAATAAAGTCGTCTTCATCGTTGGGACTGTATGGGGTTTGTGGGACAGTGTCCCGTGCTGAGCAATACCCGGAATTCTCCATAGAGCTGCTTCGTCTTCTTCTGCGAGGCGAGGAAGTGTCGTAGAAAGATAACGCGCTACTATACATGGAGGAAGAAAGTTTGGCGTTCATGTATAGGGATTGAGAGAGCAATGCTTCGGCTCTGAAAAGCACAGTTGTATAAAAAAGCATGATTTATTCACACAAATAGGTACCTTGCATTAACTAATCCCAAAGCCATATCAGTTGCAGCGGAACGAATCGATCGTGCCAAATTCGATAGATACTGTTTAAACTCGGTTGCACAAGATTGCAACTCCACCACAAATTGTGGCGAATGGGTGTACCATAGAGATGCCATTCTTATGGTGATATCCGCCGTATCTAAAATCCCGAAGGTAAAACAAAAATCCTACCGACTGCGCCACAACACAGCAAACGGAAAATTATGGAAGTGTATAGGATAACGCCACGTTTGAATATAACAGTCAAGCGTTTCAATACTCTCCACAGTAGTCGTAATTTGACTTTTGAACTAGTTTTTTTTTCATTTTATTAATTAATTAAGCTGTGTTGAATATTTTTCCTATAGGAATAATTGCCAATTAATTCATTTGTTCGTGGATGCTACAATAACCTTCACTGGTGTGTACTCTTTGATCAACCAGATTTAAATGTTGTATTAACATATACCAGTGGAGATAGTAAAGGGTCTACCAACACACCTAATTATTAAAATTAAACTTTAATTATTACAGTTTAATAGCATATCGTTTTTTCAACATAACCTCTAAATTTTTAAATACAAATATACGCTAAAGAAGAATCGGGTTTTCGCAACGCGCGCGCCATCTGCCAAAAGCATTGCGTGAATTTAAGAATTGTCAACAATACATTTAAAGCATACGAACTGCACATCATTTTTAAATAAATATGTAGTTTTTTCACAAAAGAGAAGTCTTACTCGACAAATTTTGTTCAATTGCACAGCTAAATCGCGCACGTTATTTGTGTTTTACGTTGCAAGGAAAAAACTAAAAAACTGGTTTAGTACTCGATTTCGATTGATTATTCTTTATATTATTGATTAAGAAACTCAACGTTTAAATGCTTATATAGTTACGTTAGTGTGTGTATTTTATCTAAGGGATCATTGTATTTTTAATTGTCAATAAAATTCAAGAACATGTTTTTGCCAAAGGATCCAATTCGGTAAGTACATTTGTTGGTGCAGAATTAACTAATGATAACTTTACCTAATATATTTTATATCTAAGTTTGGGCATTTTTAAGAAATTAGTAAAAAATAATTTTTGCACAAACATAACCTTAAAATCAACCAATTTTATATTTGAGTTCTCTAAAAAACGCCGACAACTGCATTTTAAACAACAAAATATATCTACGAATTCATGGAAACATAATATTATATATAATACATAATATAATGGTATGTTACCGTTGAGTGGAGATATTAAAGAAGTCTTAATCAACGCTTTTATTAATGCTAAATGCTGTTTAAATTTAGACGACTTATTTGTTTGACGATTATTACTAAATTGAAATGTTTACACTTTTCACGTTAATCATTACTAAAATGTGTTTTTATTGTATCTAATGGATCCAATTTATATTTACAGGGACTGTATGAAATTTATTTCTTCATTCGGATTAACACTGTTTATTGGAAAACCGATAAAAACTCAACCCAGGATTTCATCTCGAATATTTTCCGGCTTTATTCTTAAAAACACTCGTTTGCAACACACGTGTTTGACAGCTGAGTATTATTAGTGGTGGCGCTACTAGCGATACTTCTTTAGCGTATAGGCACTTTATATAATACATGAATATACTTTACATCATATCCTCTGTGCTCTACATACCTGAGTTGTTACGGTATACAAAAATGAGAGAAACTGTTTTTAACAAAATCATATGCAGAAATGAGAATATTCAAAATACTTGCATCCATCAAAAAATCAAAACTTCTTGTTATATTAAATTACACCCTCTTTTTATGCTCAGAAATATTGACTAGAACAGTTATGCTATAACTTGGTACAGTAAAGAGAAGTCGAAACCATTGCGATAAGCTTAAGTTTCTATGTCTCTGAAGAGAATAAGAATTCGAAGTTGCTGCACCATTGGACTGCCCCTTTTTCAATAATTTCTAGAGGCATAAATGACTGTCCTACTGTCCTACTCTACCATCATTTTGACCACAGAAAGCCCTATAAACACCATTACTCCAGAAGGAGTTACAGGAAGAAGAATAAGAAGATAAATGACTGTACCATTCGACAGAATCGAGTTTCTACATCTCTGTTGAATATAGAAAATCAAAATAATGTATCTTGTCGAGTTTAACTTTAACTAGAGTCGTGCATAGGTATAGAGTCGAAAAATTTAAAAACAAAGCACAATTCAATACAGTTCAAATAAAACTTTAAGATCTAGTATTTAAACGGGAAGTCATCCTATACACTTCTATATTTTTCCGTTAGCTGTGAACATACCTTTATCATTCAACTTCTCCAAACTTCGCACAACTTTAAAACTGAACGCGGTTCTTTCATCGACTTGAGTTTGCGCCATCAAGTATATCGGGTGTGTGGTTTCCAAAAGAGGGTCCCTTCCCACGCTGACTATCCTCTGATGCATGTGTCCCTCGGGGGTCAAATCCAGCACCTGCAAACCCCCCAGACTGCCCTCCACTTCCAAATTACCCGCGACGTTGGCCTGTATCTTGGCCTCGCTCATCGTGGCCGTGCAAATTTTTTTGCCGTACAGCTGACCGTCGCGGATTATCCCTCTTAAGAGGAGAACATTCAGGCGATGGAAATCGAAGGTCAGTTTGGTGCAACCCCACTTTGAGGCTCTAAAGGATTCCTCCTCGGACAGGGATTCTTTGGATTCGTTGCGACTAAACGGTACAGCTGAGGATAGGTTTGTGGGGCCAGTACGTTTTGATTTGGGGAACACGCGACGAACGAACCCGACCAACTCCACTATGGTTTCCTGATTTGCTAAATCGAGGAAAGGACGTTAACAGTTGTAAAAATACACCTATAATGGCATTAAAAATGCCTTATGGTTTAAAAAGCGTTACTGAAAAGCGTTACCGTCGGTAACTTACCAAAAAGCGTTACCGTCGGTAACTTACCAAAAAGCGTTACCGTCGGTAACTTACCAAAAAGCGTTACCGTGGGTAACGTTTATTGTTGCGTTACCGTGGCAACTTGTTTACCCTGGATAGTGACGCTATTATTCTTAGGGATGTTCTGGGTAGGGTTTAAAATTTCCGGTAAAATTGAGCCGGGGGAAAAACCGTTTGTTTCCGAAAAAAGGGAAAAATTAATTTTTGCATTTTTTCATTTTAATCAAAGGGTAATACTAAAAAAAAATGCAAACGTCAATTTTTACGGAATATAATATTATTATAATTATTATTATTATAATTATTCGTTTTATTTTAATTCAGTCTAGTCCACCGGGCCGCAAAAAAACATATTTGGTGCTGTTAAATACATAGTTAATTTTTTTATCTGGACTGCGGCAACGTTGCAAATTTAGGGGTTTGGTTGGTAAATACGAAAACAAAATTGGTTGCATTGATTAAAACAAACTAAACTAGTTATAAATGCAATTATAATGTAATGTGGTTATGTTTAAATTATTGTAGGTTACATTGAACGGTTGTGTAGTTGAGTTGTCAAAATTCGTAGTTAAAAATGCAATTAATTTGGCTTTGGTGGCGCGTAGATGAGTAAAATCATATAGTAGTTAAATATAGGTGACTACGGCCCAGGAGAGACAAAGTATTCCTAGCGGATAATAATCTTCGCTTTGAAAAGAATTTAAAATTGTATGTAAACACACGTGAATGTTGTCGAATCATTGGACTCCAATGGTGAATGGGTATTTTATTAAAGCTACTGGACGTTAATACTTGGAGTGGCTTAATAATAATTATAATGTATATATTGTCCAGGACTATTAATGATCAGTACTTTGCTAATTGAGAGAAGAAAAAGTTTCGTGATTATTGCTTATCTTTTTCAAACCAAATGGATGCTAAGACAGGAAAATTAACTACTGGATTTTTCACAAAAAGGTTGAACCTAACAGCAAATAATTTTTATTTTTTGTTTTCTATTTCCTTTATTTTTTAAAATTTCAAAAATTTTTGATCTGCTTAGCTGAAAATAATGTGTGATTTAATATTTATAAAACCAAAAAACTTTCATTTTTACTCCAAAAAAATGTCCATAAGGCAATGTACTTTTTCTTCATGGAAATGAAGTCCTTTTACTTTAGAAACTGATATTATTTTTGGCATAGTTATCTTTTTATATCGATATTATATAATAAAACAAGTAAATTATCAATAATAAATATTCAGAGTTGAGATGGCAGATGCTCGAGCGCTTTGCAAAGCGCTCATAAGCGCTCATAAATGCTCATAAGCGCTCATAAAATCTTTAGCATAAGTACCATTTTTTAAATACTAAAAACCCTTAAAAAAAATCAGGGTTCCCAGCATTGTTTTGTACTTTTTTTTTATGATTTAATGACAAATTTTTCAAATTTTATGACATTTTTTATGACAAGAATTTATTATTTCTAAAGTTATTTAATAAAATAAATGTAATTTTTTAACACATTCGCGGACACTTCCAGATTTTAGAGGTTACTCAAAAACACACCAACTTTTGTCTGCAATTGCAGACGTCTGCTTTAACAGACACGTCCTTGTATATCCCAAAATTTTATATTAAGGGACATGCGTCTGTAATTGCAGACGTTAATAAACTAAATGCCGGTTTCGGTAATAAGAAGAAAATCGTAAAAAACATAAACTTTATTCAAATAAATAATAAAAACTACAACAAAATAAACTTTTAATCCAAGTCTTTGTCATCTGAACCAGCAAATGGATCTTCTATACTAGTACTGCTTGATCTATCACCCTCAGGCTCTGATGACGTATTACGTATGACGTAATTTACGTATCCCTATAGGGCAATACGAAACATCATCTCTTTTGCCAATGATCTTATACGTATATTTATTCAAAAACCATTTTATATATTGAATATATATATATACTATATAATATAATATATATAATATTATTATATATTTATAATTTATAATATTATATATTTATGATTATTAAAATTTTATAACAAAATATAAAAAACCGTATTTAGCTTAGGCAGGAATATTTCCTTAGAATAAAAATAAATAAAAATATTTGAACAAACCCTTATTAAAAATATAGTACTTACCGAGAGTTAAAATAAAAAAAAACAACTTAAAATAACATTTAAAAACAACAAAATAAAATCGAAATTTACAGGGACACTTCATAACCTCTTCCATTGGCCGTTATGAAGCTACTGTCTGCTTTTGCAGACATGACGCTTTTCGTGAGAAAACAATCTGCGCGGGAACTATATATTTAACCTTAAAATTTATCACTTATAGGGACACTTTTCTGCTAAAAAACTTGATGTACAGGGACAATATGCTTCCATTCATACGTATTTAATAGTAAATAGCGACTGCTAATGCAGACATGCGTTTTTCTGTGGTTTAAAATTTGTCTGCAATTGCAGTCGTGTCCCTACACATGTGTCTGCAATAGCAGTCGTGTCCGCGAATGTGTTAACGGTTTTTTATATAAAAATAAATATTTTTTCTCGCATCAAAATAAATATTTCTGCTATAATATTTTTAATATATGTTACTTTAGTATTTTATTATAATAAGTATTATAATCTCAAAATAAATAAAACCACAAAGGTATACAAATCTGAAATATTGGAGGCTCAAACAATGATTAACATGGGTCTCAAAAAAGCAAAAAAAAATAGTATATATACCTATAGGTACTATTTTTTTTTGCTTTTTTAGACCTATGTTAATCATTGTTTGAGCCTCCAATATTACAGATTTTTTAAGAGTATACTCTTAAAAAATCTATAGTTATGTAGTTATTGTTAAGGTACTTTGATAATTTCTTATTTCCTTCAGAAATAATATTTCTTGTTATTTTTAACTCTGCTTCCTTACTTGCCAAAATAGTATCAATTTTTTCAAGTCCTTCTTTGTGGCTTCCTTAGTAAAGTAATATAGTATAAAAATAAATTTACCTTTCTCATTATTTATTTCAAATTTAAAATTCATTTCCTAACCTAACTTATTTTTCCTTCATAGTATGAAGTTCATACGTCAACAACCAATGCCATATTTAAAACATTTTATTGCGTTTTATTCTACAGGACCGGCTTTAAATTTTATTTTACAAAATTTCCATTTTATAAAAAAGATTAAAGGTGAGAAAATTGTTAAAAAATAATGAAATTTTATGATTTCTATGACAAAATGTGAATTTTATGACATTTTAGGACAATTTAACCAATTTTATGATATTTAAAAATTTTATGACAAACGGGAACCCTGAAAAATTAACTGTAGTCCTAAATCAAACCAAATTTTGTCTAGGACTGTAGTTAATACTCTTGTTTTATTTGACACTTCGATTTATAAAATTATAATTTTGTAAGTTAAATTTTGTAATTGGATATTTTTCTTGAATCAATTTAATTTAATTCAATGTTTAGTTTTATTTTTTTTCTGTAATAAAGAATATTTTTATAAAATTAAATTAATGTTGAGTTGTTGATTGCTACTTTAAACAGGTTTTTTACCCAATTTTTCCGTTTTTTTTCGACGCTTTAAAACCCTAGTTCTGAGTTATCAAAACGTGTTAACTTTTATGTAAGTTATAAATTGTTCCCCATAAGACATTTTTAATGCCTACCATTTTACCAAATTAATAAAAAACGCTGATTTTTTTGTAAGCATGTATACACTCACCAATAATATCTAGATTGTTGAACTGCACATTGGCAATTTGCATTGGTTCGTGGCCTGTCACCAAAACCACATCAATGGTAATCAAAGCTTCAGCATCCACCGTCGTTTGAGGCATGGCCCACCTGATTGGAGGAGAGGTGGCTAAGGAACTCAAAGCCTGACTCAACGCTATCGGTGAAGTTGTAATTCCCGCCCTCTGCTGGCCGGGATCGGGACTCGCAGGAGACGTCGGCGAAGTAGGTTCGCTGTCTCTCAAACTACCCGACATAGAGTCCATACTAAAAATAATTAATTATTATGTGCAGTTTTTAAAGCTTAATTTTCATGTATCCGTTTGTCCGTCATCCGTATGTCAGTTTTTCAATAAAATCGTCCGATAAGAAATGTTCTAATTTTCATGCATACGTTTTTTAATGACGTTTAACGGATTGATTTTGCGACAAATAGAAATTAAGTGTCAGTATATTCACTTACTAAATTTACCTAATGCTTAATTGTCATAGTTACAATTATGTCAACAATTGTAACTTTAACAGTTAGCTGTCTAATAAATTTAAAGGTAGGTAAATATACCTTATAAAAAGAATATACTAGCCCTAATATACATTAAAATGTATAGTTTTAAAAAAGCAGGTCCTTTTAGTTCTAGTTTTAATTTTTTTTTGTTTGTCCTTTCTTTTTTTACGTTATTCTTATTAAATAAAAACTTAACAGTAGAACATTATTCACATAACGAACGTAATATTTCCGTTTTACAATCTTATTGAAAAAATATAAAAATATTTGAAAATAAATTATCTTAAAATAACGTTAGGCGTCAAAAACAGATGTGTAGTGACGGATGAGTTAAAATTATTTAACCTTTCTTTGTCAGACGTACGAAGTTGAAACTTGACGGACCGATAAAATGTCATAATTTTCGAATTATAATTCGACCAATAAGAGCGCTCCCGGATGAACGGACTGACGGACAAACGGATACATGAAAATTAAGCTTAAAACGTCTTTTTTACCCGACGTGTTTGTGACTGGCGACCAGTAGCTCGAAATCCTGCCCGAAAGTTTGCAGAGCGTCGACCAATAGGAGGCTGTGCACCGTCAGCGTGACGTTCACGTCGATCATGCGCTTGGTGAAGGCGATTTTAACGCCGGCCACCTGCAACTCGGCAACGCTGCGCTCCCTGCTTTGCACCTCCAGCGACAGCTGATCCACGGTGAACTGCACCATGAGCAGTCGCGACATTTCCACGCTCAAAGTGTCCACGCTGGCCGAATCCTCCTCGTCGAGGTCTAGAGGCTGCGTTGCCGCTTCCTCGCTTAGCTCGGGCGACTGCGAGGGCGCCTTGAAGGGCGACGGCAACCCCGTGGCCGATATGATCTGCCACAGCATCCTCGCGCAGTTTATTTTGCTTTCGTTCACGTGCGCCACCAGCTTGGGTAGGTTCGCGTTCAACGTCAAACTCGGATACTGAGGGTCGGCGGTGTGTATGACTCTCTTCTCGATTTGCAGCGATATGTTGAAACGGTCGAGCACGTGCAACTTCGAGGTTCCTTTGTTGTGCGCGTAGCGCCAGTTGTCTCTGACTTTGCCGATTAATATTTGCAAGTCTGTTAGCTCGAGGAAATAGCTGTCGTATATTTTTTTGTGCAGAGATGCTTCGTTCAAGTCAAAGTTAACGTCTGCCTCGGTTTTGTCTTCAAAACCGAATTCATCGTCGGTTTCGCTTTGTGGAGGAGTCGAACATGGCGTCAAAAATGTTTCTAATGAAACGAAATAATAGCAAATAATAGTACAGGCAAAGTACTATGCTCCACACCTCAAAGTCCCACCACGTGACCACGTACGGAACGCAGTCTTTTGAAAATTTGGCATTTAAGGCTTTTCAGGTTATGTATCTGTCAAAGTATAGTCAACGAAAGAAATAATATTATGTTTAGGCTTTAAAAATGTATAAATCTTTATAACTTTAGAATAACAATGGATGGTTTAAGAATTTAAGAATATAAATACTGCATTTAATGAAATTCTAAAATGTATGGTGCCAAATAAGTAATATTTTTGTGCATTTGGTCCAAATATCTGGTTTTCTCCATAAAATAATTTTAACTAAACAGCATTTATTAAAAAAATCTAGCTTCTCTATTATGGAATAAGAATATCTGTATTAAAAGTAGGTTAATATATTATAACAAAAATATCATCTAATTTTGTAATTTTAAGGTTAGAAAAATTTATTTTGACCAAAATAAATAAGTATTTTGGATTATTTAAAAGACTGTATAATATGGTATTTAAAAAAGTGGTAGTTCTTTTTATCCAGCTTAAAGTGTACCTACATAAAATTTTGTCAATACAAATAGTTAAAAAACTTCGACTGAATTTGATCTACATCAAAAAATCATTATAACTTTAAAAATTTTAATAAATCACGTGACAAGTACTTGTCATGGGAGTATTAAATATTTTCACATTGCAAATTGTTTCTCTTCTTATAATCCAACTTAAAGTAAGTATGCCAAGAGGTATGCACAAGTTTTGTCGTTAGAAGTACAAAAGCTTCAATTTAATTTGAACTATATTTAACAATTATTTAGTTTACCTATATTTATTTATAACCATATTAACACACTCTTTCAAATAATCCACTTATTTATTTTGGTCAAAATAGATTTTTCTAACCTTAAAATACAAAATTAGATGATATTTTTTGTTCTTATACATTAACCTACCTTTGATACAGATATTCTTATTTGATAATAGAGAAGCTAGATTTTTTTTAATAAATGCTGTTTAGTTGAAAATATTTTATGGAGAAATGTAGACCCAATGCACAAAAATATCACTTATATTGCACCTTACACTTTGGAATTTCATTAAATGCAGTATTTATATTCCTAAATTCTTAAACCAACCATTGTTATTGTGATAGGTACTATAAAGATTTATTAACTTTTAACGCTTAAACATAACCGGTAACACTCTAAATATTATTTCTTTCATTGACTATACTTTGACAGATACATAACCTGAAAAGCCTTAAATGCAAAATTTTTAAAAGACTGCGTTCCGTACGTGGTCACGTGGTGGGACTTTGAGGTGTGGAGCATAGTACATCTCAAATCTACCAGGCAAAAAAGGGTAAGTCGTTATTTTTATCAAAATTTTTTTACAGTTTCTCTACCGAAATTGATAAGACCCGTAGGAAATTTTTGAAAAATGTACAGAAACATCGATTTTTCTCTTCTTATCAGTGACATTTTTTCTTGAAAATGCTATAACTTGGCCAAAAATGTTTCGATCGTTACATTTTTTTTTAAATTGTTTTTTCTAAAAAAGGCCAAAAAAATTAAGGTCAATATTTTGACATTGCCACATTTTTTTTTACTTTATATTTTTTCGTTTGAAGTTGATAATATGAATAACTTTCACCAAAAGTCCCGAGTTGGCTAAATTCGTCGTTTCGGAATTATTATTTTTTTATGAAATTCTAGTAAATTCGTGGTTCATCGCAAAAATTTTGTATTTTATCTAGGGTTAGGAAACTGGGGTGACCTTTATAAAGTGTAATTTAGAACATTTTGACATATTTAACATATTTTGGAAATGCTCTTAACTTTTTATTTTTTAATAAACACCCTGTGCATTTTTACATATTTCGATTCAAAATTAAACTCTGAATACATACATGCTATTTTTCAATTTTTGACGGGTCAAATCATTTTTTAATTAAATTTTCAGCTTCATGTTGGGCCAAGTAGTCTGGAAAAAATACTTTTTATTCTTTTTTTGTAATGATGGTTTTAGGAGATTTCAAAAATTGAAAAACCATACTTTATGCCAAAACTATTTTTTTTTAAATAAAAGAGGGTGGTTCGTTGGTCATAAAAGAAATCCACTTTTTTAAATTTGATCCCAAATATTAATGCATTTTTAATAATATTGCTTTCAAACTCTTAATTGACTTTGAATGTTTATTAGGTTTTAAAATATGTACAGGAGTAAATAAATTAAGAAGGTTTAAAACCTTTGTGTTTAAGAGATTTGACAGTTCGTTAGTTTGTTTTGCTGGTAAGTGAATATTAACATTTTATTTTATCATGAAAACATACGCTAAAACTTTTTATAAAATAAAAAAAAATAATAATTGAGGTGGTTAGATAAATAAAAAAAACGAAATATAAGCTCAAATGAAATTTTATTATTTTTAAACCTGCGCATTAGTTCCTGGACCTTTTAGGCTTAATAATTATTTTTCTTCCTGATAGAGCCTTAGTCAAAAAGAGTTTCGCGATTGCCTCACTTATATCTGTTAACCGACCAAAATTTTTCGGAATTCTTTGTTTTCTAGATTTCTTCGAAATCGCGTTTTTATAAGTTTCTTGTACATTCGATTTATTACTTTAAGGTATGTAATACTTACTTTTTATTATTTTAACCAAAATTAAGTATACTTTTTTCTTCTTTTAAGAGCATTTACAGTGAAACCAGAAGTGACAAAAATATATTAAATATGTCAAAAAGTTCTAAATTACACTTTATATAGGTCACCCCAGTTTCATGACCCTAGATAAAAAACCTATTTTTGCGATGGACCACGAATTTACTTTAAAATGGCATTTTCATTAAAAAAATAATAATTTTGGAATGACCAATTTAGCCAACTCGGGACTTTCGGTGAAAGTTGTTTATATTAACAAAACAAAAAATGAAGTAAAAAAAATATGTTGGAATGTCAAAATTTTGACCAAATTTTTTTTTGCCTTTTTTAGAAAAAACAATTTAAAAAAATGAGTGAATTTTTTATATATTTTTTTTGTATAAACCATTTACCTACATTTAAAGAAAGACCCTACATTACTGTATAAGGAGCTAAAGTGCCATTCTACTGAAGTAAAATGTATTTTAAACATAAAATAAAAAAGTCTTGTTACTTACCGTCTTCCTCACTGTCTTTTGAAAGCTGTGTTTTGGGTACAACTTCCAAGTTAAGTGGATTATTCCGCAACTGTAACCTACCAAAATCTATCACTGCCATGGCGGAATTTTCGTTGCTAAATTGTTCAACAAAAATGATCTGAGGAGCTGATATATCAAACTCCAAATCCCAAGAGGTTCTTGCAGACTAAAATGTTACGTTTATTTACATTTTATTATTGAAAATCATACCTTACATCTCTCCCATCTAACATGTGCTCCCAATTTTTAAAGAGCTCCTTCTTTGTTCTAGACTTCATTTGCTCTATCCTGGATTGAGCCAAATCGCGCTGATACGGGCAACAAACGAATTCCGTCAACCACCGTACCGCGTTCGGTTGATAAACCACGTCCAAGCATTTTGATCGTATAGAAAGTCTGGAAAAAACAAAAATTAGCATGCAAATCATCGCAATTTCACGATGAATATTACTTGTAATCACTCCCTGTGCTCAAAGCTCTTTTCTCGTAAGACATAAAGAACAAATCGCTCATCTCCTCGAGCTTACCATCGCCGACGTTAAATCTGGGACTCTGCAAGCCTCTGGATCTGTTAACTCCAACGGTGGATCGCTCGAAACCCGGAGGACCGACCAAAATCGGGAACAAAGTGTTGGGAGTGGTTTTATCTTTCAAACTCAGCGAACCTAGAGACAGCTCCACCAGATGCGATTGGGTCCTCGGTTTGCTCAGTATTGTTAGAGAAAGGTTCTTGAACTCCAGTTCCAACATGGAATTACTGAAAGAGGTCGTGAAACGAGATGATCCCCAATTGCAGAGTAGGGTGATTCATTTCCGCAAAGTTTTTGTTTTCTTCGGTGCTCAAGCAAAATATTAATCTGCATATAGAAAAATAAATTCTCAACAAGTTTGAGCTCTTAATATAAATTTTAAGTACTTACTATTTAAATTTAAAGTTTTACCGTTTAAAATGCATGTAAAAAATATATATTTTTTTTCAAATTTCTAATGCTTACCCACCTTTGACAATATTGCAAATCGGTTTAATACACCTTATGGGGAATTTCACGCTCTTTAAAATTGCTTCTGAGTTTTTTTTGTAACTCGCATTGGTTCACCAGTAGGAGTCGTCAAAGGACATTTTTTGAAAAAAATCGGTTTTTTTTTTAATTTTTTCTAACAAACCGCAAAAAGTTGGGAGAAAAAAGGGCTGAATCATAAAAAAAGTTATCCAACCAATATTTAATGAATTTACAGCCATTTTTATAACTGAAAACGTAAGAAATTGATAATTACCAACTCATAATGTTATTTAGATTGATTTTTTCTATTTATTATCATTATATTTTCCTACACTAAGAAGTTTTTTAAAATTATTGATTTCTCACTTATAATGAATATGAAAACAACAGATAAATTCATAAAAAAACAATAAGAAAATTGTAACGTGGATTTTTCAATTTTTCAACATTTCTGTCATATAGCAAAAAATTATAAATGAAGATTATTTAATTTTTTGAAGCGAAATTTGAAATATGTTACATAACCTTCTGTATATTCCGATTAAAGTTTTGTTGTTTTTTTTTTGAATTTATGTGTTGTTTTCATATTCATTATGAGTGAGAAATCATAATAATTTTAAAAAAGTTCTTAGTGTAGGGAAATATAATGATAATAAATAGAAAAAATCAATCTAAATAACATTATGGGTTGGTTTTTATGAATTTCTTACGTTTTCAGTTATAAAAATGGCAGTAAATTCATTAAATATTGGTTGGATAACTTTTTTCTCACTACTTTTGGCGATTTGCTCGAAAAAAATAAAAAAAAAACGATTTTTTTCAAAAACTGTCCTTTGACGACTCCTACTGGTGATCCAATGCGAGTTACAAAAAAAAAACTCAAAAGCAATTTTAAAGAGCGTGAAATTCCCCATAAGGTGTATTAAACCGATTTGCAATATTGTCAAAGGTGGGTAACCATTAGAAATTTGAAAAAAAAATATGTATTTTTTACATGCATTTTAAACGGTAAAACTTTAAATTTAAATAGTAAGTGCTTAAAATTAATATTAAGAGCTCAAACTTGGTGAGAATGTTTTTTCCTATATGCAGATTAATATTTTGCTTGAGCACCGAAAAAAAACAAAAACTTTGCGGAAATGAATCACCCTATTGCAGAGTCCCTTACCTTTCCTTCGTCTCTTCGATGAAAGTGCACAAATTAAGACACCCTTTGGTCAGCGAAAAGTTGAATTTTCCAAAGACCGCGTCTCTTTTCAGTATGGTATTATTTTCGGCGGAATCTGAAAGGACCTGGAATAGTTCTTCTTCGAGGGCTGTTTCGGTAGGAACCACGTTTTCGGCTTCGTTCGTGGTTGACGTGGAATACCATCCCATCCACTGTGGAAACCAACTTTCCAGCATGCTTCTACCGGAAGACTGGTTACTACCAGTATTACCGTTACGGTCAACTTTTAAAGACTTCATAGCAATCTAAATAATAATAATAAACCATGTTTATTAAACATTATAAAGGCCCTGCCTAACAATGGGAATAATGAAATGAAAAAACCTCGTTTGAATTTTTTTTAAATTATGAGTTTTTCTCACTTTTTTAGGATTTGTTCTATTATATTTTAAAAAGTGGTCGGGGCTCATGTTAAAAAATAATTTACAAATATGAATTTTTGAAAGTACCTTCAGGATAGTAAAAAAATAAATAAAAACCTTGTTAAAAAAAAAAATAAAAAATTATGAGTTTTTCCCACTTTTTTAGGATTTGTTTTAATTTTTTTATTAAAAGTGGTCTGGGTTCAGGTGAAAAATTAATTTACAAATCTGAATTTTTGAAAGTACCTTCAGGATAGTAAAAATTAAGAAAAAACTTGGTTAAAAAAAATTTAAAAAATTATCAGTTTTTCCCACTTTTTAAGGATTTCTTTTAATTTTTATATTAAAAGTGGTCTGGGTTCAGGTGAAAAATTAGTTTACAAATTTTTTAAAGTACCTTCAGGATAGTAAAAAATAAGAAAAAACCTCGTAAAAAAATATTAAACATTAAATAAAATAAATTTTGTTTATTTTTTGGAAGGGTGATGTTGTGTCTTGGTTTTTCATTTTAGAAAGTTGGTCACCTTACTATAATAACATTTAAAATTGATAAAAAATGTTAACCATATTATTTATTTATTTTTGAAAATCATTTAATTATAATAATGTATATATAAAGTATAATATAAGTAGATAAATTCAAAGATAATCTTTGGATAAATTTACTTATTGGAGTATATAAAGTATAGTAAAGATACACTAAAGATTATGCGTATTATCTCTCATATAATAATATACTATTATTTGTTTTAAATATTACATTTAGTACAGTAATTATGAGGTGGTCCATAATTTTATGCGGCTTTGAACAAATTATAGCAAAAAAACTACAAATTCTATTGATTTTGTGTAATTGTAAGTAATGTTTTTTAAATTGCAAAAAAGTTGACAAAAAAAACTACTTTAAATATTGTATCTCAATGTTTAGTTGAAAATATACAAAAAAAAAAACGTTTATATAAAATTACCGGATCGAATTGCCAATAGGAAAAACTTTTTAACTAAAAATGAGAAACCAAAAAAAATTAAAATTCGAAAAATCAGAAATAAAGAAATCATGAAAATCCTTCAAGAGGGAAGTACCTTGCGTTTTAGAAAAAAAAATCATTCTTCATTGTTTAAAAAATGAGATTTTCATAAAAAATGTAATCAAATTTACAATAAGGTTGCTAATAGGAACAACTTTTCATAGTGCGTTTAACAAAAAAAAATTCCTCATAAAATTTTCCTCTTGTTAAAAAAATGAAATTTCGTTTAAAAAAATTGAATTATATGTACAGGGTGCTCCCCGATGGTGTTACCCCGTGATATTTAATAAAACTAAATGAGTTTGACCTACAATTTTATTGTGTTTTGATCTTTCATAATTAAGTAGATATTGCAGCTCAGGTTCCAGAATTTTAACCGCAATTTATTATTTTTTACAATGTTTTAAAAGTCTAAAACCTATCCTCCGTGACTGTTACTCTTTCTAGGTTAACCTATATGTTTTCAAATATTTGAGGTATACTAAAAATATCAGTTCACTAAGTAAATTAAATACATCCAAAGCAATCGAATCAATTATAAAATATTATTAAAAATTAAAAGAAATAATTTTTATAACCACTTATGTAGGTGTTACAAAAATTGATTATATCCTCCGTGAATCTGTTTTTGCTTTAAATATTATGCAACGGATGGCGCTTTAATCATTTTAAATAAGCAAAAACCCCTGTTTACGACATTATAGATGAAAACATACGAAATCATAACCTCCGTGAAGCTGTCTTCCGTGAAGCTCTAATATTCAAAATGTATGATTTCTTTAAATGATTTCTTAATTTCTGATTTTTTGAATTTTAATTTTTTCTTGGTTTCTGATTAATGATTAATTTTTTAAACAAGCAGGAAATTTTATTTTATTTTTTTGTAAAAGTTATAGCTATTGTCCCATAAAAATGTATTGGATTTTTTTTAATAAAAAAATATCCATTACCTATAGTTTATGTAATAGACATTTTTTAATTTTATCAAGTAAAATGTTTATTTTTTATTTTTGGGTCCTAAACATAAAATTAAAAACTATATTAATTTGATATTATCCAGTATTTTCATACCTGTCTTAAAACTTTCAATTCCTCAATATCTCTATCCCACTCCACACCATCCTTAACCTCCTTCTCGTCTAAACTCAGCGTCACATTTGGGGTCATCAATATCTTCTTGTAGATCTGCACGTATTGCACGTTCTCTTTGGCGCGTTTCAGCGCGCTCTCCCAAGTCGGCCTTGGCTTGCATATGGCGGGTTGCCTGCCGCCAGGGTAGAAGCAACTTACCGCGTACATCCACCACGCTCGCGGATCCTCGATCGCGCCCGAGCTCGGTCGGTAACGCCTGTAGCTGCGCAGAGTGGCTATCACGTCCAGACCGCGCATGCAGGCCACTATTTGATTGTACTGCCACTAAAAAGTTCGATAAAAGTGCGATTTTTGTTTGTTGATGTGTTGTTTCGAGGTGCACTTACGTCGATCAGGGTTATAGGAACTTCCTTTAGTATTAAATCGCATACGATTCTTGGAGTGTCGGTGGATTTTAACGGTTTTTCGCTTCTGTTTCGTTTCATGCGCGCATGCGCGCTTACTGATGGTATGATGTAGTTTCTGGTGTTTTTAAGGGTTTGGTTTGGGGACATTACATTCTAAAATTATTATTTACAAAAATGTATTTATACGTTAATTTATTACTGTTTCGTTATTTTACGTTATTGCCACCCTTAATTTATAGCATTGATCAATATTCAATTTAAAAGTTTTTAGTGCAATTTAATACTATTTTTTGAAACTTTAAGTAAAATAAACTTTGTAATGTTAAAGAAATTAAACTTTGCAAATACTTTATTTAATCAGAACTATACAAAGGGTGTACCGCCTAAAATATTTGTTTTTTCGTTCACAATACGATCTTTTATTGGGTTGGGACATAATGTTGAAAAAAAAAGATTTTTGATATCGATTTTTCCTTCAAAATTAATTTGAAAATCAATAAATTATCTCGGTAGCGTTACGTGACAATTTTATAATGTCACAATGGTAAAAAAGTATATTTTTAGGTATAATAGGCGTGTCAGGTTTTACGAATAAATATATCCTTTTTCTATGGAATAAAGTATATGCAATAATCAAAAAACCAAACATAACCAAACTCTTTACCAGATATAATATTTTTAGTTGTTATAAAACCATTAACATATTTTGGTATACAGTTTATAAAACTATTTTTAAAATTTAATATTCGCACCTCTAATAGTATGTAATTTTACTCGATTTTCAAACGATTTAAATAATTAAAACATAACTTAGAAATCATGCTAGAAACAGATATTGGATCCATTCGTAATTCTTGATAAATCTATTATAAAATCGTGACGTCACAATATATCTTGGGAAACGTAGTAAAAACATTGTAATAATAAACTCGTAAGCGTAGATTCCAAATATGCAATAAAAAATTGCATGCCACAACCTCATTATACAGTGTGACCCATTTGTTTGCGACTCACACTTGTAAAATCTTGATTTATTGTGCGATTTTAACCGGATTTGTTTTTAAGTGTAGATCTTGATAAACTGTATTTTTGGAGCAAAAGACGCTATATTAGTACAAAATACAAGGCCTACTATGTCAGTTTTCAAGAGTAAATTTTTAAGAATTCATATTAGCGATTTTTTTAAACAAAATCCAAGCACGGCACTGGATTCACCACCCCTCAAAACTACCCTATACTAAATTTTTTTGAAAAATTATAAAAAAATGCACAAAAATTACTACAAAAAATTATTTTGTCAATTTATCCATGAAAAAACATTGAAATAAAATTAAACTAATATTAACATGGTGCTATTACTATAGGTTTAATTTTATTTCAATGTTTTTTCATGGATAACTTGACAAAATAAATTTTTGTAGTTATTATTGTGCATTTTTTTATTAACAGTTTTTAATAAAATTTAGTATAGGGGTGGTGAATCTAGTGCCGTGCTTGGATTTTGTTTAAAAAAATAGCTAATATGAATTCTTAACAATTTACTCTTAAAAACTGACATAGTAGGCCTTGTATTTTGTAAAAATATGGCGTTTTTTGCTTCAAAAATACAGTTTATCAAGATCTACAGTTTAAAACAAAACCGGTTAAAATAGCACAATAAATAAAGATTTTACAGGGGTGAGTCGCAAACAAATGGGTCCCAATGTATGTAAAAATTTAGATTTTTTGAAATTTTTGAACTAGAAAAATCGATTTTTAAACAACCATTTGTAAATGGAATAAGCAACAATGTTTGTTTGCAAAAGTTTGAGATCTTGTTCCAAATAGGTATTAAAAAAAATTGAATTTAGAAAATTCAATTTAATCATGAAAATTTTATAAAAAAAATTGAAAACATTTTGAGATTGAAAAAACAAAAACAGTCCCAAATTCGAAAAAATATATTTGTTTATAAAATTTGCATTAAAAAATCTTTATGTTTTCAAATTAATGATTTTTTTATTTAAATATTCTAATCTCTTCCAATTCTAATCTAATCTCAAACTTTTGCCAACAAGAATTAGAAGTTTATTGAATTTTGTTTTATTTACAAACGGTTTTATGCATAAGGATCCATTTTTCTGGTTCCAAAATTTTCCATGTTATTTAAAAGAAAATACTTGCCATTGTCAGTTTTCTTCGTATTGAAAACGAAAAAATAATTCAGTTAAATTTAAATATTGACTAAAAATTTGGCGTGAAATGACCCATAAGGACGTTTCAAAAATAAAAATTTGTTAATAATATCAAAGTTATGATGATTTAAACTTGTTAACTTCAGCTGCCTTGTTTAAAATGTTTCCACAAACACTTTTAGACTTTTTTTTAAATACACTAATTTATATATTACATTTTAAGTTTACATTTGAGAAAATTTATATATTACTTAACTAGAACGTTTTTTTTTTAATTTTTAAACAGCTTTAATACAGAAATTGTTACTTAAGCAACAATGGATTGTGATTGTGACTTAACCAAAATTTGTTCACAAAATAAAATGATGTATAATTTTGAAAATAATATAATAAACAATAAAATAAAAAATTATCAAAAAAATTATACCTTTTTAATATAAATACCTATTATGAATTTCATATAAAAAATAAAAAAAAATATAAATATTGCTTATTTTAATTTGATAAGAACTTTATATCATTTTAAATGTAAACTACCATTATTATTTGATAAAATTTAAATGACACATTATATTTTAATTTTAAATTGGTACTTCAACATAAATTGCCAAAACAAATATAAGTTTTGGCAGCAAAACTATAACAACAAAACAACTTTCTAAAAACACATAAAATTACCTCTAGCTCCTCTCTGTTGTTGGTGGCAAACAATTCATCTTTGTTCAAGTCAATCCAATACATGGCAAAATTTTGCAACTCCAACAATTTAAAAGAATCCCCTGTTTTTGTCCAATGAGAAAAGGTTGGGGACCAATTTGAGTCGCAGCTTTGCGCAGAAAGCGACTCGATTGTAAACCCAAAGGCAAAAGATTTCCCTGGTATGCTACAGCTGTCTTCATACCTAATGTGGACATCTTTGATTTGAAGCTACAAAAATTATGAATATATAGTGTTTATATTATTTTTTTCACAGTTAACTTACCTGTAAATTTTCTACAATATCAGAAACTATTCCTGTGACAGCTCCAAGCCACGAAGAGTAACTAGAGGCATAATATGCATTATCCTTAGACTCAGTCTCCAGTCTCCATCTTGATTCTACGCTATCTAGAGCTGACAATTTTAATTTTTGTCTTGCTCTTTCTTCTTTCTCAGAATCCCACTAAAAATATTACAGAATGCATCAAATACTTATAAAAAAAGCTGATTTCCAAAGCAGAAAAACGCGGTTTTACAACATACCTCATTTACTGGTAAAGGATTGGCCACTAAGTACAGTTTTTCTATGACAATAACCCATGGGGCTGATCTTATTTGCCTTACAGGTATTTGAAGTTGAATTTTGCCAATAAAACCGTTTTTAATTTCAATTGGTAAACCCAAATTGTATAGGGCATCCTTACGAAGTGGTAAGTTTTCTAACTCAACTTTCCCTATAATAATGAAATGTGTAATGGGTACAATATAAGCAGAATATTAATAAATATATTACCAGATAATAGGGCAATGCTGAGTTGGTCAGTATTAAGACTATCTACATATTTTCCTAAATAATTATTCAGTACCCAGGCCACTAGACCTGTCAACATGATTGAGGTAGTTTAAAGTTCTCACTTTGTTAGACATAAGATTTTCACCCAGAAACAATCAAAACTAAAAAACACACATATAACTCGCTATAAACTCGCAAACATCAAACAAACTCACGTGAATTTGTCCGAAAACTCAACCCACTTAAAAACCGACACAATATTTTCACCAACATTTATCAGCTGCCGTTTTGGAAAATATTAATTATATTGCACGGTAACTTCAACAAATGCGTTGCATTTTCGAAAACTACGTTTGTTTATCGATTCTGCAAAAGTCCAATAATATTTTGAAAATAGAAACTTTTGACAACAATGGCCTTGAACACATGTGTTTCGCTTACCAACTTAATAAAACAGCAGTCACACAAAAAGAATACTTCAGTAATACCAACACTTTTTTAAAATTGCGTAAAATGGAAAGTTGATGGCCCACATGTAATATTCTTTTAATATAAACTTAAATAATAATTATTTTTATGCTTCCACACCAAAATTAGTTGTTTTTTGATGTTATTTGAATTAATATAATTTTCATGGTGCGTGTTTGGTGGCGCCACCGTGGCGTTGCGGTGACTTTTGGAGTGAAGGCTCGCCCATCCTAAACATTGACGTTGGTGTCACTTTTTAATTGTTTTGTGCCATAAATTATATATTTTTGTATTAATAATTACCGCACACGTGTAATAAATGATTGCTGGTGTGTGAATTAACAAATTTTGTGCTGTTTAAGTGTTATCTTCTTTCATTATGGGTAAGTTTTTTTTGCCGGCACTTTTGTGTTGTTTAAAATGATTATTATCTTAATATTGTAATTAATTTTATTATTAAAGGTGAATTTGTTTGTTGATTATGTTGTTTGACTTATTATTGATGTGTAGGTTTATGGGGGGTTAAGTAAAAGTCGATAATTATTGATTTTTTATTCACAAATTGTCTGTAGACTATTCTAATTAGAATTAACATAATTATTTGTATAAACGATGTAAATATCGCAGTAAATATATTTTTAAAGCAGGTACATTAAAAAAAATCGATATAAATTCGTGAGTAATGAGTTGGGGTTGTTTTTATTGTATTCAATCTGAATGGGGTGTATAATATGGGGCCACGAAATTATTATCTTAACTGGACGTCCTTGACACCAATTTAACCTTAGAATTTGCATTTTTTAGATTAAAAATACATAATAATCATGTGTTCAAAGTCGTTTCTGAACAAACTGATATTTAAAATATAGGTATGCTATGTATACATAGTTTGGGTTTTGTGGATTTAAATGTTAATGCCTAAAAGGTGTAAACAATAATACCTATACAAGGAAAGTGCTAAAGCCTTGATTTTTTTGTCTCTAGTTATAGTTTTAAAACTGTTCAAAAACTGTTATAAAAATGTCAAATTAAGCTAGCTAGGTACCTATGTCAACTAAAGTAAAGGTGAATTTATAAATTAAAACACCATGTTTATTATAAAAATTTAAAAGGCATACTGGATTGTAATAGGTGATTTATTTTAACCACAAGAAATGAACAATTTTCCATTCAATTGCATTTTACCATAAACTATCATTTTACAAATTATCAATCAATATTTTTTTACGAGTTTACCGCATATACAAATTGTAGATATTCGGTATGTAGGTATAAAGATATCTATTGAAATGTAATTAATACTTTATCCACCCACTTTATAATACACCTTTAAAAGATAATTTACAATTTGTATAAAGTGTATAAAAATAGAAATGACGCTCTGTTACGTCATTAATACACATAAAACGGTTTGTAAATAAGTTCAGGGTCTTATAATTATTTTGAATATTCTCATGGAAAATTAAAAAATGTGAATTTTTACTGGTGTTTTGTCTGGGATACGTTATATTTTAATTTTTAGCCATTTAGTTATTTACAAATATTTACTGCTATAAACTTTATAGAGTTGCAAAACGTAGATTAAATATTTGTAGCCATTGATTATCTCTGTTTAATCCTATTTACTTAACAAATTCTTGTTGGCATTGAATAAAATCCCATAAAATATCTCAATCCATGTAATTTTTACTAACAAAAGCAGTAAATGGTTTTAAAAGCAGTAAAACCAATCGATGAAAATATAAACGTTTTGTTGGAAAAGTGTGTCAATGAACCACAGAGAGAATTATATAATCCAAACTTAGTCATAAAACGCTCCCAATTAGGATTACACATTACTACTTGTATTTAACAACTCTACCAACGTCTTTTGGGTGTGCGAAACTATGAATCACTATGCTGTAGTAAGACACTGTTATTAAATTTAAATACCTAGTTGTTTAAAGATGAATGTTTCTCTACTACTACTTAAGAATAGTAACATTCTAGTGTAATTTTTGATCATAGAAAGGATGTTTTTCTGCAATACTGTGCGAGAATATTCCTACTCTTGGTTAAGAATGGTCACAAGTAACGACATCTCCTGACTGTTTACTAAACGTAAAAAATTTAAAAATATTTAAATATTACTGTATTATTTATTAATTAAAAAATAATAGCAGTTGTATAATTAAGGTTTAGGCACAAAAAATTGGTTATATTTATTGTTTTTCAAATATACAAATCAAAATTATAATAAATTTGATATTAAAATGATAAACCAGTTACCTACTATACCGGCTTTGAAGTTTTGACAGATTCAAAAAGTTTAAAAAAAGACCTTTAAATGTAGAAAAAGAATAGATGTTGACATAGATAAATAAATAAATAAATAAAATAAAATACTTTATTTTCATCCCAAGAAACATACAGTTTATAGAGGGACACCTCTAATCATACAATTACTTGTAAAATTAGTTTTGCATTTGTTACAATGTTATTTTTTTTATTAGTTAGTGTAAATAACTATTTTTAATTATAATAAAGATTTAGGCATACCATTTGTTTAAATTTATTATAATTTACATTATAAAATTGTGATGGCACAAAATGGTTTGACAATACAAAAAACTTAAATGTCAAAAACTGCTCGGTTTCTTTTCTCTGTTTAAAATTATATAAGCGCTACTATTCTTACGTAGTCGTAGAGAAAATAATGTCTGAAACACGTTTGGAATAGCATATTCCACTCTCGTAAAACCGTCACACTCGCCTTCGGCTTGTGTGTCAAATTTTTCCTCGAGCGGAATATGCTGTATTCCAAACTTGTTACAGAATGTACTATTATGTTTTACATTACAATACCTTACCATTATAGCTAAAAGTTTCACTTACTTTTGTTCTTTTAAATAAGATTTGTGGTAAAATTAACTTATTTTTGAGAAACTAATCAAGTTTATTGGGATATTAAAAATGTTAGAGGAATGATTAATTTTGAAAACTAAATAATAACACAAGTTAGAATGCTAAAAATAAAATTGATTAAATTGTTTTGTTGACTAATTTGACTACAAAATAATAAAGAAGTTAGCGGTAAATCATAATTTAAAGTCTATTATTAACACAGACCTACAATTTGTAGGTCTGTGATTATTAACATTTATGAACGTTTAAAGGTTCGTTTACACTATATTTAAAATCTGGCAACACCGTCCAAGAACAGCAACGCTTACAACTTATTTAATTTTACACTGCGTAAAATTTATTAAAACAAATTGTGTTTCACATTTTTGAATAATTGGTTTTGAAGTTAAACTTTGAAGCTGGCAAATTTTCTTTGGCATCGACAATAGTTATACGTTTACGTTCGTTAAAATAAACAGAATGTCTTAGGAATTATAATGAGTAAGGGTTTATCCCAGCTTTTTTTTTATTTAGACAAACTACTTAATACCTTAAATCTGCTTTTAAAGTGGAGCTTACATAGTCTAGCGTTTTTTGGAAACTAACCAATTTTTATAAAAAAATTCTTTATAATTGTGCCAAGAATGTTTTAAACCCAAAAAGTTTATAAAATACGTGGTATTTTTCCAGGGTTGGCAAAAACCAGGGTTGGCAAATATCATGATATTTATATAAATATCAAAATATCAGATATATATCCGATGTATATCAAGTTTTGATATTTATTTTTTTAAATAATTTCCAAGAATATTTATAGTAGGCTACTATTAAAAGCCAAATAAAATTTATTATATTATAACAAGAAAACGAACACATTTATAACAACTTTGTTATTGCTAAATTATCGTCGGATTCGTCAGAATCGAAACCGAGCCCTAAACAAATTCGGGGAATCATAAATGTAAATAAAGTACCTACATATTTTTCTTGGAGTATTCTGCTACTAAATATGAAGCGGCAATGCCATTATTATAAATATATCCTAATTATTGGATATATATATATATATATATATATATAAAATTTTGGTTTTAACAAATACGTCGCTTTGTAACAATGAACACGTAGTAGGCAGCATATGAAGCTTACTGTACGCTTCATATTTACAGTGGCAGTATACTATACAAAAAAATCTGCACTCTAGTAATAAATACCCACTTTTTTATTTTGTTTATAAATATCATGATATATATCAGGATATTAATATCATGATATATATCAATGATATATATCGAATATATATCATTGATATATATCATGCCAACCCTGGCAAAAACCCGGGTTTTTGAAAATTTGTATTGGGTTTTTGGGTTTTTGTGAGGGTTTTTGTGTTTTTGTGGGGTTTTTGGGTTTTTGGTCTTTGAAATTTCACATAACCTCAAAGATAAATAACAGTTAAATAGTTACTATTACAAGATTTGTCAGGTAAGTCAAGTAAGTTCACTGTTTAAAATATCTGCGGTGTAAAAAGTAATCCTAAAATGGTGTCAAAATCCAACACCAAGTGGTGTTAATATAACACCATGAATTAGGGTTCTTCTTTCTTGGTGGCACAACGCCTTAATGGTCTTGGAATCAATGTACCATTTTGACCAGCAACAAGTGGATTTTGAACTTTTTCAGACTAGTATACCATGTGGTTATCTTGGCTAGTTCTTTTTTGTTAATCATTCGCAACCGTGATTA